TCCCCCCCCTTGCCCCTTGTTTCCTTTAAATTTCAGATAAGAATAGCAAGGCGAACTCAGGGATTGAGTTTCAGTCTCAAACATTCAATATGTGCTCGCCTCTTTCTAGCTGCAAGGACAAACCACAACGCGCCTGCGCTGCAGCAGTGAAACCGATGGTGAAATGTCAATTTTGGAAAGCGGGTCTGAGATAAAGATTAGACATTAGCCTTATGTTGGCTTGCAATCAGTTGTCCAGGGATGTGTCTCACAGCGCAGAGGGCCGGGCCTAAAAAAAACAAACATATAATGTGGCTCTCTTCGAGGGAAGTTTCCCACAGGGTATTCTCTCCAAAGACGTTTGTGGAGGTATGACCTGAGGAGGAGCCCAAGGAGACACCGGGACATGTTGCCCTCCATCGATCCGTCACATTCCTCCCGAACCACGCTGCCGGGTAAGTGAATGCACCGTGTCGACAGCAGCAGGCCCGCGGGGAGCAGCACAGAAACACTTGTTTCCAGGTCCTCCTCTTAAATGGGATGCTTGTTTACTTAAGCTGAGGGTCTCTCAGGCCGAGTACTTAAAGTGACAGGGTGGAGCGGTGGTTGATCCGTGATCCCTACCACCACTTCAGATGAATGCTATGACAAAACGGTACTTTTATGTAGTGTTTTCCCTGCATATCCGGTCCGTAGAACCCGAACCGTGACTTTGGTGATCTGTCGCTGGAGAGAAGGGGCGAGAGACAAATCATGATCATCAGCCTCATAATCAGCAGGGTGTGAAGAACCCCGCCACACACGGATAGAGAAAGAAAGACACAGCCTGATTCAGTATTGAAGGCATCTCCTCTTCCTTGTCTCTGGCTGGTCTTTTCTCCATCTGCTGTTTCAGCCGCAGGGTGGTAGTTACACAGCAGCACCACAATCCTTCCCCTTTAAAGCTTGGCCTGTTCGCTGCAACTTTCTCACGTCCCCCCCCCCCCGTGTCTTTCATCCCTCACGTCCTCTCTCTGTCTCTCTCTCGCTCTCTTTAATATTTCTGCAAGATCAGAGGCTTCCTGTGTTTGCCTCTCTTGTCTGTTATCAGAGGCGCAAACTCGCGAAAGCAGCACTCTTCTGTTGAATCGGAAATTATCCCTCCTTTTTTTCCCCCGCCATCATCAGGCCCATCATTAGGAATAGAACATTTACATGTCTTTCCCATTGAGGCGGCCACGTAATGAAACATGGCACTCGTGTTTTCTTTGGTTTCTACATTTCCCTTGTAGTTTTATTTTATCAATTTCCCCGGCTCTCTTTCATTCGCTGTGCTCTTTGTTTGACTCTGAGGTGATGAGAGGTAATGTTTAACAATAGATTGTCTTTTTTTGTTGTTGTTTTTTTATCTCGAGTGCAGGCATCTGTTAAAGCACAAACAAACCACGAAAGTCTAGAGCGAGGCGGTGAGAGGAGAGTACAAATGATGGAGAGAAAAAGGCAGAGGGGGAAGAAAGGCAGGAATAAGCTAACCTTTTTTTTCTTCTCCCTGACAGCGAGCAAAGAGAATGTGCAAACCTGGTGACATTTGGGATTCTAAACAAGGATGATTGACACCAACTGTTACCTGCATCTGTATGGAAGACTGGGCCGTGCAGCCCGGCTCCTTGTGTGCGTGCGTGATTGACATGGTAAATTGGAAAGGTCAGCCGGTGCTGGTGTTTTTGCTCCAGACAGGCAGACAGCAGGCAGACGTAACCTTCCCGGAGTCCACATTTAGGGAGAGAAGGAGAATGTGAGCAACCGGAGGGATCGTGGAGAAGCTGAGACGTGCCACGTAGCCCTGCTCGGTGCTGTTCATACGCTGTGTATAAATGATAGCCCCCCTAAATTCTGCTCGTTTTCCACAAAGCGAGGCAGACTGCTGGGTGAAAACACAGGAACAGTACAGACTACAAAGTATTAGCACCCGGGTCCGCCAGGAGTCTCTCCGAGGTCTGAGGTCGACTCTCCATCCAGCTTGTTATTTTCCCAAAACGCAGCTGTGTGCGTGCTGACGGGGGGTCCGTGCCTCCTTTGTTTTTCTCCCCATGAATATGTCAGTATTGGAAATTGGAGCGTTTGTACGCCCATTGATGTGAATTTCAAATAGGTGTGTGTGTGTGCGTGTGTTTTTAGCCAAGATGAGGCAACAGAGGGAGAGTGAGAGTGAGATTGACAGCGTAAATTGGGATGGTGGGAGGTTCTGGGGGGGGTGGGGGGGGGGTTGAATTCGTGGCTTAAAACCACCGGGAGAGAAAAAGAAAAGACACAAATGTGTAGAGAAAATGGAAAAGTATCCTTTGGCTTGGGGAGGTGTGACAGGGGATGAGGAGGACGAAGCGAGGCTAAGCGGGAGAATAGATTGTCACCAAGGGCAAAAGGGTGTCTGGTCGTATGTAGATGGAAAAGGAAGCAGAGGTAAGACCCGGCGGGGGCCGGTTCTGTGTCGAGAGGTGGGAGGGGGGGGGGTCATGGAGCTTTTGGGGATGCTGCAGCAAATAGGTGAGTCAGCTGGGACGGTAACAAGGGGAGACATCACACACACACACACACACACACACACACACAGCAGCAGCGGAAAAGCAGACACAACACACATGTACTGTACTCATGCCCCGTTGTACACACACGCAAACACACACAGCCACCCAACAGAGGACACGCTGACCCGATGGTGCCCAGGCCCTTCAGGCACCCGAGGGCCCCAGTGGTGAATCCATGAATACAAATCACACTCGAGGCTGAGACACACTGAGGCACACTACTCTCACATCCCCTCCAACTGTGTTTTAAGCACATCACCGCATATCAACCGAGACACTGAGAAGTGGCCTGCTTTGGGGATCCAGTAACAGGCACGTAGCTCGGTCAAACCGGCGGAACGGAGCCAGCTGGACACGCCGAGAGCGCGGCTGAGGTGAGGGAGCAGATGTCAGGGAAGGTTTCTGAGTCAGAAGACATCGTCTTACCTAGCTTACCTATCTCCTAGTAACACAGAATATTATTCAAGAAATTCAGATTCAAATATAACCAAATTATAGTTGGACCTGTTCAGATTTATTTTCCACAAATTAATTGTCTTACTCTCTAAAAATTATAATCGACAGCATTTTAGCAAATTGTCTTTTGAAATTAATTTAGAAAAAGTAAACCATTTGTCGGAAAAATTACAGGACCGTCTCCCATTCTTACTCTTAACAAATCTCAAACTATTAGTGCTCCAGATCGCTGGACGGAGAGCTCACTGCAGTACATATATACATAAATTACATATATACAGTGTTTCTTAACACCCTAATCCTACCAGTCCGCCCTTCCTGCAAGAGTCTGCGGTGAAACCAAACCCCTTCATGCACCTTTGTTTAGAGGACTAGGAAAAGATGAATCGGTGCATCCATAATTCATGCTCTTATTTCCTAACCGCTGGCCCGGTGCAGCACTTTATTTACCGGCCTCGGCGCCCCTGTTCTGGCCCCCGTGCACGGCCTGCCAGTTTATTTTAGGCTCTCACTCATGACTTGGAAGGCTTCATCAGGGAGCCCCTTGCTGTCCACAGAGGTGAGTCCAGGTGCAGGTCGGAGGCTGAAGGTCAGATGGTCACTGCTCCTGCTTTAAATACCGCCTGAAGATTACACAACCACCTGATTTTAAGAGTAATTCAATAGTCGCACTTTCTGGGTGATTTACTGGAACATTTCTTTTAGACTCTTTAAAAAAAAGTTTTTCTTTCTTTTTGAAATCCGTGATTGTATTTCATGTGCATGACAAGCTCATTGTTCTCTCCACTCATTCTACATGGATATAGAGAGTTGGAAGAGGAAAGCATCATCATCCGGCCGCACTAAAGCAGTTCTCTCTGCGGCAAAGTGCACATCAATGAACACATTAATCAGGACGACAAACGACAAACGCCGCCTTCACACAGCGACGGAAGGGAAGGTTGCTGCAAACTGTGTCGAGGGGATCCGGCTCCACGAGCGCCGGATGCTTCGCCGCGATGTCCCTGTTGTTCCCGCTCGGAACTGACGATGACCCTGTGCGACTCGTCATTTGAATACCCACACGGGACGGCGTGCCCCCCAGACCGAAGCCTTTCTGTTTGCGTGTCACTGGGCAGGTGTGTGTGTGTGTGTGCGCGCTGGCCCCCTTTTAGACTCACACAATTTTAGTCCTCCTGACGCCGCTGCCTGGCGGCGGCGACGGCGGTGTACATCAGTCTGGGCGGTGTGCCTTGAACTGTGCGTCAGCGTCCTCGCAGCCAAGTGTGTCCGGCCCCGGTCCAAGCGAGCCCTCCCGACAGTGGATCGCCTCACATCGATTCCCTCTCATTTATTCATCAATGATTCGGGTTTATGGACTTAGTTTTAACCGGAACCTCCAGTGTTGGGACACAAGTGGCGCCACCTGTCTGATCCCCGTTTAGGAATGAAGAGCATCGTCTCACAACTGGGATCTGGGTTTCACACAAACACACAGCCGGTGTTGTTGAGTGTGTGAGCGCTGCAGGGTGGTGTACTGGATCTCCTGCTCGTGGAACGCCAATGCCGTCGTTTCCTCGCAGCCTACAGTCGAGCCACCTTCAGCCTTCTGACAGATACAGGGAGGAAGGCAGAGGAAGGGGGGAGATAAAGGGGGAGAAGAAAATAGTGAATCAGCGAGACAAAATTCGGCAGCTGGCAGCTGATGGATGTGCTGCGAGCAGCTCGTCTTCCTCTGGACTCTGTGATAACGCGCCGCGCTCTCTTCCTCCCTCGCCTCCGTAGCTTGCTCTCTGTGTCTATTTGCTTTTTCCTCCTCCTCCTCCTCCTCAGAAGAGTGTCCGTTTTCCTGCAGCTGGGCCGCTGACTCCTCCAACCCTGTGTTCGATTCTGCCCGTGTGTTCGCTAAATGTGTCTTTATGCTGCGACCCGAAGCAACGCTTTAAATCGAAATGACATATCTCCCCCGTCTCCCCTCTCGTCCCACTTCTCTCCGTGCCGCTCTCTCTGGCTGATGGACAGTTGGCAAGAAGAACCGCGGGTCAACAGGTAAAGAGCCCATTAACATTTACATTATCTTCCCCGTCTCCTTCGCTCTGGCTGTTTCTGCTGAAGGAGAGACAAACATTGCTGTGACCCTTCACCCCCCCCCACTCCCCCACCCCCCCGGACCCCCTCCCACGAGGTCAGAGCTGAGGGTCGCTCAGCTAAGTGCTCAGCCGCGTGTCATATTGGCAGCCGGGGTGATGTTCCACCGCCGTAGCTTCACCGTTTCCGCCTCTTTGCCAGTGAGAAAAAAAAAACATCCAGCGGCCCACAGGTATAAATAATGCAGTGTGATGATACAATGTCTTTCATGGGAATTATATCGTGATCCAATTATACAAACCAATTTCTCAGAAACCAAGTTAGTGGTTTTGTTTCCACCACTGAATGAACCAACTGGCCTTCAGTTACAAACGTTTTGCTCCAATACCCCAGAATGAAACAGTGCACAGTGCCTCCGTCTGCAATACTACGGCAAACCCATTAGTTCAAATAAATTATATTTTCATTTATTCATTCATAAAGCTTTGTGGTCCGACGTAATAAACGTAATTATTTAAATCCTGTCACGAGCCCCAGTGAATATAAAACAACAAAATGTCTATAAACTTGTTTCCCGCTCTTCTGTAGGCCGTCGTCCCCTTCTGTCCGTCTCCTTAGTAACCAAACCCAATGCCGTTGTGCTGGAGCCCGGCTGTAATGTTCCTTCATGGACACCAACTGTCATCGCTGCAGTTGTGACAAAGTTCTTTTTTAGGGCAACTCTCTGTGGACGCTTGAGCACTTTTTTGTTTTCCCCAGATTGATTAATCCCAGGAGCCGCTGTCGTTTGTTGATGGGGGATAAAAATAGTTGAGTTTTTGTTTTTTTCACTTTACCAAAACACACTTGCGAGCATGAATCCATCGCGCATGCCCTTATTCCGGCGTAGAGGTGATGAAACGTTCCCCCGTTACGTCAATATGTGGGTTTTGTCAGACGACCCCCCCCCCCAAAAAAAACAACAACTGATATATAATGCTCGAAATGAATCAAATAATCACTGAGCGCTCCCCAGAGCTTAACCCACGTGGCGCCACACAGATACTGCGTGTTCCTACTTTCTCCAGCGTCTCCCCGTCTCCGCCCTCCGTCACTGACGTGGCACGATGACAGGGAGAGATGGAGGATTTGGCAGCTGAAGGAAGAGATGAATATTTCAAATCGGGCATCTTTCTCGGCCCTCTCACTGGTTCCCATAGTCTGTGTCAGTCTCCCCCGTGGGGCGGGGATCTCCTACTCTTGGTGTGGTGCTGTTTTATCTGTGTGTGTGTGTGTGTGTGTGTGTGTGTGTGTGTGTGTGCGCGCGGCGTGTCTTTGCTTGTGGTTTCATATTGGCATTCTAAAGCAAGTGTAGTCAGACGGTGACACTTAGCTGTCAGCATGCAGCATTAATGAGTGCAGTGACACGCACAAACACTCACCTCGCTCTCTCTCGCACAAACACACACACACACACACATGCAGTATTCTCAAGACAGATCAGCAAATAGTCACTTCTCCTTTTTATTAACTATATGTTTACCCTCAATGGTTTCTTCTGCTGAATGCTGTGCAGCTCCTTCAAGCAATCATTTCAAGTGTCTCCTTTCCTTCCTTAACGCTCGCCCTCTCTCCTTCTCTCCTTCCCTCCTTCTCTCTAACTCTTCCTCTCTTTCTGCTGTGTGATTTGTGTTGGGTGGCTTTGCACCCTGCAGAGTATATGACGTCTCTATTAATACACAGTCAGCTAACTCCAGCCTTCTCTTTGTATATGAGTTGTGTGTGTATGCGTGTGTGTGTGTGTGTGTGCGTAGGTGCATGTTCGCCCCTCTGCCAGTCCCTCGCTCTCCAGGTTGCTACACAGTTTAGTTTGAAAGGCTAAAACACTCAGTTTATAGAAATCAGAAATAGAAATATCACACACACACGCACACCGACTGACACAATAGGGAGTGTGAAGTGACTGACAGATTTAATAGGAGAACAAGCTGTAATCTGAGAGAATCCATTTGAGGGGATTACGTTGTAATCTGCGGATGGAATAGCCTTTCATCTCTCTCTCTCTCTATTTATCCATCTTTATATCTGTTCTGCCCTGAAGCTGCACCAATCCTTTTAATCAGCCCTGCTTTTTTTTATCATTCCCTTCTTTGATTTAATTTAGGAGGTTTCTGCTTCCATCCGAATATCACGCATACACGCGCGTGCACGCACACGCACTTCCTCACACAGCTGTGTCACCTCCCCAGTACTTAGCTGTCAATCAAAGATGATTGCACTGAGGGGGGGATTGTAACGTTGCAGCGCGTCAGTTCCTCCCTGGTGACACCCGCATCCGTGCTCACGCTCGCACACACACACCCAATGTAGGCTTTAGACCCCCACCGCCATCTCATTTGATTGATTTTTTATTTTTTTGTTCTTCTCTTTTATGAAGCTTTTCCGCTCCAACATATTGTTGTGATATTGCTTCATTGTACTACAACCCTCCTTCGCTCCTTCGCTCTCTCTCCGACACATGTTGCTTCTTGTTTGCTAAACGGAGAACCCAATAGAGTTAGATTCAACTTGTGGAGCCACACACTCACATTCCAGTTTGGATATCAAGCCTTGGTTAGGTCGAGGGAGATTCATTTAGGAGGAGATGGGGGAATATGAATTGAAATGATATGGATCTCCCGGATAAAGAGCCTGTTCAGAGAGAAGAGAAAGGCACGGAACACACAACCATACGGCATCCAGCTTTCTCCTCTATTTCTACCGTCGTGTCTGTCGCTCCAGGGTCAAGAAGCTCCCCGGCCCCCGGCAGACTGACACCGGAGTTCCTTCGAGTTAAACAGGTCGGGGTCACGTTTTCCCCTCCGCTCGTTACTGGACGGCCCCCATGTATCCGCTGCTGCTTCCCGCCACTTCTCTTCTCTTCCCGCCCTCCTCCTCAAGTTGGAGGCCTCAGCCAGTGTCGGTGTCAGGACAGTGGAGTGCGCGCGTGTGTTATCTTCATGTTTCCGCGTGTCTTATGTCATGTGACGGGGGGGAGGGGATATGGCTTTTAAGCTCTTCCTCTCTGATAGGGGGAGGGGGGGGGGGGAGAAAATGATGGAGAAAAAAAGAATGAGGGGGAGGAATAAAAAGCGGCGAGTTAATTACCACCTTTTCCTCTTTCCCATCAAAGGGGAGATCAAAGCTCCTCCTCGCCTCCCCCTGCCTCCCCTCCTCACACCCCGACCCCCCCTCCCCCACCCCTTTCAGACCTGGCCTGTTCATTTGTAGTCCTTACTCCTCCCTTATTCATCGGTGTTCCAGCCGATCCACGGGAAGCCGAAGAATGTCCACACGTGTACGAGTAACACAAAGGCTTCTTGCCTCGTTTCTTATTCTACTGTCTTATACTGCGTCGCTGAGCCGATTTGTTCCAACTGATAACAATCCTCGAGTGTCCTTTGAGAAGCAGTGAGTGGGTATACCCACTATAAATCATACTCACACACACACAGAATCCCAATCCTGCACACACACACACACACACCACCGTACTTTTAGGGCGTAAATCGCTGGTTGGATACTCACAGCCATGTACTCTAGTCTCAGCACACTATCATTGTAACACACGCACACACCACCACGTCTCCTATACATCGTTATGGGCCGTATGGTAATGTGTCTCACACAGACGCCTTGACTGAGACTGATGTTGTTTATAAGTGAGGATTGTGTGCGTACCATTAAAAATATGTCTGGAGTAGAAGACAATGGTTTGTGTGGAAGAAGTGGAAATAAATGTTTCATTTGTCTTTTGTGTCAGTCTGACAAACGCTGTCTGTCACTCTTACGTCCTCTCAGGGCTCAACACTCATTTTCAACATTGGTTTCGCTTCTATTTTTTGTCATTTTCTAAATTTCTTCGTTAATTTCTGCGCACCTTTCTAAAATCCTCTGTAATGCATTTTAAGTGTCACGTCTATCTGCGTGGGCCAAATACATGGCTTTTATTATCACACTGCATTGTTTCATTGTGACAACTTTTCTTGTCTCATCAAACGCGTTTACAAAAGAGAGAAATGGCAGAGCTGCATTGTGCTGACCCACAGACGGCTGCGAGACGCCGGCAGCGCGGCCCATCCGCTCCGTGGCCCTTTTATCCTCATTAAGTGAAGACTAAAGTCAGAAAGTCTTAAAACACGATTCAATTATACATAAATATTACAGTAATAGATGGTAACGTCGAACAAAACCAAGAACACTGTCACGTGTGTGTGTGTGTGTGTGTGTGTGTGTGTGCGTCGCACAAAAGCCAGTGTGATCCCGTGAATCGGTGTGTAGCAGCGTGAGTGTGAGACTTTGTGTCATCATGCTGCTGTGTGACAGTAAACTCTCTCTCTCTCTTTCTCTCGCTCACAGATCCGGAGTCGGAACTCGTGGCTCCGGCGATTGTGATCGGACCCAAAAACAAAACGGTGGTGGCGGGCAGCAGCGAGGCAACACTGGAGTGCATCGCTAATGCCAGGTAAATGTATTTTATGCACACACACACACACACAGATGCACAAACAATTCCTTTCTTACTAGACAGCGCTGCTTTGCTTCCAAAGCAATTAGAGGACACTCTCTAAACCTGTAGCTCAGCAAGTCTCTCCCCCAGTGTTTTGTGTATAGACACACACACACACACACACACACTCAGCCCAGCACCAAGTTAACTGAAACAGAAGTTGGATCAAAGTCCTGTGTGACATCGGCAGAGAGATCCACGCTGACACAGAAGGCGGCGTCGCGTTCTATTTGAGGGGAAGGTTTTTCTTGGGAGCGATGACAAGTGCACTCATCTCTCAGGGGAGCGCCGTGCCCCCCCCCCCCCCCCCCTCTGTGTCCCTTATGAGTAAAAAGGCATCTGAGCGCCGGCTTACGTGCGCTTCATGTTAAACAACGCGGTGTTTGTTCTGAACTCGGCGCGCAGACGTCCGTTTTGTTCCCTCTAAACAAGCGATTGTGGGTGGGCTCCCCTCTCGAGACCAAAGGAACACTCCTCGACAACGCTTCTCCACCCTATTTGTACGTAGCAAACACGCAGCCGGCAGTGTAGCTACACACAGTCCGACTCCTGCAGTACCACAGCGGCCCCGACCGCACACTGACTCCATTGATGCCGGCGGATTGGTTGCGAAGCCACCGTTTACACGTAAGGAGAAGGCTATAAATATTTAACGTGTTGTAATTCGCCCTCATAAAAGTCCCACGGTAAATTAAAAAGAAAATGAAGGCTGCTTTGAGCGGACCGAGCCACCGCGAGCCTGGATCGTCAGACGAGGCTCAGCTCACATGCCGTGCTTAGTTTCATCGCAGGCTATTTTCGCCATATTGTTACGTTAAGTCGAGGCTGGACGCGTAAATCCCTTCACATGTTGTCTCAGCAGCACTTGACCACTGCACTCCGGGGACGCGTGTGAAAAGTGAAGAAACCATGTTACACATAATAGAAGACGGGCACATACCGTCACCGCAGCAGCAGGATCTATTTCCACCGTGTAAATAATGACAAATGTGTGATGCGAGACACAATTCCATACATACAAAATACAGTTTTAGCTTATCCTTGGCTACGGTCGGACACATGTACATCGTGTCATCTGTACCTTGCTACCAAGTCCTACCGGTATTACGAAGGTAGAAACATTAACTCAGAGACTTCTGCCAGAAACAAGCCACACTACAGGCACCGTTTGTGAAATGAGTATCCACTCAGAGATGCTCCTTGCAGAGGGACCACGCTGCACCCAGGGGAGAACGGAGAGAGAGAGAGAAACCGTTTCATTGAAGTTTGGGATGGAGTATGATCAGTGAAATCAAGAGTCTAAAAGCATCTTCTATCCACATCCATTAAACCTTTTATCAGTCACACGCACCAACGCAGTCCTGCTGGAGTGCTCAAATAATTAGGAGTGTGATGAAAACAAGCTGTGCCAATAGATCTAATATGAAGGGCTGTCAAAACCTGCTTTTCTGTCTTTGGGTACATTTTGGGCTCTTTGGTTGCGAACAGGACCCACTAAGTAAGCGTGTGCAGGAGCTTTGGCCGAGCCGCCAGTTGAATATCTTGAGTTGTATCTGGGAGACGGAGCCGCTTCCTCTCCACAAGCAGACCAGACAAGTTGCCTACTTTAAGAAACTTATTAGGAAACTTCCAACATCTAATGTTTATTTAGTGTCTTCAATTATTTTTAACAAACTCGCCTTATTAGCATCCATATAAGATGTGCTGTATGCTGTGAGTGCATTATTTTCCCAAAAGTGTGACTTTTCCATATATTGTACCATCCATTCAATGTGGCTTAATTATGAGCTTGTCCTCCACGTGTCTTAACGTGACCTTTGTTAGTGCCATCTAATGTCGTGTCAAAGTGATTCATAGTGCGATTAAAACCAATGAAGGTCCAAGAAATAAAAAGTGTAATAGTAATAAATCAAGAGAATGTAACATTAATGATCGTTAAGCTAATGTATTTTGGAAATATCACTTGTTCGCTTTCGCAGTGGTTTATGTTTAACATGCAGCCTCTTTTATTTATTGTTTTATGTCATTCCATCTGAATCCTTTATGTTAGTTTACTGAGTCCTACTAACATGGTTACAAACCAAGAACCCAATTATTTCTTAAAACATTAAAGAAAGTTATATTTTTAAGGTTGTAGCAATAGCCTTTTTTAAATGTTTTTTCTAATGTTACTTTATTGATTATCATTTTATTCAAGTACAATTTCATTTTTTATTGTTTGCTGTAAAATATGCCTTTGGAAATTATACGATTATATGATTACATGATTAATAACAATTGAAATGTGAAAATCCACCACAAAACTGCTACGCACTTTTATGAATGCATACAATGCTGAATTGATGGTGTCTTAAACAAATACAACCACACAAAAAAAAGTTATTTTGATGTTTTTTATCTCAAAGCAAAATGTCACTATACGTTTGCCATCCCCAGCATCCACTGACTAAAGCTCCTTCATGCTGAGTAGAGCAGACTGCTCTGATATACCGACTGTCATCATTCATTTCCTGCCTCATTGACACACAAACTGATGGATTTAATATGTCGTAATTGCCTTCTGTCACTCTTTTCCTTCCCCTCCAAATCACCCGGCTCCTGCTATTTCCTTTCTTCCTCTCCCCTCAGACCCGTCGACGGCCTCGTGGTGTCATGGAAACGCGATGGGCGTCGTCTGGCCGGTGGGCGTCGGCTCATTATTCCCTCCCCCAACTCGTCAGACTCCGGGTTATATGTTTGTGAGGCGTCGCTTAGCAACAGCACTGCCAAACCTGTGGAGGCCAGGGCACACCTCACGGTGATGGGTAAGTAACGAATACACACACACACACACACCAAGGCCAACACGATGGGCCATGATTATCGTGGGCTGGCCTTACCCATCAACCCTAATTTCCTCAACGTGTACCTAATTTCCTATTTACACCTCGCTCTCGTCTTTTCTCGCACATTTTCCCTCCGGCCGCTGTTCCGTTCTGTTTTATTTATATTTTCTGATTTATTCCTTCTTTGGTCCTGGAAGCATGACGATGAACCCCGCGGGCCGCTTGACTGTCAACCACACGACCACTCGAGCTAAATCTGTGGTCCCCGCCCGCCAACCAACTGCCCCGTAGTCACAAGCACCGGGTACATCCATGTACTTAATGCCTCCACGTGTGCCCGCAGATCCTCCACACAGTCACAACATGGCACACACACACACACACACAGAGGCCTGTTTGCCCGACAGCTAAATTAGTTTTGTTCCCCGGAGTCGGCAGTCAATAAGAGAACACTGAGAGCTCTCGAAAAACAGGAGCGGCCCCGGCGCGATGCTCGCCCCGCGCGCACGCCCGTGTAAATAGAAAACAACGCGCAGGCAGCGAGCGCGTGATTGATGGGGCGGAACTTTCCTCTCCCCCTCCCTCCCCAGTTCGTCAGCTTCTTTTTGATCTCCTGTGATTGTCGGAGCGGGGGAGCACGCGACGCGCCTCGCAGTGGAACTCACTAGTCAGGAAAGACCTGCCTGAATATTTATATCCCTCTCGTTCCCTGTCTGTTCCCCCGCTAACCATCCACCGACAATTCATGTGCCCTCTTTCCTTGTATCCTTCACCTTCCTCTGTCTCTCTCTCCTTCATTAAGCCAACTGCTCGGGCCTGCATGGCAGGGACAGAGTCCGCTTGCCTTCACGTGTATCAGAGGAGTCGGGACTGATGAATACATTGGTGCTGATCCCCTTCCCCTGCTATGGGCTCAACAGACCCTGATCCAATGAAAGGGATTCCTAAACAGAATAGCGTATGTGTGTGAAAGAAGGAGGCAGCCTCAAAGGTGTTCATTATTCAATTTCACTTCTTTTCTGCCCAGATCCACTAATCGGAATATGTATGATACCGCATACAGTGGAGACGGCTGCCGGTGCAAAAAGAACCCAAATCTGTTGTTGTGCTCCGTCTTAGTTTGGCAGGCAGACAACAGGGAATTCATGGGAGCTCACGGCTCTAAACCCAAACACCCAAACACACACCCCAAATATGTCCTGCTGTCCTTGTGCACGTGGGCCCTCGCACTCACCTGACTGAAGGCAGTTAATCCGTCTGCGTTATCGCCGTCCCGCCACGCGGCTGTTATTCATCTCTGGTTTTGCCGCTCCTCTGTTCACCGCAGGCCTTTTCAAGTTCTCTTGTCGAAAATCGCGCCGAATTCCACCGCTTCACAGCAAAAGGCGGGCGATGCGGCGCATGTGTGGGTTTGAAAGTTGCCACAAAACAGTGAAGAACTTTGAAGTCAAGCAACATGGGCGTCTGCTGTGTAGCTGTCCACACACACACACGGAGCTTGATCAAACTTGCATTCAGTCTTTTTTTCTCTTATTGCCACCTCAGTTTACCCATCCATTGTATGAAGCTACGAGAAATGGAGACAAATAACGCTGGAGGAAACAGATTCTTTCCCTTTTTTTTTCTTTTTCTTGGAAGTACAATAGCATTTGAATGGAAGCTGAGAGCGTCAAAACATCACTGTTATACGTTATAATTAAAGCACAAAGAAACGAAATGAAACTTCCATTAAAATGCTTTCTCCTTGTCGGTGAAGAATTACGTCTTTGTGACAGGCAGTATACACATTCATTATTTAGCGCACACACTGGACATTTCATTTTCCTCTAAGTCATTTTTCAGTGAACAGGTGCTGCTGCTGTGTGGAGCCACTTACCAGGGGAACAGGACTGGAAACAAATTAGCCGGCCCGTCCCCCCTCGCCCCCCCCTCTCTGGGCTTACTCTGTCAATATCTCTCCCTAAATAATACAAATGTTTTTGGAAGGAAATGGAAGCCACGCGGCACATTTTCTTCTTGCTTTGTCTCGTCAGCTGCCGTCGGCTTTCAGGGCGACGCCGGTGGAGACGTTTAGAGGGACCACTTATTGGCAGCCAAGCTAAGCCCTTTAAAAAGGGGATTGTTTCCCCTTCGGGAAACTCTTAAGAATCCGTGATTTCACGGGGCATATAGACGGACGTCCCGCTTCGCAATGGCACTCGAGACACTCAAGAGGCCAAGAGAGGGGGTTCCATTTTCATTCAGCCGTGGAGTTTCCCACTCCAAGTCTCTGCTCTGTTAAATAACTTTATTCTGACTTCAAGACTGGCCTTTAAAGCTGCTTTGTGATTGAAGTTGTTACGCCCTTTTTCAAGGCTTATTGGTAGTAGCTGAAGCGTGCTGGCAGCAGCAGGGGGTGTTGTCAGTTTTTGTTGTTGCATTTGAGATGCTGTTTTATCTGTTGTGTTGATTTGGAATGTGCTCAGTATATGAATGCTTTACGTTGTGTCCCTGCAGAGCTGCCTTCCCTCACTGCTCAACCTAAGAGGAAGATCCTGGCTGACCTCGACAGGAACGTGGAGATCCCCTGCACGGCTACAGGTACACTGACTGTGTGTGTGTGTGTGTGTGTGCGGTCATAATTTCTCCTGTCCCCACTGGCTGTGAGGAGATCCCTTCCTAAAGCGATTCCAGCGTGAGGAATGGCCGACGAAATCCACAGTCCTCGTTCTGTGTCAAAATGCCTCAGCAGTCGGAGTTAGTCATGTCAAGTGGGCATCTTGCAGAGCTGAGCGGCGGTGCACGGATAGGAACTCATACGGGGAATATTGCATGGCGTAAAACACCACCACTTTAGAGGATGCCCACTTGATTTGACAAACTACTGACCTGACCAGCCTCAAATTAGCTTCAAATTGGCTGAAAGTTGAAAGGGAGTCATTCCGTCCCCCTCCTCTGATATTTGGATTGAATTGGAAAGGGATCGCTTTTCACTCAATTTACATTTGAAGATGTGCGTCTTTAACGTGCGTCATTTTCAGCTCAAAGGCCAAAAACCAGCAGATACTGCTTGTTGTCGTGGTACCTGACATCATCTCGCTTTGAGAGCCTGCAGTTACAGAGGGAAGCAATACGCAACGTGTCCATCCAATGAGGACTTAGAAGTACAGCACCCATGAACTGAACCGATTCAATGCATGAAACCCTCACACCGTTACATGATGTAGGGGTTTGGTCTCATTGTGTGTGCATCAGAGTGTGGGCTTCCTGAAGAGAGAAAATATACTTCTGAGATCTCACACAGAGGCTGAAAGTCGCACCGTTGTTGCTCTTATTAAAGGGATAACATGAAAACATTCAGGTGAGCACAGGTGGAAACGGCTCTCAAAATGGCACGGTGCACTCCCCCTCTCTCACACACAAGCTGAGCGAGTGTGTTCCTCCTCAGTAATCTGATACAGTGGCAGTGTAATTAAATAGCCGAGGCCTGAGGGTACAGAGAGAGGGATGGAGGCTGCGAGGACGGGACGACACGCAGAGTGCAGAGTGACAGAGTGAGCGAGACAAGGCGGCCGCCAAAGGTTGACACCAACAGATTGAGCGAAAGTGTGGAATTCATCTCTCCTTACCTCAAACGCACGCACACACACACATGCGTACTGGTGTGCAGTGTCGAGATAGAATAATTGCATGAGCCCCTGTGCCTGTCATATCTGGCATGTCCGTCAGACAGGTGTCGGCTGATACCAGCAAAGTGCTGCTTTTGCCCACATATTTTATTTAGAATGTTTTTTGGCCCCCTTCTGCCACCCTTACCCTACACGCACACCCTCCAATCAATATATTATTAGCAGTCGATATGCCCACATGCATATTAACAGGGGGACATTAGTCGGAGAAGAAAGATCGGTGTGTGGCGGTTTACTCAGCGCTGAGGTCAGCGGATTGTTAAGTGACTTTAATCCCTCCTCTCCATCCCTCCTTGTGTGTGTCCCTCCGCTTGTGTAGGTGTGCCCCAGCCCCGAGTAGAGTGGTACAAGGACACGGTCCCTCTTTCCAAACTGGCCAACCCCCGCTACAAGGTCACCGCGGCAACCGGGCTGACGGTGCGCAGGGTGCAGCCAGGAGACGGAGGAATCTTCCAGTGCTTCGCTCGCAACGCTGCCGGAGAAACTCAGGCACACGCACAACTGCTCGTATCCAGTGAGTCCACGTATCCACGCAACCTTTTTGGTGCTGGCAACTTTTTTTTATTTGTCTCAGAAGAGTCACGCTCGTTACAATTAAAAGTCCCCATGGAGCTGCAGCACCACCACCTTCCACAATTATGCACACGCACGTAGGTCGAGGTTGTGAATGAAGCCTCCACTGATCAAAGACGAGGCGTGTGGGTTTAGATCAACACTGTGATTCTCTCTCACCCGTTCTGTCCTTTTCCCTCTTTGCCATTAACCTCCACTCTTCCTTCCCCGTCTCTTTCAGGCGTTTACCCCACGTTTACGTCCACGCCTTCCGACCAAACGGTAACCGATGGGACCACGGCCTTGTTCACGTGCCAGACGAATGGTGCTCCGAAGCCCGCCATCACCTGGAGGAAAGGTAGAACGCACACTCGCCACTGGACGTGCTTAACGGCTTCGTGGCGCTCATTCACCTTCGAGGCTGTTTCATTCATTTCTTTCGGCAGGATCACAGGTCTTGGCGAGCGGCTCCTTCCAGGTTCCGCGGTTCACGCTCTTGCAGTCAGGTGGTTTGCAGATTCAGCCGGTCAACTTGCAGGACTCCGGAGAGTACACCTGCATCGCCTCCAACTCCGGCGGGACCATCAACGCCACCTCGGCGCTCACCGTCTGGAGTAAGACACACGCGCTCTAAAATGCATTAAACTGCTCAATATGCATTTTCCAAACAGACTGAAACCGACCTGGAGCAGTAATTTATCCTTAGCTGTCCAATCACGTTAGCCCAGAGTGGAGAACAGCAGTGTGATTGGTTATTGATGCGGTGGGCTGCTGTAATGGTGAAGTAATCATCTGATTGGCCGGGTTAGAGTAAGATTGATTAGCTGGTAAACTTATCGATTGGCTGATTTCATAAATATATATATAAATATTTATCATGACAGTTTAGGATTAAGTGCTGTTGAATTACATTAATCACAAACCTGGGCCCGGTCACATCCCAAAAATACCTAAATAACAGCGTTATTAATGGATGCTCTCTACATTGCACCCATTTTTCATTTTTTCTCTTTCGAGTCCAACAAAGCACGAATAACATGATCGAATAGGCTGCTTTCCACATTCCTCACTGTGGGCCTCCCTGTGTGTGTTGGCAGTGAGCAGCACTGCTTATGTGCTGTTGAGCTCAGAGTTTACAGTTATCAAATAATTGAGTTCTTATTATTCTGGAGCAGCATACATTCACGTGTATGTATACTGTGTCATGTGATTTAAAGATAATAATAAACTCATTTCAGCCCGCTCCTCCTCCTCCTTTCTCTGGTTGCAGCCCGTACAGTCATTTCTGTGCCTCCAACCGACCAGCGTGTCATCAAAGGAACCACTGCTATTCTGGACTGTAATGCAACACACGACCCCAGAGTCAATATCAGGTACCTTTTTGCACACGTGCATATTTACTCTCCCCGTTGTCCATGAATTGCTGTGCGTCCGTGTACAGCACATGTCCACGTATTCCTCCTCTGTTGCAGCTTCAGGTGGGATCGAGGCGGTGTGCCGATCCGTGCCACCAATGTGGGTCGGGTTTCCATGCGCCAGGGCTCTCTCACTATTGGCCAGACGTGGTCAGGCGACATCGGGGATTACACCTGTACCGTGACGTCGCAGGCTGGCAACGATTCTCACTCTGCACGCCTCGAAGTCATGTGAGTACAAAGAGACATCCGTCCTAGTTCATGGCTTCCTCCTGCTATCTGCATTATTTTTCACCATCGCTGCATCCTTTGCTGTCCTACGCTTGGGATTAGTTTCAGGAATACAACATTTTCCTCCATAGCTGAACAATTCCACCCAGCTCTGTGGGGATGAGTCCGACCTTTAGTCAGATGCAAGCTTGCTGGTTATTGTGGAAAACAGAAGTAACATTGATTCAACACAGCATGAAATGTTTATACACATTGAATAGGCTGCAATCAAATGGGGGAAAAAGACTGACTGGGAGGATGCCTCTGGATTCAGTGTGACAGGACAAAAAATCTATGCACAACATAATCCTGGAGAAACAGGATAATTGAGAGGGCTGAAAAACACATTAGTGTCAACTTATTTCAGCGGTGGGATAATGAAATAATTGCTTGTTCCCAACGGTAGCCATGTTCTCTCAGGGGTCAGACCCCCTCTAAACCAAAATACTTTTCTATATCATTAAAACCGTAAACTGTGAGAATGTGGCTCGTCAGTGAGAGTTATTACGAGCCAGTGTAAGGCCTCGTCGGCTATCGTTTGCTCCCTGCTCTGTGCAACCGCATTCGTCTTTGAATGTGAAACCTCGTTCCCGCCTGCCCGCCGCGCACGTCACATTCAGTGTTCGGCATGGGCGTGCATTCCTGTCGCTCAGATTAAAAAATGCCACACACATATTTCAAGTGTGTCCCGCACTGCGACCCCCGCAGCCTCATTACAGCCACTGTGAGGGAACGCCATCAGGTTGTGGGCTTCATATATTAATTAGGTACTTGCATAATGTATTTATAAAAGGCACTTATGATATATTTATACAATTGTGGGGTGGGAGGGTGATAGAACATGAGTCTGCATCCTTCTGCATTATACATCATGAGAGGTCACACGAGTCGCACTCGGAGGGAGGAAGCGAGTCTCCGTGTATGGCGGCGCAAAAACAAATGGCGGAACGAAGGGATTCCTGTCAGTGTGCGCGCACGTCCACGCGCGCGTGACTGACATTCTCGTTAGCTCACTATCAAAGGGTCACGGAGGTTAACAGACGCTGGCGGCTGAGGAGACAGACTAATTACCTGCAGGTTATTGGTTCAACTCCCGCAAGAGCCATCCGTGTGTGTGTGTGTGTGCGTGTGTGTGTGTGTGTTTTGGGCTGAGGGAACATAGTTGCTCTAACGTTCTCTCAGCTCATCCATTAATTAACGTGATCATGTCAAGTCAGAAAAAAGAAAACATCATTCTCGTTCCACCCTCCACCCCCCCCGCCCCCTCGCGCGCCCTTCGCCAGCGGCCTTGCTTCTGCAAATCCATTTGGACTTATTGTAGTTTTTCAAAGTTTCGGGTCAGTCTGTAACCATCAGGAAAACCCCAATTAGCCTCGACTGTTTCCTTTCTTCACCAGGTTCGCTGTCTCTGCGAGTGTGGAGGAGAAGCCCCGCCCACATGGCGCCGCAGAGGCAGCGGGACCGCCGGAAAAACCTGTCTCAGCTTAGTTTTTTAAAATATATTTCCATCCAGCTTAGTCAACGTGAGAAGATTTGACGTGTCTTTTCCTGGCATCATGTCGGCTAAAACGTTGGTCACGTTCTTAGAGGCGCAATTGGCCATGTCTGCAGTAGGTCATCAGAAATGACCGAGGTCATTCATATTGTACGATAACTCCTCTCTGTTCCCCTCCTTTTCTCACACCAACTTCATTTTTAAACGGCTTCCATCCCAAAATAAAAAACGGAACTCTATATTCTTCCACTTTATGTCATCTGATGGAATTATGAACTGGCAGCCTGACAGCGTACGCACACATCCATGATTGTTTGGGAATAATGAATGACCTTATGAATATGTAATGCCACTAGTGTAAGCACACAGGAAGTGGGTCTTTCCTTTTGGTTTCAGCTTAAATATGTTGGTTTTGTCCTAAAATGTAATCAGTTGATAACTGTTATCTCTGCTGGTGCGTCGAGCCTTCGCGTGGAGCGACACTGAGATCTGCTTTATATTCCCTCTACTCCTCCAAGCAAACAGTTTTTGAGTTATGATGCACTAAAATTGGTATAATCAAATGTCTGGACACTCTTTATTGCTTTCATGAATATATTTGTTTTGCTGTCTTTGTTGTTAACAACGCAGGGATGCACAAATGTCCACAGGGGATGGCAAATGTCTGGAGAATTTAATTAATAGATGTGATGAGATACACGGTATACATTCATATTTATTCGCTGTTGTGCAGAACACAAAGAGAATGAAATAGATAGAAATATGCAAACTATTTAAAGGATTTCGCCCTCTGGAAGCGATCACTGATGGGACCTTTGATCCAGCATGGGTGGCAGATCCGTTCGATACACAGGAAACAAATATCCGTCTAAAGAAAAGTCTCTGCAATTTGCCCCCCACTTCTCAATGAAACATGTCCATGTACATATTCAGACACGCTCCCTTTGTCTCTGCCAATATGCTTATTTTTGCTCTCTTGCCGAAGGGGAAATGAGAAGTTTCATATTTAGAGTGGTCTCGTGTCTGGACAGTAAATATGCAGCCACCAGCAGCCAGTTGGCTTATCTCATCTGAAAGAAAGGAACCCCGGCCTGCCAGCACCTCCAAATGTGAGAATGTCACATGCGTGAGTCATATGCTAACCCAGCGTATGCGTTTGAACCCAAACCAGGATGCTTTCCTCAACGCTCCACTCTGGTAAACAAAGCTGTCGTCAGGGCTGCATTCAATCACAAGACTCACAGTTCTGATCCTATAACGGTTTTGAGTCATGGGCTGGATCAGCAGGGAAGAAAATTGCCTTTTACAACCATCATCCGAAGGTTAGCTGTTGTGTAAAGACCGCGCCAGGTTAAACGTAGCTAAGCTAACCGCTCCTCTTCTGGTGAAACGTATCCTGTGAAACTGAAACTGGTGTTAATGTTCCCGCCTGGTCTTTCTCGTGTGTTCAGTGAGCTGCCGCACTCTCCTCGCTCCCTGGCGGCCAGCCTCAACGACTCCGACTCCCGCTCCGTCCACCTGTCCTGGTTGCGGCCCTTTGATGGCAACTCCCCACTCCTGTACTACCTGCTGGAGCTCTCTGAGAACAGTACGTCTGTGTGTGTGTGTGTGTGTGTGTGTGTTTGTTTAATTGTGTGTCCGTGCTTATTTTATAGTCCCTGAGCGACGAACAGCTGTTCACTTGCTGTCTAACAGGCAGGGATACACTCTCATTTACAAGAGGCAGACATATGGAGAATGCTGTAGCTCAGTAAATGTACATCCAGGTTTCCTATAAATAAGCTTGGATTTCCCTCCCACCCTCACTCCCTCTCTCTCTCTCTCTCTCCCCCTCTCTCTACCACAGATGTTTTAACAGCAGGCTGACGCTGTGTCACCTGTCAGATGAGGGAGAGAGGAGAGAGGGATTGAGTAGTAGGATGACAGGAGAAACAGATTGGAGGGAGATGGCTGAAAGATAATTCGATGGATTGGGGAATGTCACACTCTGAGCCCAGCGACCGCCGGAACGCCGGACAAAAGTCTTAAATATTCCTGATGCATAACATTTTCGGTAGTCTTAATTCTGGTGACTTTTCCGGAGACGGCAGGAATACGACCGCGAGCTTCCTGCTGTCTCCGTCCCTGCAGCTGCTCTGCAGGAATCAGTAAAGTAATGATAGCCGGGTCGATTTCAGTAAAGACCGAATCCAGACAGTGAGGAATGGAGGAGAGTTTTGTGCATCCTGATTACCAGCTGTTAGTCTGAGTAGCGATAATTACTGTGTGTGTTTTTGTTTGTACGTGTTATTACATTTGTTTGGGTTGTATCTTTAACATTGTAATATTTGTATTTTAATGTCGGACACACACACACACACACACACACACACTTACACATCGGATGATTCCGCCCTACAGCCATTCTGGTTGCATCCTTAAATACTTGTTATTGTTGCTCTCCACCTCTCCTCCCTTCCTTCCCCTTTGATTAATGGGTCCCGAGTGTCCCCGTGTCTCTGTTTAGTTCCGCCCCAGCCAGATACCATCAGCCTCTAATCTCTGTGTCCTCTGCCCAGACTCGCCGTGGAAAGTCTACCTATCCGAGGTCGATCCAGCGGTGTCCCAGGTGTCGGTGGGCGGGCTCACACCTGCCAGGACCTATCAGTTCAGGCTCTGTGCGGTCAATCAAGTGGGCCGGGGTCAGTACAGCGCCGAGACGCAGAGGTAAGAGACACACGCTAACCACTACCAGCTTTATTAAATACATATTTCACACACCATCGGGTGAAGCCACACTGCTATTTCACTGGTGTTTTCAAAGAGCACGAAATACATTTTCTTTCATGTAGCACATGCTGTGACGTGTAAGAAATAGTTTTTTTTTTCCTTTTTAGCCTGTTCCACCTCTGTGTAATAGACTCGGTCACACTGCCGTACGCAACCTGGGAATAAATCAACTGGAACCTGGAATCAAAAGACATGGTGTTTACACACCCACACACTTGTGCGTCTAAGTGTGCGCGCGCGTGTGTGTGTTTTACCATTAGCACGGGTAGGGACATTGGATTCATAGTGAAACAAGGGCAATTATAACAAAGCGTCCCTTTTTTGTTTAAAATCCATTTCCTTTCTAATTTAAATTCATCAAATCGCTGCTGTGCATGTCTACTTGACGCGCGCGTGTGTGTGTGTGTGTGTGTGTGAGTATTTCTCCTTCAACTAAAATTATGAAAAAATGTTTGTGTGTAAAAGAGTTAGTTGGACTGAAAAAACAAAAACTCGGCGTGCAGATGTTTTATGTTTGTGTGCGTGCCGGTGTGTGTGTGTGTGTGTGTGCGTGCGTGCTTGTTTATCCCAAGAGAAAACACTAATGCGGCTGATTATGAAGCCTTAGCACGGATGCAACTGGGACGACTGGACGAGGGCTGCAGGAGGCGCGGCAGCCCTTCTAACCATGAGTACAGACGTACAGATGTGGCAATACATTACATTACAAAGTAAACCGTTTGGTGAACGGTTTTGTTTGCCTGAAGAGCGTGACCACGGGGCCGGAGCCAGTTGTGCTTCTGCCAAATAGCCTCTCAATAGCAGCAGCAGCTGTGAACGCCGCCACCGCACATCCAAGCACCTCAGATTACGGTCTCCTTTCAGATGTCCTCTGTTCTCGCCCGTTTGTAGTCCTCCTTTAACTCTCTCTCTTCCCCTTTTATCCCAAATCACTTATCTTCCTCGGCTGATTGTGTGTCATTATTCCTCTCCCGCGTGTACCCCTGTATTGTTTATGTCCGCAGTCCTCAGTCCAAAGTCGGTTGTTAGAGGCGCCGCAGAATAGGTCGCATTGATCCTAAATGAAGAACTGGCAGATGGACAAGTCATCCCTCGCGAGTGTATCTGAGCAGATGGATGCGTCTCAGTGTTTGACTCGCGCGTCTCGCAACCAGGCGCACTTTTCCTTTCATCTGCTGGGCGTTTGCCTGGATGAGACACGCGCGCACAATGAGCATTCGCAGGATGCCAATGCGCGTGCCGCACTCGACACAAAGGGGGACGGCGATGCAGAGGAAAATGTCCTGCAGGAGCTCTGAGCAAATGAGAAGGATGACAAAATGCAGTAATGTGGAACAGGACAGAATGAAAGAGAAGCCTCCAATATTGATGACAAAAAGCCCTTATTAAAGTTTGAACTTCCAGCTGCTTCTGAACTCTACCATTTTGTTCTTGCCCTGAATAGGATCTTTATCCTCAGCATGTATTCATATGTGTTTTTTCCCCACTATTATCCTGCCTGGCTTCCTCTCGTTCAAAGCGCTGCAGATGGACGCTTTAAGAAGAAGTGTCCTGGGGGTAGGACATCCACTAAGGGTGTGTGAATAATTGTGAGCAAAGCTTAAAAACATCACCTCTTAAGACTCTGCGAGAATCCAATTAAACCATCTGAGGTGTCACACTCGCACACGGACAGCAGCTCATGCACGACCTGCGCTCACACCGTTAACGTCCTTAAAGAGGCTGCATTCATCGGAGGAAAGCCTATGTTCTACTGCCTTGTGCAGTTTAAAGCATCCGCCTATGTTCATTTCGCTGGCATTTTTCATGCCATCGGTGAGGCTCAGAATCAGAACACATCAGCCTTTAACACCGGATGTGTGATACAAAACACCCTCCCTCACTTTTGCACACATCTACACACTAATAGACCCGAAACATTTATGCCGTGAGATTTAAAAGATTTACAGGAGATTTGATCTGTGCTTTTCAGCATTTCAATCTTGAATTACATATCTGTGTTCAGCAGTGGCCGCAGCTGTGTTGCGGGTGCTCGTAACATAGCGAGTGATTTATTTACTTTAGACTTTAGAGAGGAAACATCAAGACGATTGCAGCGAGAAGGCTTAGACTGACTGAAGCTCCGCCAGACACGGTTTGTCCAGAGAAAAAGACGAGATTACCGGCTTGGCTTCAACTTGCTCTCTTCTTTGCTGTCAACACAAAGTAGGAAGAAAAACAATGTTGGTTTAGTCAGTCCTTGCTGCGTCCCCGTATGCTCCATCGCCCCTTAGTCAACATTTCTGAAGAGGAGGTAATAAACCACAGCTTAGTGGGTAACTAAGCAGGTTTTTTTATGTGTTGAACAACTACTCACCCAGGATGCTCCCGTTGAGATTTAATTCAATGATTTAAGTAAAGTTTCACACAAACTAGCGAATTACCTTTTTTAAAAATAAAACATTGAAAAGAGAAAATGAACAAGCAGCAAGTTGCACCAACCAATGAATGAGCAGTGTCCTTTAGTTAACAGGACATTCAGCTGCTTTTCATAGTCTGCCATGCGTATAAAATAATCTGGTTGAAACGTCTTTGTATCTGAGAACAAGAGGAGAGTGCAAACCAACTAAAAGCACTTTCATCTAAAACGTGGGGCTGGATTTTAAAGGATAGACTGTATATATATATTTATGTATTTGAATGAACTCATTTATGTGTGAACTTAACTTCACTTCTAAATCGTACACGCTTCTAAGCTTATTAGACCGACCAATAATGGAAATTATCATTCTTTTCACGGTACAAAACAATCCAGCTTCAGAGTTCCACATTGAACCTCGCTTGTCCCGGGTTCAAGCAGATTTCCTTTTTGAAAGCCTCCAATAAAAAATATTGTATTTCATATGAATACTTTGTTATTTAATTAAGGGTGAGCTTTTATTTCCATTCCACTGATTAGACCTGCGACTGCTGTGCCCTCAGCCTTGACAGTTAAGAAGCCGTATACAACTATTGGCCTTGTGAAGATGTAGAAGAGTGACGTCTACCTGAGTGCATTCATGATGCACTTCTTTTCCAAAGTGGTTTCAAATCTATTTTCCTGCTAGCCTTTCTTTGTAGGAAATATGTTCCGTTTGGTAAAAAGACAAAATGTACGACCTTGTGACCTCAAGCCGAAACATCACACTCGCTGCAACCGCATGGATTCTAACCGACGCATTACAGCCCAGTTCCAAAACAGTGCTAAATGCTACCATGCTCACACTGGCAATAACGACATGCTGGTGTTAAGCAGGAATAATTAGTGTCACGTTGCTCTCCGTTTAGCGTGTAAGCACGATTATTTGTTAATTAGTACTAAACACGAGGTGCACCTGAGTGGGATGGGAATGTAGTTTGCCAGATTACCGAGTTAATGTTTTGGACAAATGAAAGTTTTGCCCTGACAGGAGATGCATTAGAGTCACCCTGAGGAGAACGGAGACGTCTTCATGGTGGTTCATCCGATAGTTCAGTTTCCACCCGAGTTGTGTCACAGCTAAAAGCAAATATCATAAAAAACATCTCAGTATTAAGCTAATGGTAAAAAAGCCCCCCAGGGAGTCTCTTTGAGACCCTCCGAGTTTATTTTCAGCGACACAGAGGGCACCGCATCCATCGATTGCTCGTTGTTTGTCAAAGCTCTAATCAGCCTGAAATCGGCCAGACGCCGATGGACTGCATGCTTTGAGGCGGAGCGTCTGCGGCCCCTCACCCTCTCTAACGTATGCGTAAACACAGACACGGCCGCCAGCTGGCAAGGTGGGATTATTTGCTCTGTTAGTGTTAAAGGTGTGACAATAAATCAAAGATCAGCAGAGGAAGTACAGTAAATACGAGCGAGCTTGACAGCACATTATATTACAGTCAGACTCTATTGTCAGCGTGCAGTAAAAAGTGTCATCGACCGACCGGATAATATAACTACAAAGTGACCAACACAACAGCCGGTGCGAGGCTCAGCCGCCTTCGATCCATCCTGAGAATAATGCACAAAGTTTGTCTCTTTCCCTCGACGGTGTCTCGTTAGTGAGTCAGCCGCCGCTGTTTGTGCATCTTTTAGCCTGAGGCCAAACAGCACAACATTTAAAGCAGAGGAGACTTAAAGTGTCAAACGAGAAGAAAATACACTAATCTATTCGACTGGTTTCACCCAATCATGTCGCATCTGGTTTCTCTCTCTCTCTCTCTCTCTCTTCCATTTTTTATTTCCCGTTGCCCTTCTGCTTCTTGTTTCTCTCCATTTCCAACTCTGGAACTTACTGGATCCGAGATTTACGATCCTGTTTGAATAGAGGCACATCCAACATCCTGGTAACAAAATGCAATTTAAGAGTTGTGGACTGTGAGAAAAGCCGGTGGGCATTAAACTGTGGAGAATGACACAGATAGAAACTTTTCCTAATTCCCACAGTATAGGGACTCACAAAATACATGGTCCCACCACCAAACACACACGCACACAAAAGCACATAAATCTCCTGCAGAAAATGTCCTCTTTTCCTTAACAACAGGGGACAGAGAAAGTGTGTCACGCAGACAAAGTTGTGCGCTGCGTTTGGTTGGTCTGGTTTGGCTGTTTTGGCTGTTTTGCACCAACGCCTTGTTCTGCATGTGAAGTCGTGTGTGAGAGGCTGCACATTTAATCTCCGGCGTGAGGCGGATGTCCTCATACTGAACCCGCTCGGTGAAATATTTCTCCCCTAAACGGTTTCGGAGGGAATCGAGGCAATTCACAAGGAGTTTCTGCTATTGAGTACAAACCTGTCGGCGTGCATTTGTGTGTGTTTTGCTCGCAGTCAAAGCGCAAATGGCTGCATCTGTTTGGTCGTGCGCGCGGCGCGTGGGTGTTTGTGTAGCGTGAGTTTGTGCGCATTAATGTGCATCATCAATTTCAGTCAAAAAGCGGTGGCATGTTTGAGGATTATACATACCCCACTTCCAGGCGGCTACACTAATGCCCATCTCATTCGCACAAGGCCCATTAGCCTATGTGTCTGTGTGCGTACTGTACATGTGTACGCCTGCAGCACCTGGCGCCGTCCCCCAGTGCCTAACCTAATGGAAGTAAAGCGCAGCTGTAAAACCACTGGCCTGTGCCGTATATCCGCCTGCTTTCAACACCTTCACTGTCACCCATTCACACAAACACGGAGAGCCGCACCACGTCTAATGGCTCAATAGCTCACAGAGAATCATTCAGGGGGACACGAGGCAGGAGGGGGTCGGAGGGATGTAAATCTCCAGACATAATCCCTGGAAGGGAAAAGACCATCGGATGTAGCAGTCTGTCTTAAGCTGGGAGAAATTTGTTTGGAGTGTGTGTGTGTGTGTGTGTGTGCGTGCGCGCATATGGCTCTGATTACGTTGGCTGAGCTGCTTACGGTAAAGCCACAGGCTGACCAGCTCAGACCGGGTGCTTTACCAGCCATGAGAGGGGCCGGGAGCTTTAATCACGGGTGGGGCATGGAGGGTGGGGGGGGGGGGGGTTACAGCGCAGAAGAGGAGGGAAGGTGATGAGTAAAAGATAGAAGGACGAAATAATTGAGGCCAAAGGACTTGATGGATGAAAGGTGAAAGTTGGCAGATGGGAGAAATAAAAAAAGGAGGAAGGGATCAAAGTGTCGAAGTGGAAAAGATGGTGGAAAAAGATTTGGAGACAGAAGAGAGTCGGCCAGGTCAGAGACAGCGAGGGATCCTTCTGACTCGTTAATGACCAGCTCCTTTTTCATTCTCAACCAGTGTTTCAAACCGAAACCGCCCACAAAACGCTCGCCAGCGAATCAAATGCAAGATGAACTTCAATATAACCGAATATAATCGGTAATACACGGGGACCAAACGCCGGCCGGCTGATCTAATCGGCCAGTGAACGAAACACGGTCGGGAATCAACATGCGCCGAGTTCATCGACGCTTTTGTTTTAAACAGCCAGCTCCGCTCCGTCATTCCCAGGAGGAAACCTCCGGCGCACTGCAAGTGATGCGTTAAATGTTCCCAGCAGAAGCAACGGCGGTTTGTTTGAAACAAATGAAAAAATGTGTTTGATGAAATAGCAAGACACACGTGTAGGAGGAGGGAGGAGAGAGATGAGCAGAGAATTCATTAAGAACTCACCAGAGCTGCTGGAGCTGGGGGGGGGTATTCTGCATATTAAGTTGCAGTCCTGTCTCCATTCATCTCCTGTGATGAAAACGGGTTCGTAGACAGTCTGACCCCCGGATTAGAAAGGATGAAGACACTCATCCGTTGTTAGGACGCCTAATAAACGTAATCAAAAAATCAATGTTGTCCCTCCCCCCCGTGTCTGTTAGATTGATGCTGAGGGAGGAGGCCCCCAGCGCTCCCCCGAAGAACATAGTGGCCAGTGGGAGGACGAACCAGTCCATCATGGTCCAGTGGCAGCCTCCGCCCGAACCCCAGCTCAACGGAGTCCTCCGAGGATACCTGCTCAGGTACGTGGCGTTGGGAACTCGCTTCTCACGTGTGAGGATTTTGCTTCAATTTCACGCCATTGAAATGTATTTAAATTTGGGTTGTTTGGACAAAACAAGCAATTTCACAACGTCACCTCGGGATCCTCATCAGGCTTTATGTGTGTGTCTGTGTGCGCGTGTGTGCGCGTGAGATAGAGCGCTGACTCGTCTTGTTACACACAATAGGCTCCGTATATAAACGCCGACATGTGGATTATTACTCCATCAGATATGTACAATATTTAAGTGGTATTACACGTCCCTGTCTAGTCGCCTCATATATCCCTGTAAGTGGACATTTATATCACTTGTAGTAAAGCGAAGGCCTTCGAGCTGCTGCCACATCTACCAGGTATTAGAGGTGTTTTATTCTTGATGTGTAGAATAGAAGATACTCATTAGTTCAGATTTGATGCCGATTAGTTTTATTGCCCCCCCAGATGGCAAACATCTGTATTCGTTAGCATACAAAAGGAACACTAGTGTGGCTTTAAATTGCATTTTTTTAAGCTCTCTGTACACTATTTTCGGGCTTGGGAAATATTTTATTACTATGAAAACATTCGGTTGAATTATCGTCATTCATATCATATATTTAAAACATAACAAGAGAAAATGAAGATAACAAGCAAATTGTGATGTCAACAAGCATAAATACAAATTTACAATAACATTATACAGACATGTACATCTAAATGATATTATGAAAAGACAAAGAGAAATATTGACCAACGTTCAAATTATATTATTCATATATATTTATAAAAAATATATTACTATTATTTCATTAAGCAGTCTAAGAAATATGTGCACATCGGCAAAGATAATAATAAATGTGTGTTGAAGGAACAGTTTTTTATGGGGATTGATTTGCAGAAATGGAATACAATATTAAGCATGCTTTAATTGGCACTTTTGGATCTCCTGCAACCTCCTGGTGGATGCCACCCGATGTTACACACTTAAATATTTCATCTAACACATTGATCCCCACGTGGAAATCAGGCGTGGATGTGATGTGTAGTGTGTATCAGCCGCAACATTTTGCTCAAGGATTCTTAAAAATGTGATGTGAGAAAGAGAGCCAGCGGTTCAACCATCAACCCCGTCGATTAGTCGCCGTTATTCCCCCACAAACTTAATATAGCAGAAATGTGTGTGTGCGCGTGTGTGTAGGTACCGTCTGGCTGGGCTGCCAGGGGACTACCAGGAGAAGAACATCAGCAGCCCGGAGACCAACTACTGCCTGCTGAAGGATCTGATCATCTGGACACAATACCAGATCCAGGTGGCTGCCTTCACCGGAGCCGGCCTGGGCGTCTACAGCAGCGCTGTCACCGAGTACACTCTGCAGGGAGGTGGGTCCGAACTCACACCAACACAGCCAGTGTAGCAAGAAATGTCTAGGCGTTGTGTGGATCGACAGTCCCTGCACACACACAGACACACACACACGCACATGTCACTGAGCTTTGAGTGGGACAGCACAACAATATGAGGAGCATAATCCTTGAGTGTTCTTTACAGAAAAGAAACACTTCCTTTGCCCCTCGAGTCCTTAAATCCTCAACCTTAAGACTTCACAAACGCACACACTAGTTTACCATTTTGTTTTGTGATACAAAGCTGGTGTGTCTCCAGTGGTCAAATAAATGCTATAAATATATTCTTAATATATTTCCTGACGATAAACACTTGACAAACAGAGATGTCTGATAGATTGTAGTAAATCGTTGTCACTACAAACCATGGTACTTTGTGTTAAATGCAACATTTAGATTTAGTGGACGTGCATTTACAAACAGGGGGAGCAGTACTTGAGAGAGTAGAGAGTTTGAGGAACAGACGTCCGCTGTAGACAGAAATAAAAGGGTGTTGCAATAAAAGAACGTAGGTTTGCTCTCGGAATCACTCACTCACCAAAGAAGTGCACCGTACACTACAGAGAAACCTTTTCTAACGGGGCCAGCGGGTGGTGTTAGATTTAAGGAAGAGCCCCCTCAAAGGTTTGTACGCGTCTGGTTAGCGATCCGGTGGCTGAGATCACGCCTGAGGGGCAGAGCGCTCCTCCGGGCTCTCAGCGGCGGGACGAGCAGCCGCTTGATGCAGCTCACACTTGTTGAGCTTTGCCCCCGAGGCGTCCCCCTCAAAGACAGCGACTAGGAGGGGACTTCAGGGCCCACGCAGGAGGGATTTCACCCCCCCCCCCCCCCCCCCCCCAAGCTGGCCAGGGATCCCCGCGGGATGAGCCGCAGGTCGTTTGAAGGGAACGTGACCCTTTTATTCCAACTGTTTATTATTTCCACAGACGGAAACGCACACACGTGCACATAAGTCCTCATTACAAGAGTTCAGGGCAGGTTTATAGACTCGGGAGGGGGAGTCGGGCTCGTTAATTATTCTAATGTGGTTTAAGGGGAGTGGCTGAGATGGATTGGACATGCTCTCTCTCACTATCTCTGAGACTCTGATAACATTGCTCCCTCAGACACACACACACACAGGCGCACACGCATACCGACATTCCCCCAGAGGACAGAGTTTAGTGTTTTATCTGTAGCTGTGAGCTGCGAGGGGTTAGTAGCCCGATCCCCTGGAGTATAGTCGGGATGGTGGGGGTAAAGGAGGGGGGGGGGGCATCTTTAACATCAATTAATCTTCCGTCCCGCTCTCTGCGTTCTCCTCCGTTGACTCCATCTCTCGCCGCCTCTTCACTTCCTCCCCTCTACTAGTTTTTGCTCGCAGTTCTCCTGTCGTCTGGTCTCTTTGGCTCAAACGTGAAATGTAAAAGGCCATTCCCATCATGCAACAGTGCATTATCACGCTGTGGCTCTCCGGCACCAGCATAAACCCCTTATAGTGTAATCACCGCAACGTTGTGCCCACGGACACACAAGCAGCGCGTACAAGCACACACTTATTTCACGGTCACTCTTCACTCCGCTCTTCATGACTTTAATGTCGTCATGGAGTCTTATTTCTCGCTGGTCTGATATATATTCCATATTATGTCCAAATGATTTACATGTAGGGGCCATTTGTGCATTGGCATGAAGGCAGGAAGAAAAGCCGATTCAATATTAAACAAAGAAAAACCGCAGAGATTCTTTACTGGTTGTAAGAACATAGATGTGTGAATTGTTTCTGTCCAAAAAGTTACAAATAACAAAGTGTACCCGTCACAGGGAGAACTAAGCAGCCTGATTACGTCACCATGGTGACTGGGCACTTGAAAGTTTTAAATTGAAAGCCTGCTTTACAAGCGCATGTATGGGGTTTTAAGAAAGTACATTTAGGAGGCATCCATTTTACTGCAGTGTTTTTGCAGTTGACCCCGTACCTCAAAAAAGAAACCAGGATGCCTCGTCCTCAATGCCACCACTCCTCTTCAACATCTGCCCCTTATACAAATCCGGTGTCACTGTTCTCATGATCTTTTGATTCAATGAATCATGGCGTCGCAGGCTACGCAGTTACATCATGTGGGTCATAAAGGTTGACAGGGCCGCAGTAAAAGGAGACCGATGTGTCTACAGGACTGAAGCAACTACTCCAGTGAGTCATCTAACTTTCCGTGGCCACCGTTTGTCTCCTGAGGTCAGCGAAAGCCGTTATAGATTTCATTTATCATTAAGGCTGTCTCGGTGAGCCGTCATTGTTCAGCACCCTGTCACCGAAGGGGCAGCACCCTTATCTCACTTATCCCCAAATTGATACTCTGCGAGCTGTGTGAATACGAAGTGCAATTGATGAGAAGAATTGTATTGAGAAATTAGTTCATTTTGCAGCAGAGAATAGCAGTGTTGGGCTGGCATTTAACTTTTGCAGGCGTAGCAGATATTTTAAATTAAAAAAGGAAATGAATATCAATGTGAAATATGGTGCTGTGTTATGTACATTTTAAAGCACAGCTTCAAAAAGTAAAAGTGTAACCTTGAGAACTGTTTATTTCTGCAGCTCGAGGCTCCCGAGTCGGTTGCCGCGTAGCTCTTTCCAGTGTATCTAAACGCTCATGGAGCTTCCCCGTGGTGAACCCATGCAGCTAAATGTTACATCTGTGCTCAGTTCCCACAGCACCTCCGCAGGAAGTGGAAGTTCTAGCTATCAACTCGACGACCATCCGCTTCACATGGAACCCGCCGCCTCAGCAGTTCATTAACGGCATCAACCAGGGCTACAAGGTAAGCGTACGACATCTCGCACCAATGTACGTGCAACCCGATGTTGAATGGTTAAGAAGAAGTTGGATGAGGTAAAAGGCCGATGTCCTGTTTCAGGAACATTTTCGTAACCTGAAAAAAAGCAACGTATATTTAAAGTTAAAAGAAAATCTGTTCTCATCATCTTTCGTTGTAATTTTATTAACAAAAACAAACCCCCAGCTCTTATGCTAAAATGACAATAATATGAAACAACCTTCGCTGCAGACAACAGCCAGTAGTCAAATACCTCCGTCTTGAGTCAAACGGCTCATTTAATGGATGGTTTTAGCAGGTTCCCCCCCAAAAAACAATGCTTTAAAATACATAAATGTTGTATTTTCCTGTTGGGACTTTCAGCTCAAAGGTCGTGGCTCGGAACGCTTAGCCCAGCCGAGTGAGGGATCAGCTCCAGGTAGAAATGGAAATGACTGATGAGAAAAGGAGAGGGAGGATTAAATGGGGAAAGAGGACGTGTTGAGAAAGTAGGGAGCAAGAGACCGAAGAGAAATAAGAGATAATAATACAGGAGCAGGATAATTGGGAGCTGGGAGGGATACCGTGAGTGATCTGTACGTAGTAGTTTTTGGTGTGTGATTTATTATTCACTTTATCGTGGCAACAAACCCCCGAGGAACTGATTAACATGACAAAGAAAACACATCACGTTCTTGCCGCGCCGCGTCCGTCCGTGTGTGAGCGCGCTTTACAGAGCGTTGGTGTTGGTTTCTTCATCGGTTGATAAATGCTGTATGGCTTTCTTCCTTGTCTTGACGCTCTGTGTAAAGAAGACCACACCACTCTGAATCGGAGGAGCTTCTCGGTGCTGCTGCACACGTCTTCGCGGGTGTTGTTCTGGTTAGCGGACAGTAGATCATTATATTAATTAAAAGAGGATATGAAGCAACGTCTCATCTCATTTCATCTCATCCCCCCACTGACTATACAATAACCTCAATAATACAGCTCAAAAGGGTCAAAACTTGTGACGAGTATTCCATTTGTATGTCCTTATAACTGTCTTCTGACGTGCTTTGGCTTTGCTTTTCTTGTGAGAAGTTGGAGTCAAGGTAACATTTGTCTCTATTCATCAGTCGGTCTGAGCGTGCTGACAGACTGAGAGGAGGCCGTTTGTTAAATAGATTGCATTTGAATTATGATGGTTGTGTAAAAGATGCGTTGGGAAAGAAGAAATTCAGAAGAAATAGCTCAGTATACAGAGATCCTTATGAGGAATGTTACCTCACCTGGATGTTCCCGCTGTGTCCCGTTGTGCGGCCCAAGCTCTAGTCTGATCGAGGACGGCATTGTGTACTCTATGCGTTCCATAGAAATGTAGTTTCAGAATGCAGAAGTTGCTATAGTAACAGCAGACCCAATCATCCCGGCACCCTTTCAAAGTGGACTCGCATCCGATGCCCGAAGGTTCCAGATCAGCACTCAAACTGTACTGTGCCGATAATAAAGTCGAACAGAAAACTTTATGTTGCGGAGACGGACTGCGGGCAGAACGAAAAGCAGCCCAAGTCTCTCTGGGCAAGAGTTCTATTTCTTAATGTGTGAAAAGGTTACATGGTGGTGATTCTATTTGATCTAGTCTTCCTGCCATAGGGATCAGTTGTCAGGCCACAATGGCAGACCCAAATGCACGACTCAGGAAACAGGGATAAGCGTAATCGGTTTATTGCTCCCAGAGTAATGCAGGCAACAGTACAGGTCCAACAGGCAGGTAAACGTGGTCGTAGAAACAGGCAAGAGGCCCAGGTACACGGGAAGACAAACCAAGGGAACGCTGGAAAGTGAGTCAACATGGAGCTACAGCAATCTGGCAGGGGATCAGTGAACACGGGTGAGCTTATATACCCGGGGCAGGGGAAGACAACTACACACAGGTGAGAAACATCCGAGTGAAGGCCGGCAATCAACAGGCAGGAAGACAAGTGACGTGAATAGGGACGAACAGTGGGTGGAAAATAAGACATGCATGAAAACAGACGGAAAACACAATCAGTACATCAGTATCCCGTTAAATTGAAAATGAAGATGAAGAAGCAAGGCGACGATCCTGTGTAATATCAGACAAAGAAGGATTAATTGGAGCAATGTTTGATTCATGTATTGTTTCCATGGTGATAGAGGGTAACACAACATGGCTCGTCGTGACATGCCTCCTCTCTCGTTAGCACTATTTAGGTGTCCGCTTTTCCCTGTTTGTTTCTGTAAAGTAATATTAGACAAACTGCTGTGGTTCTGCATGTAAATCATTTCTCACAGCAAACTTTTCATTAAGCGCTGGCAGCGACGTATGTAAAGTGCTACATTCATTCGTGAATAAAAGCTGGAATTTGAGATGCAGATAAACGTTTTTCAAAGTAATGAAATATTGATATTGTTTTGCTATTTTGACAAATTTGTAAATAGCAATTGGTAGTTTTAGGCTTTATTGACAAAAAGAAAAAGCTGTTCAAATCATGTTTGTGACCTGCAGCTTATTCTATCAAATTTAAAAGATGATTAAACCAGAAAATAATGGGAAAATACAAGACGCCGATAACTGTGATAGACATTTTAGGTCTCGTGGTCACCCGCCGGATTAAACGGATTTTTACCGGCAACCTGCTGACCATCTTTCTCCCTCCCGACGCAGCTGCTGGTCTGGCCTGAGCGGTCCCCGGAGGACGCCATCGTGGTCACCATCACGCCGGACTACCCCAGCTCGCGCCACACGGGGTTAGTCAGCGGACTCAAGAAATTCACCTGGTACTTTGGCTCCACCCTCTGCTTCACCACGCCTGGAGACGGCCCCCGCAGCTCGCCCACTCTGCTGCAAACACACGAGGACAGTGAGTGCACGCACACACACGCACACACAGCCTCTCCCGTGAATGATAACGATGTGCATTGACTTGTTTTGTCTTCCGTCTAGCTGTTTCAGTGTGAAGCACGGCTGTGTACAGACAGGCCCCCACTGTCTTTCGTCTCCTTTTTGATCTTTTGGTTTTTAGCCTCCCTTTTGCCTCCACTGTGTCTTTCTAAAGAGAATTGATTCATATCGTTTTCAGACTTACTGGTATTCATAGCCGTCTGTTCCATGGACAAACCCAGTTGCCAAACAGCCCCGATAGCCTATAGGCAGACAGACAAGCAATTATTAGCAACCAGCAATTATCGAGTGGAAAAGGGGTATTAGAGGCCATGTTTATACACACAAACACACACACGCACACACATGCACGCACACTCCAACACAGCCCGGGACTGGTATTGATTGGGAGCTGGGCGTGCTGCAGGGTTAACGGCGGGTGTAATACTTGGTTGATGATAGCTTTCTCTGTGAGGTTGTGTGTGCGTGTTATTGAATGTCTGAGATGAATAGCTTAATCGCTCTGCAGGGAGAGAGGGGTTAGATAACCGTATGTGGAATGAGAAATGACAGGCGTGCACACGTGTGCACGCGCGGTCGTCGACGCCGATGTGATTAGGAGGCGGCGCTAGATCATTTAAAATATCACCAATATTGTCTGATGTGATCTGAATCTATGATTTCTTTCCAGCACCTGGACCCGTTCGCCTCCTGAGCTTCACTGAAATCTTGGACACATCACTCAGAGTCAGCTGGGTCGAGCCTGAAGACAAGAACGGCATCATTATCGGTCAGTGCGTTTAAAGGATCTCTTCACTCAGGATGTCCTGCACCGTCTCCACCTTCCCTCCATTAAGAAACGTTCATTGTTCCCTTCCACTAACGGCTGTGATGATGGAAGCTTAAATTAGGTTTGGATAGTATTTCCTCAACAATTCAATATTTTTCATTTTGAACATTTAAAAAAAAGAGAACATATGTCTGTAAAAAGGGTATAAATAAATGAGGATGAACAAACTCACGCGCTTATCTAGATACAAATCCATCAATGCGCTACCCAGTCAACAATAGTAAAAAGAAACGAATTACAACCCTTTCCCCATTTCGGTGCTTTTCATTGCCCGTCCGCCCCTTTCTTCCAATTTAACTAAATATTTTCAGTTAGTTGTTTCAGTCCATTTCACAAAATCACCCCATTAACTGTTAAGCTCTTGGGCCGAACACAAACGTTGTTATGGGGTTAGAAATTTTCCTCCCTCAAGCCAGGAGGCTTAATATCGTAAACCTACCAGGAAGGTCAGTTTTGTTATTTGCTTTTATATATGTCTGTGCCAGTTGGAAATTTCAAACAGAAACCTTGAATGTTAGTCTCTCCTAGGCAGCTCTCTTTCATAGCACGCTTTATAATTGTAGGTTGCTTTTGGACAGTGGGTGTTACTGCACACCCTCCACAGTTATTCCGGTGGACAACAAACAGTGTGCAGGACACTATGATCCACACTGCAGGATGACTCGAATAAGTACAACATCCCTGCAGCTGTGAAACGGAAGGAACCCCCGAAACTTGTATAGTTTCTTCTGTATTCTCCAATTAGCCCTTTCTTTTCAGTTTGCCGTCCCCCTCCCCTCCCCCCCTCCCTCCCTTCCATCTCAGAAGCTGTGTTGGTGTACATCTGATTCATCATCAGCTAATCCCCTCTCCCTGCAGCTTGTCTTTTCACATTATCTCCAACATGCCCCCGTCCCACGCATCCCGGCACCCATGGTGTTGTTTGCGCGGCGACATCCCGGAGCTCTCGAATCCCCCGCCAATTCCTTTGGCCTCACCTCGTCCGCAGCTCCGTTAGACAACGCTGCTGCACGACGAGCTGATGTGAATCAATGCGGCTCCGCGCGAGCGCGCCCGTACGTGTCGGTGAGTCCGCGTGGCCAACATCCGTCAGGCGCCCGCAGAACCCGATCGCAGTGCAAACGAGCGGTGGCCTCACGGTCGGCCTACACGCTCAGAGAGGAGCGAGAGAGAGAGCGAAGATTCAATCAAGGTCACCTTGCGCATTTACTCTTTCCTCCTTCCGACCAGCTTTTCATCCAGCACCTGCTGAGCGCCGAGACAGATGAGGGACCATCCGCCCTCTCCGGGGCTTTGCTTACAAGTGGTCTCCGCGTGCACACACACACACACACACACACACACACACGTTAGAAGGCGGCAGAGTGTGATGCATGACTCTGAAGATGCGTAGGGACAGGGATTTCGACTGTAGTTACCCCTGCAGCACTCCCTTCCTCCTTTTTGGCTCCGCGCCTGTCGTTAAGTGCACGTGCGTGTGCCTGTGCACGTGCTTGAATGCGCCTTTATTAACCCAGCGTGCGCTCTACACCCCGCAGGCTACCAGTTGTGGTGGGAAGTGTCTGGCGCCGAGTCAAGTCGCGAGGAGCGTTCGCTGTCCAACTCCACCCTGCAGTACCAGCTGACAGGCCTCACCTCCACCACGGCGTACGCGCTGCGGGTGGCGGCGCTCACCGCTGCGGGGCGGGGCGTGGTCACGCCCTCCACCATCTCCACCGGAGTGCCACCAGGTACAATAAATACACGCAGGGGGGAGCCGCTGACAGCGGATGGAAAAGAAAGTTTCGTGTTGCGGAGTAAATATGACTGATGAGCCCTCGCGATGCCGTTGTCTTTCCTCGGGATGACAAGTGGCTGTTACCGTGCATCCATAACTCATCAACAGCCTGCACACACACATCCACACGCACAACAGTTTGTTGTTTACAGCATCGTACGGGGGGGGGTTTAGCGGGTGGTTTCTTTGTGTGCGTACCGTGTGCGCCGCCATGCTTGTGAATGGGTGATTGGACCAGAGTTATTAGTTCTGATTAACTGCAAATGGCAAAGAGCAGAGACGGGGGAGAGAGAGAGAATCAGAGTGCAGGACCAAACAAGGGGGTGCAGAAAGATACATAGTCAGGGGAGAACAGACAACACAGAAAAATGTAATCTCCAAAGAACAGAAGACCAAAGTTTCCCAGAAATGGACTGAGAGAACGTGGAGGAGAATGGAGGGAAAAACTCGCTCACACAGCAGGATTTTTGTCCTAACATTTTCTGATTACTAATTTATGAATAAAAGCAGTAAAAAAAAAAATTGAAAGCAAGATGGATACAGACAGTTCATAGATTCAGAGGTTACTCATTAATTCATGAAAGCAAAAGACTGAAGTAAAGATGGAGTACTGAGTATTATTATATTATATATTAGGAAAAAGAACTAAAGGAGAGAAAGAGAGAGAGATCCAGTGAGCATAGCGTCTTGTCTTGTTTATTTATTCATGTATTCATTGAGTTGACAGAATTTCTTCATTCATCCGAGCATGGCAGCTAAAATCAACGTCCCCACATTACAACCATTACAAGTTTCCCGCCTGCACTTACGCAGCAATGGCTGCTGATAGCTCAAATTGTGTTGTGTCGCACACGTGTACCACGTCGTATCCAGAATGAATGTTGCCTTGTTTCCATAATAACTGGACTCGGTTCCGTTATATCATCTGTTTACAAAGAAAACCAACATTCTAAATCTAAATCTGTCTGATGCGTCCCGGAGTTCTGGCGTGTAGCGGCGCCCCGGCGTTTGATGGAACACGTCGGCTTTACAGGTCTGTATTCTGCCAGGTTCAGATAATGATGCTGCAGCAGACCTGGAAGGATTACAGCAGATCGCGGCGGAGCGCTCGCACCAGCCAGAGATGCGTAGTACGTAGATACGCCCAAACGGAGCGAAGACAAGTGGCTGGAGAGCCGGCGTGAAGTGCTCCATCTCGAGATGAGTGAGGCATTCGCAGCGCACTGCATCGTTGCGATTTTTGATTATGCAGATTTCATTAGCGCAAACAAGCTGTTGTGTATTTCATTTGTCAGGAAAAAAACAAACCAAAAAACGCAAACCAGGATTCGAGCCCAGTCTGCACAGCAGATGTCAAATGTGCGACCGATGCCAAGTTGATTCAACAGCTGCCAGCGCAGGAGTCTCTTCAGAGCGAGCGGCACATTGTGTGCGGCATTTGAAAGGTGGACTTGTAAGACTTTCATTGGAATATTTAGTTCTGCATGAAGTGTGCATACAAAAGGGATTATTATTTCCATTTGATTTATTCCAGGTGAACAAAAAAGGAGAAAATGATAATAGTCTCGCGGATGCTTGTTGTTGACCGCAGTTGCTGCAGCTCGCCGCCGGAAAGGGACAGAAGCACCTTTTCATACACTCAGCGTTTAGCGGCACACGGCAAGGAGCAAACTCAGAGGATTTTCTTTGTGCTGTAAGAGGAATGACTTGATTTGTAATGGTTCTTATTGATCTAATCCTTATTTGTCATATATTTCTGGTCCCATCGGGGCAGCCTTTAGCGTCGTACCTTGACACCGAAGGCTCTTGGACGGTTAATGTAGTTGATATAAAATAATCTTTTATTGGTCCCACTGCAGCACAAATAGAGACATCAGTAAAGCAAGATAGTGAAAATAATCTAATCTAAATGTAATAGCAATCACACTGAGTGGTGGAATGCCCGTTATTGCTCATATGAAGTATTGATATTGCACATAAATGAATGAATTGAATGAAGGAGCTGTCAGTCAAGATTAAGTTAACAAACAGTAGCGGTTAGGTTTAGGAAAAGCTCACGTGATGATTTAAAGGTACAGCGCGGGTGACGTCACGTGACTCACTGACGGGGCTTGAGGTGACATCACGCTGTCGGCGGACACACACACACACACACACACCGGCTCCCTGGGGGAAGGTTCCTCAGTGGACATTGTCATGCGTAATACCAAAGTGTGGCGCCGGTTGGTTCACATTTGCGTCCAAAACCTGCCGCGTCTCGCAGTGTGTCGGTACATGGCGCCTCGGCAGCGAGACCTGGGTGAACTGTTCACACTGTTGGTACCATCTGCCAGTCGGCGGAGGTAGTTACAGCGTGCTTATGTATTCCTGAACAACTTATCCTCATGAAATAACCTTTTTCTACTGATTACACATATATGAGATCTACTAAAAGGAAATAATTTGAGTGCAGTGGGCATCACTTGTGTTGAGCTTCTCCTTCCTCTCAGCAGCGGTCGGGGCGCTTCCTGTCACTCATTACCTTCATGGAGATGGAACAATGTTAGAATAAGAATGGGTCGGATATAATTGATGAGGCTTGCAGCCTACTCAGACCTTTGTAGGACTTAAATGGACTGTGCATTTAATTCACCTCTCGCCTGGTCACTTGGCATTGTATTGTACTGTCGACCTTGGAAATATGAATTAAATTGCTCGGACCAAGATGATGAGATGCCGATTGGCTGCATAAGTGCCTGTTTTTTAGTGGTTAACATCTTTCTTTCTGTGACTACACAGGAAAAAGGGCTGAAGTAAAGTGTTGGCCAACTCTTACTTGAAGCCTTTTGTTTATTTAAGCCCTTATTGGCGACATGATTAACATATTCTTCTCTTTCTATTATAAATATTATTGCACATGCATTTAAAGATGAGATATCTTGCAGTTCTGACATTTTCTTTTCTTCAGTTTGGGCATTTAGACATTTTTATCCCTTCATAGAAAAGTCTTTACAAAAGCAATATTTCGTCTTTCATTTATTTCTTTTGATGAATCCCTTTGAAATAATTCTCCATGCTGGGATGCTTCGGTCCTTTTCCACTTGAACAAAGTACTTTGGTTTTTTCGCAAATAAATTGGTATTGTAAATCATTGCTGCAGCGCCAGCAATTATTTTATTTCAAAGCTTTTGTAACCCACCATTGAAATACCACAAATAACATTAATATGAGCGCAACGATCCCGCGGGTTTCGGTCAACAGGTTCTGAATGTGCACGAACACAGTACCAGCTTATCTGTCCATTAGAGCTTTGAGTAAAGCGCTTCTCTCTCCGCAGAGCTTCCTGGCGCGCCATCGAATTTGATCATCTCCAACATCAGCCCTCGGACCGCAACCGTCCGCTTCCGTCCCGGTTCTGACGGCAAGACCGCCATATCGCGATGGATCGTCGAAGGCCAGGTGCGTGGGTCCACGTTGGTGCACGTGTGTCCTTTTTCTGTCTGAAGTCTGAAAGTGAAAGCGGTGACACGCGCTGCGTCCTTACGTGAACAGGTGGTGAAGGAGGAGGGCGGGAAGGAGGAGGCGTGGCGAGTCGTCCTCGAGGAGAAGAACCGTCCAGATGCGGACGCGCTGGAGGTCCCTGACCTCACGCCGTTCACCCAGTACAGGTACAAACACCCACGGCCCAGCAGAGAACGTCGTCTACCACGTGCACACACACACACACACGCACAAACTCACTCGCGCGCGTCTCTCCGCCAGTTTCTGCAGTATTGCAAGACTCAGGTGAAGTTCGATAAATCACGCGGACTCACAGAGAGGCAGTTCCGTCTGAGACTTTTCTGTTTGTCAGCACCTTCACAGCTGCTGCATGCAGATCCTTATTACCCTCCCACAACCTGCTGGAGGGAAGGAGCGGGGAGGGGGGGGGGGGGGGGATGAGAAAGTGGGAAGGGCAACAGAAAGCATTAAAGAGGGGGAGAGACGGAGGGAGACGAGACACACGGAGAGTCGGAAATGGAGGAGTGTCTTTGATCCGCGCTCGAGGGCCGTGAAGAGGCTGCAGTTTATGGACGTGATCCACAGCGGCAACACTTCCTCACTTTAAATCTCTCTCTCCATCTTCTGCATGTATCAGTCTGTCTGCCTCTGCCTCGTGCTCCGTGTGTAATGGGACTGTGTGTGTGTGTGTGCGCGCACAATGTACACTCGCAGGGATTACGTTGTCACAGGCAACACCGTTGGGACATTAGATGAAGTGATGCACTTGTCTGTACTTTTGATGTCCCCCGCTTTAAGTCCCTCTTTACACCCTGCCTTCGGGAGCCAGAACTCGTAGACGTAGTCTCTCGCATGCAGTCTGCTCTCTCACGCGTTTTAACACCCACAGCCAAGCGCGGCTACATTTAGAAGTTACAAAAGTAACAAGCGCTCCCTCGTGGCTGCGGTTGTGCGTGCGTATCTGTGTGTGTGTGTGTGTGTGTGTTTGTCACCAAGTCTGTGTGGTGATATCTCTTTTTCTCAGACATCTTAACAATATGCCAGTGGCCTTTTCAGAAATCCTCCGGTGGAGAGTTCCAGCTGAAGGATGCCATAGAGTGAAATATGTTTCAGTTGTGGAGCAAATAACATGAATATTAGAAATGCCCGGAAAGCTATCAAATAGTTTTTCTTCACTCTAACTGTAAAGTCTGGTCGCCTGGCTGACATGTCCTGTAATATTTCTATTGACTGCACTACGCTGTGTTATTGGGTCAAGTGGTCTCTCACAGTTGTTTGCTGATAAAGTACAAGCTTCAACGGCAACTGTGGGTAACAACACCTCATGGCGTCAGTATGACATCATCCGGATGATATTTCCGGAGGTTCCCCACCGGTAGACATCATGCGCCCGTATTCACCGGCTGAGGAGTACTCGTACCCGGGACAACTGGACTGAACTTGTCCTATAAAATCACCCCTACAGCTGTGCCCTCTGCCCTTCCCCAGGTTCAGGATGCGGCAGGTGAACATTGTCGGCTCCAGTGCCATGAGCGCCCCCTCCAGGCTGATTCAAACCCTGCAGGCTGCCCCCGACACGCACCCCTCTAACTTCACCCTGCTGTCTGCCACACAGACCAGCCTGCGCTTCAACTGGAAGGTACTGAAACACCTGAGCATGCGTGGAGACACACGCACGTCCTTAAAACAGTTGAGCCCCTTTCTGTCCCCATTAAAAAAGTTATAATATAAACGATGTACTTGCTCTGCATATCGTTTTTTCTCTGTTCTTGTTTTACTATAGTGGCATGTTTGAGGCGGTCGTGTGGCTGACGGCCTATAATCAGTGTCTCCCCTTGTTATCAGTGCTAATGCTAATCTGTCAGGTTGTCCATTCACCGCGCGGACCGCTAGCAGCACAAACGGGATTGTCATTTTCTCTCTTTTTTTTGCTCTTCGTTCTTCCACCTCTCTCTCTCCCTCTCTCTCTTTTACTCCCCCATTCGCTCTTCTATTATCACATAAATGGAGAGCAGAGTATTTTTCCATTTAAGAGTTGGAATGAGAAAAGAGCCTGTCAAATCAGACACAGACACTGAGGCGCTATGTGCAACCTGTGCAGCATGCTAATGGGATTTTACCTGCATGTTAGCGCCCAGTCTCAGCCATGCTAGCCTTTCTGCTCTAATGAAACCATCACAATGGTTTTAGCTAAGGCTATTACTCTTAAGGCTATTAAGCTGCAAATTAAGGGCAATAAAGCTAATGTGACATTCTGTATTATAGCTCCTAAATGCTAAGCCGAGCTACATCCCTGGGCTATTCCAAATGACGGGGTGTGTCACATCCTTATCTGCGGCGCGCCACAAAGCGCTCCCTCTGTGCAAAGTTGGTTAAGAATCTTCTACGGAATAATGCGCCGCGGACGGACCGAACTTCTCACTAATGTGATTTTAGCGGCGCTGAGTAATAGGCGGTCGTGTGATGCATTATGGCGTGGAGGTTCAGGGGCAGAGGAGGGAGCATGAGGTGACAGAGAAAAAGTATGGACAGCAGAGGGAGGGAGGGTGACAGGAAATGAGAGTGGAAGCCGAGAGAGGATGACAGAGTGTGAATAAAACAGGGAGAAGAGGGTGATGGAGAGAGGAAGATCAGGGGATGGAATGTCAAAGGGGAGAAGACAGTAAAAGCTTTTTAAGATGTACTTTAAATTTAGACATGTCACATAAATAACCCTTTTCTTTAGAGCTACTTTATGCTATTTCACTTCTTTTGTGTGTATCTGTGTGTACCTGTGTACATGTAGATGTGTGTGTGTGTGTCTTTGTTTTTACCACATTGTTAGGATCTAAACTTGATATTCCACTTGTGTTGTCAGGACGAGACTGGGGACGTCTAGATGAAAAGGTTAATCTGGCAGAGGCTTTATTTTACGGCTTAAAGGCTGTCAGAGACCAATTTTGAGTGATGCCAGTTTTCTGATAAAGCTAAAGCAGTTCGGGTGATTCAACATTGAAATTATAGTTGTTGTCTGTCCTTGCCAATGCTGGAAAAATGTTGTGCAGTATTGCAATTTAATGTGTTTGTGCATGTATTTATTCAGTATATGTGAGTGTCCTTTTTGTGTGTATTGCATTTTTCCGGAGGAACGTTGTATTAGATATTTCTCACAGGTACAGGTGGGTTATTATCACTCTATGGTAATTATCAGGAACTAGTCGTAATGAGCAACAAACTGTTGACCACATTTTTATTAATCACAATTTTACAGAAATTGGTTTCACGTTCAATCATCCTTTTCTCCTCTGCCTCAGTGTAGATAGTTTGTCTCTCATCCATCACAGTCAAAACTAATTAAATTCCAAGTGCAGGGACGGCACAAGTGTGGCCAAGTGCTGAAAATAGCAGATATCTTAGTTCGTAAGACTTAGTTGGGTGTCACTGTTATATTTAACCATGTTTGTTAGATGTTTTTAAACATTTGTAACATGAACAATTATAGCACTTTTGTGTGAAAAACATGAAGGTGAAAAGCAAAAGACGTCCAAACAGGAATGACCTGTCCTTAATCCCCTCCGTTGTGACCCTGCAGCCCCTCCCAGAGTCCGAGTACAACAGCAGTCCAGAGACTGTGGGGTACCGGCTCAGACTGTGGAGGACAGACGGCCAGGGGGAGGACAGGACGCAGGACGTGGAGAGAGCGGGTGGCACCAATGAGACCACGGTGGAGGGCCTGAACCCCTGGACGCAGTACCAGGTTCAGATCCAGGCCTACAACTCCATCGGACCCGGACCGTGGAGCGACACGGTCGCCGCCCTCACCGCGGAATCCGGTAAAAACCCAGAGCGTCGTCTCTCCTGTTTCCTGCAGAGCGGTCTGTCAAAAGGGGTACCAGGAGACGAGGAGGATGAGGAACAAAGTGCACAATTACCATCCACCAGTCTCCCTTCATGGCCCCTCCGCTCGCCGCCCTCTACGCTTTCCCTCTATGTCAGCCAGGGGAAGATTGACGCAGGGAGGGGGGGGGCAGTAAACGCACACACGAGGCTGTAAACACACACTCCCAGTAACCTGGTTAAATGTGTCAAATCTGTATCTTGTGTGACGGGAAAGTGTGATTTTCACATTTTGACACAAGGGCAGCAGCGCCTCGCTTCCCATCCACATGCACAATCACAAGTTCAAATGTACGAATTCTGTTAAGTCACAGACTTAGAGTCCCATGTGGTAATCCCCGGGTGTTTTAAAGCTCCCTAAGCGCCTCGGATTGTTTGGATACAGAATGCACTCAAGAAGTCACATTGTTTGAGGTTGGATTTTTTTCTCCAAGCTGTCTGAATGGAATAAAAATAAAATCTGACCCGTCCACCACATCCTGAAATGCCTTTTCAAATTTAAAATCAGTTTAGCTTATTAGTACTAAAGGACTGCAGGCATCGAGGTTGTTTTTCTCTTTGCTGTTTCTGTTGACAGTGTGATTCGGTTTAAAGAATGTTTTATTTCTGGCATATTGTCAAAAACCCAAAGTCTGAATAGTGGAGAAAAACCATGTGGCACCAGCAGATTTTTCACCATTAAGTCATGAAGATGATTCAAACTTGTGTGTGATACTTTAATTCTGCTTTTTATCTTGCATGTCATGATTTTACATGTTTCTGAACCTATCTGGGGGATTTCACTCACTATTTCGCATTAGTAATTACAATACTAGTTGCTTTGTTGCCGATTATTTTTCATCAGCGCAGCATGGCAGTCCTGGGAGGGGGAAGGAGGATAAATTACCTCTTATTTATTTAAAGAGCAAGACAACAAATATTCTTCTTCAACATGACTAGAAATGCTTTGTTTATATCATCTAGTTCCGTCTGGGTCCCCGGTGAATGTGACCGCTGAGGCAGTGAGCTCCACCAGGATCCTGCTCAAGTGGTCCGCTCTCCCCCAGGCACAGAGGAATGGAGTCGTACTTGGATACAAGGTGTAGAAAACACACAAACACTCGCACACTCATGCACACAATCGCGCCCCGGCCTTCACACTTGACCCCCTCAGCCCATTATCACTTTCTCCAACGCTTCCGCACACTTTGGATGCTCACATTGGCATCTAATATCAGCTAAAAAAATGACGTAATCCACTGCAACTGCTCCAGTTTTGTTCTTCTAAAAGCCCCCGGAGTCGGTTAGTATGTGTGTGTGTGTGTGTGTGTGTGTGTGTGTGTGTGTGTGTGTAAAACTGTGCACATGCTTATGAGAGTGGCTTTAATGTTTAATACCCTTTCATAAAACAGCAGTTTTTGTGTCATGCTGTAGTGGGAACAATAGCCGGATTATTCATTTATGAAAAGTGGACAATAATCCATAAAGCCCGATGGTTTTTGGTATTTGAAAAAAAAAAAACATGAACTGACGCAACGGGAGCGTATTCGTTGTGTATACACACATGCCGGGAATATTCTTTAGAGATCCTGCATTAGTATTTAAGTCAAGACTTGTGAACCACTCAAGCAACGCGGCTTACAATCCCTGTCTGCCAAACTTTAGCTCATCTGTTCTTTGTATTCAAACTAAGTCGTAGAACGCAGCGATGCGGTGAACATGTTCAGGTCTGTAAGAAAAGGGCTGGATAAATGCTGGGTGATGGTGGTAATGCCAGGTGCACTCAGTTTTACCTAAGTGCACAACTCAGCGGCAGCAACATTGCTCCTTTTACTCTCCCACGCAGACCCGCCAAAGGTTTATTATGATGCACTCCACTTCCTTTTTTTTCATATAAAATAAACAGACGACACCCACCAGTCTTGTTCTTTTGCAGTTTAGCTTTTCCTGTGCTGTGGCACTATATCGTTGTACGCCCCCAAACAGGAATTTCAACACGGAGAAAACACGCGCCACATTATTTGCCAGTATAAATCTGGCATTGAGTTCAGCTCTTAATCACCAGTCCAAACAAAACATAGCGAAAGGAGGCTTTAAAAACAGATGGAAATGTACCTTCATTTGTAAGTACATGTTTGTGCTTCAAACACACTCATCTACTAAAGAAACAGGCTGTAACTGTGCCATGCAGCCTTTTAAAAATCCTCTCCTCCACCATGCCCACAGCTCATCACACTCCCCATCTGTGTGTGTTTTCTTGTGCCCTCCTGAGGATCCCACCGAGCAGCACGCCTTCCCACGGCTGCCAGCAGTAGCTCTTCAGCACCTCCCGTCCCTCAGTGGATGCTGAATAGTTTTCTGCCTCCTGCAGTCCTGCCGAGCTCTCCCAATGACTATTTCTGTTCTTTCAGACACTTGGCATTTTCCTGTGCATGAACATGAATAGGAGAAAGAGCAGGAAGGAGCCCTTTTGGACACGTGAGCGTGTTGCCGGTGAAAGAGCACCGGGTGCTGATCTGTGTTCATAATGGCTGTAGGTGTTACAGGGTCGGTCTGGTCTCACCAAATTACCAAAAGTAATCAAAGGCTTGATGTGGCCTATTTATCGGGGCACAGACGGACGTGTTCCCTCGCTGTGAAGCTCTATGCTGTGCAGTTTGTAAAGCCCTGTGAGGTTTGTGTGTGTGTGTGGAATTTGGGGCTATATTAAAGAAAGTTGAATTGACTCATACACAGCTCTATTAACTAAATTGTTTAATTAAAAATTTTGCAAGCGCACCGAATCTGCAGCTGAAAGTCCGGCGCAAATACACTTATCGTGTTTGACTAAAAACTTTCTTTCCCATCTGTTAAGGGGTTTTACTTTGCTTCCTTTAAACAGGATTTAACCAACTACATATTTGTCCTCTTTCGACCGATTCGTGGGATCGCATGTGTGACGCGTGTGCCCGTTCTGTGCATGTCTGTGTCCAGGTGACGTACAGCGAGAAGGACTCGGGAGGCCCCCCCACTGTGCAGGTGGCAGAAGGCGAGGGGGGGGTGACGCTGCTGCTCGACGCTCTGCAGAAATACTCAATGTACGTGCTGCAGGTGCTGGCGTACACGCGGATGGGCGACGGCCCGCAGAGCAACCCCGTGCTGCTCAGAACCAAAGAAGATGGTAGGCTCTCTCTCTCTCTCTCTCCCTCCATCTCCCCCTCTCTCCCCCTTTCTCTGATCGCTGACCTTTCTGTCCGGCTCTCTGCTCCACACTTTTCCTTTTTGTTCTCACCTCTGGAGCTGTTTTTTTACCACCTCTCCCCGTCTCTTCTGTCAGCCTGCAGTCCCCCCACTTCACTGATCCTCCACTGGGTTAAGGTCACCCCCTCAGACCGCTTCCCCCGTCCAGACATGGAGAACACATTGTGTCAAAGACAAACACACACACACACACGGGAAGACTCCCATCAACGCTCACACCTCATCCTCTATCAAACACGTGTCACGTTTGAAAAGTTTTTCTCATTTCGGGATGAAACAAGAACGGGGAAAGTCGATTCCCGGGATGTATAATGAACCTCCATCCTGTCTGTCAGTCACACACATACACGTACTCTACACACACACACACACACACACTCGCGCCGACGTGTCTCTGGTGGTGTGGAACATGTACTTTTATCAGGAGCGGTGTGAGGCTGAGAGAAAATTACATTTTCTATTTTGCATCTTTTAGTAGTGCCTCTTAAGAATGTATCAGGCGCTATATGTGTGTCTGTGTGGGCGTGTGGAGAGCCTACGCACACATTTGTGTGCCTTGGTGCCGTCATCCTAACTTATTAGAGTATAAACGCTTGATGTTGTCATGACAGTATTGAAGGGGTCCTTTTGTGCGTATTTTGTCTTTCTCCTTGTATATCATTATCCTTCTGCTGCCAACTCCCTTCTCTGTTTTTCTCTCCAGTCCCAGGCCCCCCTGTCAGGATGGTGTTTCCAGAAGTTCGGTTGTCATCCATTAGGGTGGTTTGGCAGCCACCCACAAACCCCAACGGCATCATATTAGGTACAATAACAATCCCACGCAGGCACGCACACACACACAAACACACACATATGGGGGCAGATATTTTAGAGCATCATTTAAATCATAACCCGTTTTTTCACGCTTGTAGTGACAATACATTTATTTTCAATCGCTAAAGGACACAGCTCGGCTTGCAGAGGAAATGAGTGAGCAGTTTTGTAACGTATGCACACCAACCCACACACACACACACACACCTTAAAAAACACACAGCGCTGTGATCTTTCAAGGCAAGGAAGGAAGTCAAAGCCGTAAAGAGGAAAAGAGCTGATTGTGTTTTTCAGCTTTCAACAAGGGTCAGCTCTCCCCACTCTCCACTTCAGCGGAAACGTTTATTGTGGTTTGTGTGTGTGTGTGTGCGTGTGTGTGTGTGTGTGTGTGTGTGTGTGTGTGTGTGTGTGTGTGTGTGTGTGTGTGTGTGTGTGTGTGTGTGTGTGTGTGTGTGTGTGTGTCTTAGTGTCAGTGATCAAGCTTGCATCCGGAGGAAAATGGGCTATTATAGCTGCTGAGGCAAGACGCCTTTCCTCATGCATACATTGGCGCACATATAAACGCTGCAATTCAAACATATCAGTTGTTTCTGAGACAAATCACAGCGTGCAGAGTAAATCAGAGAGAAGAGATTAATGAAGGGGGGGATGTGAGAGCTGCTGAGCTGGAAACCGAGAGAGCAGAGACAGCAGAGGGGAGATGTATGCAGGTGAGAGCAGGGACAGGTGTGTGTGTGTGTGTGTGTGTGTGTGGTAGGCAGTACTATTTGTCCTCTCATGGGGGGAGGGATACGAGCAGGACGCTGTGAGTGATGTGTGAGTGTAGCGCAAGGGGGAGGACATTTAGTGCGACACCACTGTGTGACAGAAGGATGAGTAGGAGGGCAAATCTCTCTCTCCATCACAGAGACACAGAAAAAGTGCAGTCGTGCTGTGTCCTTGCTGAGTTCGAGGTGTGTGTGTGTGTGTGTGTGTGTGTGTGTGTGTATGTGTGTGCGTGCACGTACTATGCAGATACAAATAACTAGCGCTCTCCTTTCTATAGTGCTCACAGCGGCCTCATTTCTCCTTGGGTTTTCAGCCCATAAGGGACTGACACAGAGGGTGGACGGAGGAGAAGGTGCTCAATCTAATTTGGCACGAGGCAGCGAGGCGTCGGCGTTCTGACGTGACCTCTTGGTGAATATATTACACGGCCACTGTCCCAAATAATACAATAGTTCATGCTGATTATAAGGGGGCTTTGAGTATTTGTGTTCACTCACTCAATTAAAAAAAGTATTGCAAAAAGTCAGTATATTTCCCTATTCTTTATTCTGTAGTCCCGACACGAAAATACAGTTTGATGCCCGTCGACGGACGTATCCCATCACTTCCTGTTAACGCAAATCTGTATCCCAAACTGATTTATCTGATCTGTAAGACTGAATGGAAAAATAACACCCGCCTACTTTGGATCACAGAACATGAGGTGCAGTGTGCGCATTTTAACAGAGAAACCCAAACGCCATGTCGGCTAATTATCAGCGTGGCAATTTAATCAGGGATGGTTGGGTGATTATTTTCCCTTACACAAGAGGGAAACCATTAAGAAAACATTACAAATTAGAACAGTGAACACAGGAGTCAATTAATAAAGCAAATGAAGTCATCATTATTCTCAATTAATGCATCCATAATCTCTGCAATTAGTACATCTACGGGGCTTATTCAACATAACATTTTAAATAAAACACCATACAAAACACTCCATTAAACATTAAATCCCTTTACGTCATAAAGTCCTCGTTTGGACTTTCATACGTTCTCTCTGTCCTGGTTTGGGGAGTCTTATCTTCAACTACCCATAGAACTCTGGTCTGGTGAAAGTTATGGGGAAATTAAGCAGGAAGTTGTCTCATGAAACACTATTAACATACTTTAACACACAAGATGCAAGAGGTGGACAAAGAACCACCTGAAGTTGCGCCGCCAGATTTCGTCTCTGACCTACTTTGTTGTACAGAAGCATCACTAAAAATCTCCCAACCAGGCTTAGAAGCCGCGTCGTGAGTTCTGACAGGGTCAGTGAGCATTGAGCAGCTAAAGGCAAAAGAAACAAAAAGTGGATTAAAAACACACAGTGAAAGCCTTCAGCTGTGAAATACCACGTTCGTGTTACATCTTTTCAATGCACAATGGACACGACGCAGTCGCTCTGTAAAGGCGACGCCGCCTTTTGTATGTATTCTGTATATGCACGCAACGGCGCCCAGAAATAGTCAGCGCCCGACATAATGCCGCGCGCCGTGACCCGACTGGCGGGAGGATTTCTCATCTCGCCGTTATCCAATAATCTTCCACACACTGCGTTCGCATTAATATACAATCAGACTATCTGATGAGATTATCACCCACACAACCAGATTAAAACCCCTCTGAGCAGATTACCATCCTGACAGTCACCCTCCGTGAACCCCCACACACTTGCGTGCGTGTTTGCGGATGTGTGTGTTTTCGCATTGAGAGCCATTGTGAGTGGCCAGCGGCCTGCGGAAAGCTCTGTCGGGGATCAGTGGTTTGAGTGTGTGTGTGTGTGTGTTGAATGGTGTGTGTGTTATTACATGGCGTACTGCACATGACACAGAGAAGCAGACACAAGCTGTGTACACCGCGGTTCACGGGCAGCGGGACAGAGGACGTTTCCACACACTGAGCGTGCGTGTGTGTGTGTCTGTTTGTGTGAATTACGACTGTGTGTACGATACAAGAGCTCCGCACACACAGCGGCACAAATAGAATGTCTCCGGAGCCGCGCCCTCTCAGTGGCGGCGGAGAAGTGTGTTTGTTGTGCGGTGGTGTTTTCAGGCTGTTTTCCCGTCTCGCGTCGTGCTGTCTTTGATTCCCGCGGGCCCTTGTGATTTTAAAGTAGGCCACAAAAACAAAAACACACGGCAAGACATCCACAGACAGGACTCTCACACAGATCCCAACTGTCTTCCTCCCCCCGTCTGTCCCCCCCGTCTGTCCCTCGCCAGGCTACCAGATCTCCTACTGCTCGGACAGCAGGGACCCTCGGCGATGGACCACGGTGGAGGTGGGCTCCAACGCGCGGCAGTTCACCGTCACGGGGCTCTCCCCCGAGCAGGCCTACGTTTTCCGACTCACCGCCCGCACCGCCGTGGGCTGGGGGGCGGAGCAGGAGGCCCAGGTCGTCACCACGGAGCGCAGAGGTAAAGGACGCATGGAGGGACAATTAGCATGTGATAAAGGTCATCGAGCACATTCAGTTCACTTCATTTAAAGGCCTTGAAACCGATCATTTCACATGAAAAAAAGAAGCAGCGTAGTCTCGTTCTCTTCCTCCTGGTTTAAAGAATGTAGGCTCAGTGGGGGAAAAGTTTATTTTAGATCCTTCTGTGCACCAATGTGGCAATATTCAAAATAATCTGATGGCAGTGTGCAGTTGTTTGCTTATCTTCCCAGAACTGTCAATCAAGTTCATCTCCTGGTACATAATACCTGAGGATGTTTTTTTAACCTTAACCTGTGTTGTTGTTTATTAAGTGATGAATATGCAATGTTGTAGTAGAAAATAGGCCAACAGCACTTGCCATGCCACAGTTGCAACTGTTATAAATGATTAAAGGTATATTTTATAGTTTTACTGCTACACTGAGTGCAATTATCAGCTGTGGAAATACCTACAATGGTACATTATGTGGTCGGTGGGTCGCTGATGGAGAAGTTTGTTTGGAAATCTCCAAACAGAACTGCTCTCTGGTGTGTGTTTGTGATGAGGAAGGTTTTTTTTTTAATTCACCAGTTTCTCTCTTTATATTGAAAGAGGTCGACTTAATAACTGTATGATTCAATTCTGAAGCCGTTTCTGACACCAATGGAAGCTGTATAACAAGTTTGTTCATTTTGCTTCTCGGAACTTACTAACTTTTCCACACTGGTGAATAATTCAACAATAACGGGGTGCACGCTTGGACTAATGTTGGGTAACGTTTGCCTTTTTCATGCACCCCCAATAAATATGAGTACATATATCTCATGTGGCATTTTCACCACAGCAATGTAATAATCTGTAATGAAATCCTCATTATATTGGAATGATGCATAAGGAAATGAAATGTGTGCAATAAACCAGATTAGACATGAAATTCTGAGCCAATTTAAGGCAGCAGTAATCTGATTAGTGTTATTAACTTTACTTTTGCTTTTCTAAAATGTTTGCCATTTGGAAGGTCTGTCATGGGAGGGACCTGAAATAGTTTTAACGCTATTTCGTTCTCTTTTTTTACGTAGAAAAGTAATGTCATTTCCTACAGTAATGCGAGTTCTGTAAGACTGTGGAAAGGTTAGCTGAAGTTTAAGCATTTTGAAATGTTATGATCTCTGCGGCCCTGCTTATGGGGGTGTAATGAGTCGTGGGAGATGTGAAGTCGTCACGGCGATAAAGTGAAAGGCAGGAAAAAGGAGCTTTGCGCGTGGAGCTCGGACAGATTATCAGGGCTTCAACAACAAGTAGTTTGTGGTTGGACATGCAGGGTCCTTCCTTACTGGGCACTTAATGCTAGCGCAGGGAAAAGGAACGATGACCTTTTCTGTGTGCGGGACCGTTTAATAGGAACCAGAAGAAATGACATTTAGAAACTTGAGCGGAGGAAGCGCTGCTTGGCAGGCGAATGTAGATATTGAAATGAGCAGGTATCAGCCCTCCTGCAGCGAGGGGGGGGGGGGCTGTACCTGACTCAGCAGATGGTTCCATTACACACAAGCACCAGAGAAGCCACGATTCTGTTCATCAAGAGATGCTCTCCAGTACTATCGCAGCCTGTACGCCGACCTTTTCACAAGCAGTCGGAGGCCCATAAAAGGTGCTGACTTCCAATTATACAATTCACCTGCAATAAGGTCTCTGGTTTAACACAAGCTAAACGCATTTCAACGCCTACGATATAAAATATGTCAGTTCATACGCCTTTCTTGAACATAAAGTCGTAGCTAACAGGTGGCTAAATGAGAACTAAATATTAGACCAAAGAAAACTGTGGCTTTCAGTCAGTAAATACTGGTTAAATGAGAACACAAGGATTATCAGGTTTTCACACTCGGCTGTCTGGCGCAGGAGAGAATGCTCAGTTAGTAGGTGACAAAGAGGAGGAAACGAGCTGCCGTTGGGATGTCTCTCTTTGGCAGAGGAGAGAGCGTGGGGCTAAACACAAGATGTGAAAGCCATAAATCTTAGATTCCAACCCAAAGTAATTACTACTAATCAATACTTCTATCAGCACTCTGCAATTATGGTGATTTTGTCTGTTAGGGCGGCCTATTTCTTTTTAACCTCCCATGTAATTTGAGCGGCCGCTGGCCTCCTCGTACACTATAAAGCCTGAAAGTGAGAAGAACTTTTAACACAGTCAAGCAGGGGATATGAACGCAAGATTTAAACAACAGTTTAGTCTCTCAAGACCAGTAAAAGAACAGAAGTTTATCTTCCAACACACACTTGCAGCAATGCAGCTCTTTTTCCTTCAATTTAGAAACAAAGAAAAAGCTTCATTGTCCTCCGATTGAGGATGAGGTTGATGAAGAGACGCGGCAGAAAGATTCAACTGCCAGGGTTTTTGTCGAGGTTTGACCGAGAACTATTGCACCAAAGTGAAATATCACTTTAAAAATAAAGTTACAGCGGCTAACGCATGAACAACTTTGGTCTGAATGCGGCGCTCAGCCTTTGAAATATGTCAGACCTGATCTCTCGTTCCAATTTTCTCTGTCAGCCGGCACCGAGAATGTCTGGTGGGCTAAAGGCAAAGGGCCCTGTATTATAATGTGACAGTGAAGCGAAGTTCTATGGAAACCTGGAATTATGATGTCAGAAATTCTACACAGTTATCTGCCTTTGTGGTGCATTTTAATTGGATCCGATATCATAACATCTGCTGCATAGCTGTTGGGTGTAGAAATCAGTGGATCCTTGTTTATTTCTGATGTTCCTGAAGAGACCGACTTCAGTTCACAAACTATTCATTTTTGTGTGTGAATCTAGGTGCATGAAGGAAAACAGCCCTTTGTAGAAAGATTTATCTGCGATTTATCTCTATGTTTGTCTCCAAGAGGGTGATAACTGATAACTGGTAATTACAAAAATAGATTAGCATTTTTAGCAGAATTCTTCCCCTCATGTCTGGTGCCAAAGGCCTCTCTTCTTTCTCCTACCCTTCACTTCTCTCCTCTCCCCTGCGCAGCAGTAAACAGTGGTGTTACTGCTGAAAGGGCAGCACTTGTTCTAACAATTATGAGTTAATTATCAGAACATGATCTTAACTGTGCAGCGGAACAAGAGGCGAACAGACAGGGAGACACAGATGGTATCAGGGAAACAAAGGAGGGAGGATAGGCAATCTTCGGGAATAAGGGCGCTAGGGAAGGAAGCAGTCAAACAGATTTCACTCAAGTTACTTGTGATAAGAAAGAAAAGCCTGTGTGTGTGTGTGTGTGTGTGTGTGTGTGTGTGTGTGTGCGCGCCCTTGTGCATGTTTGAAAGTATAAGCGCAGATTAATTAAACCTCAGAGAGAATCAATAATGTTTTCATTTCTAGACTCGATCGATGATCTGATGCCCCTGAAATGAAACAGTCGTGCCCCCCGACCATGCGTTGTTGTTTGGGTGCACGCGTGCGTGCGTGTGTGTTTTTCTGTGTGTGTGTGTGTGTGTGTGTGTGCGCACGCCTACTAATCACCCAGCTTCTGCCAACACCGTTGTACAAAGATACTGATTCCCAGGGTCATATTTTATCTTCTAATTGAATAGCGAAGACAAACACAAACACACGGCGGGGGAATTGTCCCTTTGATGCCGCCGTCGTTAGATGTCTCGCTCCGTCTGAGCGCGTGGACGCATCGCAACGGTCACACTGACTCATCTCTGATGCAAATGTCGGCTGCCCTCGTACCCCGTAACGAGGCATTTGCATCCGTCAGCGCGGCCCGCGTTAATCTCAATTTGCCCAGGTGACGACGTGTGTTGTAACGAATCAAATGGAACCTGAATGAAGGAGCCTAGAAACACGGCGTGCAGATGGCTCTCTCGTGCACTGTCAGCACATTTGCATGCTTCTAAAGGGCCTTTCACGCGGAACAAAGGCTCCGCTGCTCTCTGAAACGCGTTGTTTCAAAGGCAACGCGCGGCCGCCTGCAAAGCGCGTCCTGTGTGAAAGGCCCTCAGAGGTGCTTCAAGAGGAGAGCCCGATTACTGCTTCTCAACACGGTGACTGCTGAGCCGGCGGGCTAGCGGCGCTAACGCTAAGTAGTGGGGCTTCCACAGCTGGGGCCGAATATGTGACAAAACACAGAGAAGCTGTGATTACTGTGAAGCTCGTACCAGCAGCCCGGTCACTAGTGGGCTTTTGACACGAAGGCACCAGTATGACAGAGCATCCCTGACAGCACAGTGGATGAAAGAAAAGAGAGTTTCTAGCCTGCACACGTGATATCAGTGCTGCACTTCAAATAAAAGCATTTAGGCTGTGTTGGAAGCTTGGTCTTGTTTTTATTAGGCTCAAAACCTTTTTTCATTTGCTGTTATTTGCATCCAGCATTTCCATGACTGGTGCGAGTAATGGGAGGTAGTCTGTCTTCTTTAATGTATGATCAAGCTGTTCTCATGAGGCCTTTACGAAGTCTCCCTGTCATGTTGAGGTTTGGCCAAACAGCCACAAAATGTTAACTACTAAATTAGTCGGGATTGAATGTCTCAGCGAATTTTTAGAACGAAAATTGATCGAGGCGTTCATATTTGTTGCTCTCTTTTCCTCTAATGCTTCTACTTTGTTTGTGCCGCGCTGCTCCTTTCCTGCCCCGCCTCTCTATTCCCCTCTCATACATCTTCTTGTGTTACTTTGCCGCATCGACAGAGCGTCCCCAGCCACCCAGGAAGCTGGCTGCTCCTCAGGACGGGGTCGAATCTCGCCGCCTTCGCCTCCACTGGGTGACGGGCGGCTCCGGCTCCTCGCCGCTGAGGTACTTCACTCTGCAGGCCAAGGAGCTGCCCAGCGGGGACTGGAACACGCACGCCGCCGACATCCCGCACAACGTGACCTCCTGGACCGCTGACAGGTACACTTACAAAAACAAGATTGCCACACGCCTTAAAAAAAAGCTGCAAAGCGGTTGAACATGAGTGAAAATATCCCAGAAAATGTCATGCTATCCTAAATATATGTTGTGTTCAGGGTCCTATAAGTGTTGACGGTTGCTTTTATAAGGGAAAGTATTCTGAATGTTGTTGTGGACAACCCACAATGCTGTTTCTTACTTGCCATACATTGTCTCACTGTGGACATTTTGTTTAGCATGGCGTGCCACACTTGAGTTAGCTGAGGGTTAAATAGATGGTGTGATGCTTAAGATGAATATCAGAAGGAGAGAGCGAGTGAACGCTCTAAGCAAACAACAGAGAATTAGAACACGTTTGGAGAGGTTTCATTCATCTACAAGCACATAATGTAACAAAAACAACCCTAAAAACGAGCACTGGGGAGAGTAATCAGAACCGCTGCAGAGACGTGGAGGATCTCTGTCACTCAATCACACAACACAGCAGAAGGTGCTCTTTCGTCTCTCTCGATAGCCTTCTTTTCTGCCGTTTGTCACTAGTTTTTCCCCACAACCGCTTCCTCTGTCGTCCCTCTCGTTTTCACCATCGAGCTGGGAATGTTTTCGGGGGGGAAAACCACGAGGTTTCTTTTCCTCCTTTGCTCACACTCAAACACTCAGTCGTCCCCGTGAAGAAGGCTCCGCGTCTTCCTCTTGCTTCCCCCCTCTCCTCGCGGCTCCGTCCTCTTCTCGCGGTGCAGTCTGTCATTGCGGCAGCGGGCCACGGCGGTCAGATCTCGATGGCTGCTCCCCACTTCCCCGAGAGCCTCGGTAGCGGAACTACGATGAGGTCTTCACTTGGGTGCAGTGTGTGTGTGTGTGTGTGTCTGTTTGCGCGCCAGCTATCACGGAGCTTTTCTGAGATGCCGGAGAGCGTTCTCTCAGTGCGCCTCCGCCGGCCTGCCATCTGCCGCTGCCGCCGCCGCGGTTCAGATGCCGTTTTCATTCTACCAGTGAGTGCTCTGTGAGTGTGTAGCTCACATGTCCACACGCACTCACGCACCAACTTGTTATCCATCCTTAAGTGTTGTTCTCCTCTGAGACATCTTTGGAACCCCCCGCTGATATACATAGACACAAAGTACAGTACACACACACTCTCTGTCCTTAACGTGGTCCCAGTGCTGTGGGTGCCCCGTCCTCATGGAGCTCGTTGCCTTTCATGTCCTATTTCTACAATACACAAATCTCCTCGGGGCTTTTTCCTGGGCTGCTCATTATCATACAAGAGGACATTTGATCAGTTTTTCTGTTTTCCACTGGATGTCTTGCTGGTCCTCTGTAGAAAGTCCACAGGAGGACCTTCTAGCCAGATGTGAGAATGGAATCACTCTGGTTACAAACGATCATTTTGCTCCTGTTAACTCCTGTTGGTGATTAGGTTAGGCTAATAGAAATGATTGTTTTACCACTTAAAGTGCTTTTCAAATTAGAATCAATTTGCCACGCTGTGCAGGAGAGGGTACATTTAAGCTATTAGCATGCTATGAGGCACCAAAGACTGGTTCAGCTTGTCCCTGACAATGGGTGCCTGTTCCTTCGGCTGATTGTAAGTGGCTCTAGGGTAGAGTGTTTTCAAAATGACTGATGCAAATTGTTATTCTGTGCTTATTAATGCATTCACCTTGCGCAGAGGAGAAATGCAGATAAGATGTTATGGTAATATAGCAGCAGAACTACTTTGGCAGGGGACACAATTAGGAAAGGTGTAAAATGATTATTATTCAAGTCCTTGTCTGCTCTTCAAAGGCCACTGAAAGAGCAAAAATGTATCAGAGAGGACGGTGTGTGGAGAAGATGCTGTCGGAGAAAAAAAAAGATACCCAGTGGACTTTATTAGGTCTTACAGATGCTCAATGCTATTTGGTGAAAAACCTTGACTGAAACCAAACAGCTTTTTGTTTGTTGAGAAAAACATCACTTCAGGGCTTCGGCATTGCTGTGTTGTATTGTCATAAACGAACCGCTATGTGAACTGATCTCGCTGTTTAATCATTAGACAGCCATCTCCACCTCACTGTCACGGCACCATGCTACGTTAACAAATGTAGTTTAGAGCTAATTCAAATGATTTATAAGTAACTGAGACAGAGAAGAGAACGCTCCCCCATGGCAGATCTTTGAAATCACAAAAGATCAAACTCAAGGCTTAAATAAAACGTGTGTGAAAATGACTATGAATGTAATTATTATGTAACTGTGTTAAAATCCCATTAAAATGTATTTTGAATCAGACTTGAAGATCGTGCAGCAACAACCGGCAGCTTTTCAATTTAAATCAAAAGAAAAGAACGACATCATGTAGGTTGAAATGAATAAGGTGAGCTTTTTTCTGTGCATCATGTCTGTCTGTGTATGTCTTCAGGCTGAAGCCCTTTACGTCGTACAAGTTCCGGATGCTGGCCACCAACGATGTGGGAGACAGCGTCCTCAGCAAAGAGACGGAGGCTGTTACAACTCTGCAGGACGGTGAGAGACTGGAAACGCTGGGGATGAAAGATGAAGGACGAAATGAAAATTTGACAACACGACGGAGTGTAACTTTATGAAGATTCTGTCTTGTTCCTCTCTCACTCCTCCCGTTTCCTGTCCAGTGCCCGACGAGCCCCCACTGATCCTCGCTGTGAAACCAACAACCACTACCTCAGTCCTGGTGCAGTGGGAGGTATTTGAAGACACACACACACACACACACACATACAGACCTGCACAACACGACTTTGATTGCAGGTTAATCACCTATTTGGAGAATGAGACCTGTGCAGACTGTACGCCGTGTGTGTGTAGGTGTTGCGTGGATGCAATTATCATTATCTATTGAGCGGGGAGCGTTGAGAGGGCAGCTCAGACAGATTGGAGGGACGTCAAGAGGGAGAGACGGGAAGGCGTGGGGGACAGAGCGTCCCGGCCGGCTGAGGGGAATCTCTTAATGAGGACACACCGGCAGGCGAGATCATCGGCATTGTCCAACAACACAGAGAGAAACGTTTCAAAGCGGCCGTGACATTTGGAGAAAAAAAAGACAGCAAACACAGGCCGGATACTTCTCCGCTTGTCACTCTCCCTCTTCTGTTTGGAAGTGTCTCCTCTCGCGGCCTCAAGCGTCGCGTTGAAGCATAAAGAGGCAACAGAAAAATCAAAGTCAGCCGCAGTTTCATCATCACTTGAAGCATCACTTTGTCTGGACGGCTCGCAGTCGGTCCGATCCAGCAGCACTTGAAAGTGAACCCTGATCAAATGCTGCTCCGTCAGTCACTCGGCCACCATCGAGCGAAGGGAAAAGGAGCACAGTGTACGCGTCTTTCTCTCTTTGAGAGGCCGAGGGCCAACACTTCGCTCACGTGCGTTGCCTGTTTCTCCAGCGTCCCGACGACGACAGCATCAACGGCGTGCTGACGGGATACCGCCTGTATTATAGAGAGCTGCCAGTGAACACCTCCGCTTTGGCTGAAGCAGAAGTCCAGGCGACCAAGAACAACACCACAAGCGCCCTCATTACAAGTGAGTAGTACTGAAGCGAATGTGCACCGCTCATTAGGCCCGAGTTTGATGAATGCAAATGCGGATCCAGGTGTTCTGAAAAGTCAACTCTCTTTATGGGGATTTTATGTAGTGTGTGTTTTACACTTTTTTACATTTCACCTACAATTCTATTTTAAATATTGAATCACCTTTCTTGCAGTGCGTGTTAGTACATTGAATGGTGACTGCTGGTATGGTGAGGTCTAGTTTACAGTGATAAACACGTCATTTGTAATACTTTCTGTTATTAAAAATATGGCCGTCTCTTGTTCTTTGAGTCTGACGTGTGCAGGGCTCATTATTTACTGAGAGCACCTTAAGCAGGACATGGAAATGAAGAAACAGCGTTGGGCTGATCAGCGTCGCTTGGACATAAAAACACATCTCAAATGGCTTCATAATTAATACCATTTAGACTAAAGCTATAAACGAAGCTGACGGTTGAACTTGATCCACTTATTGACGTGTCCTTCCGTCTTTCTCTCACTCTTCTCAAGCCAAGAGCACGTTCAAGACAGTGAGCAGTGCCTCGCTGACGGAGTTTGAGTTGACACGTAAGTAGATCTTTACGCTTTAGATAACTATAACAAGCGTGCATGCATGTTGCAAAGACGTAAATGTCAGTATTTTCCTTCCTTTGTAGAGCTGAAGAAGTTCAAACGCTACCAGATTGTCATGACCAGCTACAACATCGTTGGAGAGAGCCCCCCCTCGTCCCCAGTCGAGGTGTCTGTTGGAGAAGCAGGTGGGTGGGAACAGGAGGGAGCTCTCAGGCCGGTCGCCGTGCCAACTCCTTAGAACACGTTTCATTCTTTAACCGAGGAAACGACAGAAGCGCTTTGCTTTGTTGCTGAATGTCGGGCCTCTTCTCCTCTTTGGGTTCAACAGTTCGGCGGCTGTTAGAAGTTTGCATTTTGCAGGTGCTTCTTCAGGATGTTGCTCCTCGTCAGTTTCAGCGGGAAGCATCAATCCTTCACGTTATTACATTTTTGTCTCACTTCTTTAAAGCATAAAAAGCCCCTTTATGACCTTGAAAAGTACAGTTTGACGGATGGATCCATTCTCAAGGTCCACTTTCTGTTCTTCAAAACCTGTTGTAGGGCATAAATCAGCCGATGGAGTATACTCTGCTGTAATGGAGATGGATCTGATATCATAGAAGCTTCTGGGCTCCTCAGCTCATCCATAACACAGAAGCCGCTCTTCTTCTCTGGAATGAGCTTTGGATTGTTTGTCAGTTTGTCATTTATTTTCTTTGTTTTGTCTCGATTTCTGTCTGCGGTCCAGTCCTTCGCTCACTCTTGCTTAGTCCTGTCCTGCTCCTCTGGTCCCTCGGGTGGCATTGTCTTGTGTGTGCGCGTGTGTGTGTGTGTGTGTGTGTGGAGATTATGCTAGAAAAACCCACACGTTTCCTTTCACAATCTCGAACTCCCTGTATCAGACCAATATTGCATTGCTATTCATAGGCTGTGTGTGTGTGTGCGTGCGTGTGTGCGTGCGTGTGTGTGTGTGCGTGTGTGTGTGTGCGTGTATCACATGCAGATGAGCGAGGGTTGATCATAAGCAGTGTGAGGCGGAAAAGGCCAGAGGGGGCGGGGTGATGAAATGGGGTGATATGGTCTTTTCTCTCGCCTCCGGTGCACAGTGTGTGTTCATGCATATGGGAGGTACGGCGGAGTAATAAGGCGTCGCCTTAGGCCCAGTCTAATTGGAAGGGTAAAACATACCTTCCCTATCACCGCTACACACACACACACACACACACGCGTGGTAGCTGTCTAACCAAGCACCTTTTCATCCCGCAGCTCCCTCGGTGGCCCCTCAGTCCATCAAAGTGTCAGCGGTGTCCTCCTCCATCCTGGAAGTGACCTGGGACACCCCCCCCCTCGAGACCCAGAATGGACTCATCCAAGGATACAAGGTGACAGAGGCCAGACAGAAGAAGCCCTCACAGAGGAGCACTGCTAGGAGCGTCCATGTGATAGAAAAGCTCGATCTCACTCTGAATGTCTTTCCCTCTTGACTTGGAGGGTTTCACCCTGCTGCACTTTCAAGAGTCCGACAGAGAAGGAGCGAGTGCTCAGTTAGAGGAAGAATCAGAATATCCTTTAATGGTTTCAATATCACTCCTCGGCGTATCTCTGGCCCTCGACTCCCCTGTCACACCCCCTCCTTCTTAGCACTTCAAACACAAGGTTATCTGTCCTGCTTTAGACGCATTGATTTCGGCTGGGGGGGAGTGGGGATTGGAGAAAGAGGGACGCCAATGTAATATTTGCCGAGGGAAGGACGGAGATGAGCCGGTTATCCCAGCGGAATCCCTGATTAGCAGAGAGGAGTGAGGGAATACGTTCAAACTACCAGAGACGGTGGGACACGGCGCAGAGTGAGCCAAAGGGGGTAACTAGATTAGGACGGGAGAAATAGAGAATGTTTAATGACTTTATGGGTTCTGACTTATGATAACACGCCCGCTCCGTTAGGTGACCGGCACAGACTCCGGGTGTGACCGAAGGTAAACTTTGATTGCGAGTGTATTTTTTTCGTGATGGCTAACAAGACAACAGTGGAAAACAAATTTAAACGGTCCCACGACATCAAATCAGTGGGCAGATTTGAACAAATAGGTCATTCATACTTTAAGTGGCAGATTCAAAACGTTTTTTTTGATGTTTTATTCTTTATTGTTCATCAACATCATCCGTCACGCTATTCGGGTCCTTACAGGTCAGTCATCTCTAATAGAACTTTACAAATATCCCTCCTTTGCTTGAGCAAATCCCTTTTTTCATCAAGACTTAATATCCAGCTCTTTAACAAAGGAGATGATTTGATAATCCATTTACGCTTCCTGATCTCATCAAATCATCTCGTAATCATGTTCATTCAGGACAGCTTCAAATAGGCTTTTCTCACACGAGATCTACTACATCTAAATACTCAAATAGATCCTTTACCCAACTAGAGAGTGCATTATAAAACGCTCTGGACTCTCTCCTAAACCATTAGAACAAAGTATCAGAAGGAATGTTGCCGTACCCTTTATACGCATAAGGCGATACGTTGATTTTAAATTGAGCATACGGATGAGTTACTCCGTATCTCATCACTATAGGAGCCGTTGGCAGGACAGAGATGGTGTAATGCTGCCCTCAAGTGCTGCTCGTAAGCTTCTACTTCCACGTTTGGAAGGTGTAAACATGGCCGATAGAATGTCAGTTGAAAGTAACACAATGGAGCCGTTAACACAAAGTTTAGTTTTACTTTATAAAGCAAACTGCTGGGAGGTGATTTGTATTAAATATTGTTGTTTGTATTCAATATGGATAAATATATAAGATAACACATGAACTCCCAGTAAAAGCAACAATTTCATGATCTGATATATAAATGGAAACGTTCACGTGTGCTGTGATTGAACACGCTTAAATCACGCACAAACTGCCCCGTAGCATGTTCATGTTGTGAATAAATGTGCTATTCTAATACAGTCCAGCTCAGAGGCTGAAATGGGAGACCAGACAATTAAAATAAGGCAATAAATGAGGACATTTCTTTACAAATTGATAAGCAATAACAAAACGAATGAGTTATGAGTAATACCACTGAAATCAGTAGTGTCATCATGTGCGGATGTGTGAGAACGACTGAACCAAACCGTGATGTCAGCAGAGGAACAGAGGGAACTCGTCTCCACTGGTCACAGCGCGGCTCAAAGGCTGCAACGATTGGACGTGGAGCAAAAACATCAAAGCCCAAAATAAATGAACCATTGATGGAGTGAACCGCTTTAAGCTCCTGGGAATCAGCATCCAGAAATCCACTTTTCATAAGCACCGTTCATCTCCATCGGGCAAACCACCCCCCTCCCCCCAGAAAGCGTCCATGTTATCTTATCCTGTAAACAAGGACTTCAACTGTCCTAACTCTGTCCAAACGGTGCTGTACGATGACAATGAATCAACCTCAACCATGAAGTGCAAACACCATTTTAGCTAATGTGGCTCTTTTTCTCACCTTAAAGATTCTGTTGCACCTGAGATTCTTTTTTCCGATCTCTAATGCATGAGGCTCAACCTTCTGTGTGTGTGTGAGGAAAGTCGAGGCAGTTCCCAAGCAAGTGTTTTTTTGCTGGGCTTTTCTCAGCTGTTGTGTACAACGTTAAAAAAAAATTTCAGCTGAGATCGAACAAACACGCAGTAATTTGTAAAAAGGAGACTTCAAGGCGAGTTTACGCTCTCAAAATATGAAAGTGCATATTCCCCAGCTCAGCGCCGTTATGAGCAGGAGGCAAGCTGCTTCAAAGCATCAAACGGGCTTCTGGTACTGGATATGCATTTATATAGGCTGTTTAGTGGCAGTAACACATCAAGTATATTGCTTGTATTCTTTTGTGCTCGTTTTACACAACCTGTTTCATTAAATGTGATTATAGGGAATGTATAAAAGTCACATCCACAATTTGAGTACTTCTTTTTTTAAAGACAATGAGGTGAAGTCATAGAAAACTTCACCAAGCGGAACAAATTCCAATACAATACAATATTCCTCAGACAATATTCAACTATATACCTCGATGATAACTCGCACAAAGTCTCAAACTTCTTGCATCACGGCTCTGATTGTATTTTACGCAAAAACACAATTGTTGGCATGATTAGAAAGGGACATTCACGCGGTTAAAGCCAAGTATTTAAAAATAATATGGACTTCATACACTAGATTTAGGTTCAATTACAACAGACTTTGGCATCAGTCATAATTAGGATTTGAATGGTTTCGTTATTAACTTTACTCATGAGGTAACTGTAACGCTATTCGATTACCACAACCATCATTCGTGTCACTGAACACCTTTGTTGTGATCAGGTAGTCCTTGTTTGAAGTAGGTAAGATGAAGACGTTTTATATCTTTGTCTAGACCAAACCAGTGAGATCTGTATCTGCAACGAGACATTACACCTACCGGAACGCCAAAGCGAATCCCCCCTTAACCGTGTTCCGCCCCGGAGCACTTGCTAGTATGGATCGATGAGGAAGCCTCAGGAGGGAGGGACAGGAAGTAAATAATATATGTCAGAGAGCGGGAGAGGAGTTTCGTTGACATTGTTTTGCCGTGTTGCAGGTCCACTACTGGGAGAGGGACAAGCAGAACCAGACCGAGAAGGTCCAGGTGATCTTTGTCCCGGACACCCGGGTGCACCTCACCAACCTGACCAGCTACACGCCTCACCTGGTCACCCTGACTGCCTTCAACACGGCCGGGGACGGCCCCCCCAGCGACCCGCGCGGGGCCCGCACCCTGCAGTCCGGTAGGGAGTGGTGACGGCTCGCCGGGACCCAACGATGGAGCCCAAAGAGTTCCTTTGTTTTAACCCCTCGTCCCCCGTGCGCCCCCGCAGCTCCCGGCCAGCCCAGCTACCTGACCTTCTCAGAGGTGACGGGAGGAAGCCTCAATGTGTCCTGGGGGGCGCCGCTCACTCCCAACGGACAGCTGGAGGGCTACAGGGTCGTCTACCAGCCCACCGCTCCTGTGCAAGGTATGCACACAAACGCACACACAAACACGAATGCACCGGGAGGAGGACGCCGACGTTCTTCTGTGTGTGAGAGCAGGAGTGAGCAAAGTGGTGACGGTGGACGTGAGGGGCAGCTGGCAGCGGTGGCTGAAGGTTCGAGACCTGGTCACGGGAGCGACGTACGCCTTCAGCGCTCAGGCTCTCACCGTCAGCTACGGGCCGCCGATACGGGCCAACATCAGCGCTCAGCCCGCGCAAGGTAGCAACGGGCCGACGACAGATCACGTGATCTCATGTGGGAGAAGGCCGTCAGAAGATGAAATGTGTGTGTGTGTCCCCCTGTGCGGCCGCAGGCTCCCCCGGGTCACCGACGGAAATGTCCATCACCAAGACGACCTCCGCCCTCACCCTCCACTGGGCGGAGGGGGAAATGGGCGCAGCGCCCATCAGCGGCTATGTCGTCGAGGCGCGTCCGTCAGGTGAGCGAGCGCCGCGCCGTTCGCCTGTTTGATGGAGCGGGAGGATTGTGCCCTGAGGCTCACGCGTAGCTTTAGTGCAGCTTAACACCTGCTGTGCAAATCAAGTCGGCAGCAATTCTCTAATAACTAAAGTTTGAACACTGCGCCGAGAGAGAGAGAGACTGTTGATATTCTACCACAGATAATAATGTTAATTCCCATTTTATTAAAAGTAATAACAGTGATCATCATCACTTTAATGGGAACAATTTTTAATTTTCTGTATTCACAAACTGACATTCTCTCCTCTATTTACCCTCCCCGTCCCTCCCCCCCCCCCCCCCTCTCCCCTGCTCTCTGCAGACGAAGGAGTGTGGGATACCTTCATCAGACTCCTCCCCCCGAGCAGCAGGTCTGTCTTAGTCCCACTGGAGCGCCTGAGGTCTGGGATCAGCTACGAGTTCAGAGTCATTGCTGTTAATCGCCATGGTTACGGACAGCCGAGCACACCCTCTGCTGCTCTCGCCGGTAAACAGACAAACGCGCACACACACACACACACACACACACACACAAACACGCATGCACACACACACACTTACACGCACTGGTGGAGCTCAGGCTAATGAACATATCCAGGGTGATCCAACTTGTTTAATTGGTGTCGGACTGAATTTGTAGCCAGTTGGAAGCACCGGAGGAAGCCACTGTGATTGTGTGTGTTTGTGTGTGTCTGCTGCCATCAAGAGGCTGAGTCGTGGAACTACAATTGTGCAAAGTGCAAAGACTTCCTTCACGTTTTCCCCCCCTGTCCGTGGAACAATAGTTATTAATAAGTCTTGAATCAAGGCATTTATACAACTTCCTCAATCCTCCCTCATCAACTGATCAATGAGACACTATAATCCACACAGGATGAGTTTCGTGGCACGAGAAGGAGACAAACCATAACTTGTATTTGAACTAAAGCAAAAGAAAAAGCTGACGCCTCACTCACATGTATGTGCCCCCCCCCCCCCGTGCAGCGCTGTCGGAGCGCCCGTTCTTTTAGGAGTGGTGGTTCCTGCTGGTCATGGCCCTGGTGGGACTCATCCTCATTCTGGTCCTGGGCTTCACACTGCTGCTGCACGGACACAGCAGCAAATACAAGGCGTGTGGCACAGGTTGGTGGCTCACATGGACACGCACCAACGACAATGACAGATGCAGCTTCCTCTCCTCAACGACACTAACGCGGATCCAGGCTCACCGCTTCCCCCCTCCTCTGCTACTACTATGGACTCCATTCACTTCAATTTCCCTTCATTTTAGTCATATAGTTCACCAAATAATGACAGAATCGATCACACGGCACCTCTTACAATGTGTCAGTGTCACCGGGTTACTGCATTTCGGTTCAGATGACCTGTGTGGTTACTGCCTGAGGGACTAATGATGCGTGGCAGTTTTATTTGCTTCTCATTGTCACAACCGAAAAACGCTGAAAACAACTTCACAGAAAGAAAATCCGACTTAGCTTTAGTTCTCACATGAACCCTTTTCCATCCTTTTGTCTATTTTCCACCAGGGAAGCACGTGTTCACAGCGGAAGAGTCGGTAACCCTGGACAACGGAGGCTTCACTGCTTTGGAGCTCAACAGTCGAACGCTCAACACCAAGAACTCCTTCCTGAAAAAGAACGGCACCAGGTGTGCACTTGCTCACTCCCTTCACTCCCTTTACTCACTTACTCCCTCCCTTCACTCACTTTACTCACTCGCTCACTCCCTTTACCCACTTACTCCCTCCCTCCCTTCACTCACTCCCTTCACTCCCTCACTCACTTTACTCACTTACTCCCTCCTTCCCTCCCTAACAGGTATAACTGGTATAACTTAGTGATTTTCTGTTCATTCCCCGTCGGTGTGTTTGTGCGAGCAGGTCTCCTCCCAGGCCGAGTCCAGGTGGTCTTCATTACTCCGACGAGGACATCTGCAACAACTATAACGGCGCCGTGCTCACTGAGAGCACCGCCCTCACAGAGAAACCCACCGAGGTGTCCGAGTCCGAGGTATCTGGTTCTCTCTTAAATGTAAAGGCTTCATAGAGGGCTGCAGGCTGCGCTGCAAAATGCAAAACACTGGTGCAGTTAGTAGAGACGACTAAAGGTCAAGTGTCTCCACCTCCAACCTTTCCCCAAGTCGGCTGTCTGCCTCTACTGTCAAACAAAGGCACAGAGTGAACAGCACGTGATCTGAGAACCCGAGGTGATCAGCCTCAGACGCCCTCGACCTCGGTGCCCCCCCCCCCCCCCTCCCTGATAAAGTTTAACCCGCCCCCTGCTGTGTGTTTGTACGCAGCTAACCGACAGCGACTACGAGGACGAGCAGCCCAAGCACTCCTTCGTCAACCACTACATGAGCGACCCCACCTACTACCACTCCTGGAAGCGGCAGCCCAAGAGCCTCAAACCCATCGGCGCCCCTCTTGGGCTACGAGAGAGTGCGCCGCCGCGGACACGGAGCTCTACTACCAGAAGGTGGTCACCCAGCACAGCACAGACGGCGCGTACACACTCACGAGCCAGTCGGGCCCACACCCACGTCACTCCCCAGCACAAACCCTCCCCCGGGGTCACGCACCTCCCGTGACGGGGTTCTCCTCATTCGTTTGACTCGAGAGACTAAATCTGCCCAAAATGATACCCCCACCCACCCCCCCCCACGTACACTAATGAACGGAGGAGGAGGGGTCCCTGGTGTGTTTGGACTAAAGGAGAGAGAGAGAGGGGTGGGGGGGGGGCGAGATGAGGCGGCGCGGGATGGACTGGTAAAGAAACAGCCCATCGTGCCCCAGAGAACTGAACCTACACCTCTCACTCGCCTTCTCCCCTCGTTCACAAAGATCCTCACGCCTCGCCGTGTGTGTGTGTGTGTGTGTGTGTGTGTGTTACCCTCCTGTCCTGTTACGCCTCGGTGTCACTGTGCTCACACACACACACACACACACACACAGTTCCTCGTTTCCACACACACATTCACAGCAGGGCACCAGATGCCTGTGACTGTTGGAGAGACTCTCGGAGGAGAGCAGTGACGGCTGAGGGGAGACGTGCACCTTCTGCACAACGCTTCGCCTCTGTTTTCTGTATTTACACTGAAGTGCACAAACCACCCCCCCCCCCCCCCCACAGAGAAGCCTTGCAATTGCGTCAAATCAAATACCTCTCCCCGCGCGGGATAGAGAAAGTCGCTACGCTCGGAATAAACGATATAAAGCAAGACGAAGGGGAGTTTTGGATATGTTAACCTTATACAAAAAACCAACCGTGGGGCGGTGACACGCCCCACCCCGAGAGCATCGAAAGAAGAGAAAAAATCCCTTAATTCCGTTTTTATTTTTTTTAAGTGGACGGGGGAGGGAGAGCGAGTCTCTCCCGGTCTCAACGCATCCTCAGTGAGAGTGTGTTCTGCTTTCTGAGGCCGCTGCGTGATGTTTGGGGTTCGGTTCGGAAAATAAATGAAAACCGTGGGGGTTTTTTTTACCGTCTACTCCCTGTTGTCAGCGCTCCTCACACCACAGCCCCTCCCCTCCCCCCGACGCTCGCACTGACCCCCGACCCCACACATTTACACTCTCTGCTGTGGAAGTTTCTTCTTGTTTTTTTTACAAGGCCGAGTGCGTTTTGAGCGTGACACGTGTGCGTACCAGCATGCCGTGTGTCAATGGCCCCGTGTTCAGCTAAGAAGCCTGTTCGTCCGTCTCTGTTGCTCACTGCTAAGCAAAGCTCGCCATTGTGTGTCTGTTTGTGGTTTTTAGGATGGATTTTGTACAGGGAAACCCGCTTCACCAGCGTGCTGTTGTATGTAGTTACGGCACCGGAGCGAAGCCGTCAGGTACGCCGACAGGTGAGAGGGGGAAACGGGGGGGAGATCGTTCAACAATAATCATGAAACAAAAACCAGCTGTTTGAGTTTGGAACGAGGTTGCAGGAAGATTTAGGGAACCGCTCTGGTTCAAACAGAGCGGGATTGAACTTTGAATCATAAGGCCCAAATGTCTGCACCCAGGCCTGGACTCCAGCCGCACACATCCACTTTGTACCAAGTGCAAACTGAAATCATCTGTGAGCTCATGTATAATTTAAGAACGCTCTGCTCCATCCCAGCCAGCCGGCAGCCTCCCTCGCTCTGCCACGCTTGTTTTCAGTCCCTTTTCAGTGTGTGAATAAATGGTCATTGTTTAACAGCGTCTCTGTGGTCCTTTTTCTCTACATTACACTGAATTAAAGTTGTGCCTTAACATTTTGTAACTGAACTACTTCCGAACTCTCTGAGCCTGTTAGCATTGTTTGTGTCATTTACTGAAGTATTACGAGCAGCAGAGACTGAATTTGTTCTTTCCCCTGAATAAAAGGTATAAAGTCAAACATTCACAGATGCCGCCGCCAGCGAGTGGTTGAATTGTTAAACAATTATGTAAGAGGTGATTCAGCAGAAGCAAAGTGCATTCACTGCAAACCGCCCCCCACGTGTTATCAAGTGAAAGGTTGGTTCACCCGACTTTAGTTAGTCCAGGTTTTGATCCGTTGGCCTCCAATCCAGTACACTGGAGGTCATGGTATTAAGAATATGGAGCTCAAAGTCTTCCATCAATAACAAAATGTTAAGAGTACATTTGTCTCCCCAGAATCAGTCAATAATTTACTTGAGTTTGGATAAAAGCGAAATGTGAGTATACAAATTAAAACAATTTAAAATGTTGATTGATGAACATGAAATAAAAACACACTGTTTTCACTGCTGAAGACGTCGTTGTACTGTAAAAAAAAATGTGTTTCGATATAAATACAATTTGACAATACAACCTTTACTTAATTACAAGTAATTTTGATATTGTCTCATTGCTTTTACTTAATAAAAGCACCAAGAGTGTCTTGCCCCAATAAAGCCAAAGTAGTATCACTAGCGGTGGCCTGGTAAGTATTTACTTGAGTACCGAAACTTTAACGTAGAATACAGAGGGGATTGTACTTATGTATTTCAATTTCCTCTATGCGTCTTTCATACTTTAACCAGTGACCAGCTGCAACATTTAAACACTTATATTTCGCTCGTAAAGCGCTGTATTTAAACTGATGTTGTGCATCTCCCGGCCGGCAGGCGGCGCTGTGGGCGCACAAACAGGCGCCCGGGGGCGAGAGAGAGAGAGACAGAGACACCGTTGCGGTGTCCGGAAGAAGGACTCGAGCGTGGCGGATGTATATTTTCCAATTCGTCCTTTTGTGTTTGCGGTTTTAATGTAACATCGCGACATTATTCCCAAATGTAAAAACCCGCATCGCTGCGTCTCCGGACACCGGCGGCTGTTCTTTCCGCTGCCGCTCGCGACGTGACTCGTGACCCACTTTTGGTTGGAGGTGAGTTTATCGTCTCCTCCTCCACCGCGACACGAATCCAGGGAGCGGCCGTTTTGACGTCACGTGACACTGTTTACGTAGTGAGACGCGACGGTTAGAACCCGTTTCCAGGTCGAAGTTGGGGGTGTGCGCGCTTCACGTTGGCTCCTGTTTATTTTAGTTGCTAGGGAAACAAACATCTGTATCCCCTGACTAGCACATGCGCCTCCAGAAGAAACCCTAAAAACCTCCCGAACACAGGATGAACCTCTGACTGGTTCCGACATGAATTGTATTTTACCAAATAAACCTAAATTAATGTTAATTGTTCACTTTCCACCAGTCCGTCGGGTCAGGGAATGCAGCTGGATTCCACTAGTGTCACTTATGGCCTACGACAGAACACATCCACCAACATCTGGAGAGGAAGCGTGGAGGTTGGACTGAGACCTGCTGGACCGAACGGGCCCCGGAGAGGAGAGCCGAGGGGGAAGCTAAGCTAACCTGGCTAGCCCCTAAATCTGCTCAGAAAAAAATAAGATGGGTGGAAGCTGCAGGAGGTCTGTGACTGGAGACACGGACGCCGGGATCCATCGCTCATCCCTTTTCCCTTTCACTGCTGATGCAAATGGAAAAAAGACACTACTGAAAGTACTACTGTTTTCTTGTCTTGCGCATCCCTGTGATGCATAATGACAATAAATGAATAAATACTTTAATTTGTATCCTAGTTGCATGAAATATTGTTAACCCAAATGAAAGAAACTATGGAAACTTTGGAGGATTTCCCATATTTCAATAAAGAAAACTCATACTATTTAATGCGAAAGCCCCGGGATCAAATAGGGGAATTTCCCAAATCTTCAAATCTTCTTTTATTATTAACAGTCAGTGATATTGATTAAACTTAATTTAGGTACTGTAACAATCAGTTTAAGACGGATCAACTCAACAGCAGCCGCCTCCAAAACAATCATACTGTCCATATAAAAACACTGAACAGAAATGTAACGCGCTGACCTTCATGAGTGTGGATTTACGTCCCGCTGCATTAATCTGGTTTAGTTTTAGCTCGATGTCCTTAATAAACCCAACCTGACACTAACTGGTCTGTTTCTCTCACAGGTTTCCTAAAGTGGGATGAAAGCTCAGCACAGAGCGAAGAGGGTTACATCTTAATTCATCCTCTCAGAGTCGCATCACACACCATGGGTGAAGTGACCGTGGAGGCCGATTCGGCGGTGACGAAGCAGGACTCCTCCTCGGGGCCTCTGCCGGAGCCGCTGCTCATAATCATGTCCCCACCTCCACCTTTCCTTCCCGTCCCCGGCGAGCCGACCATGTTATGGCGCAGGTGGCTTAAAGCTTTTGAGCACTACGTCGAGGTTCTCGGTGAAAACGAGCTGGTCGACTCCAGCAAGTGCGGCCTCTTGCGGGACTGCCTCGGCCGAGAGGGCCGGCGCGTCTCCGCGGCACTGATCCCGAGTGAAACCGCCTACGAGGCCGCCGTCTCCGCGCTGACGGTTTACTTTGGCTCCGACCGCAGCTCTTTCCGCAAGGTCAGCGTGGACAACGGAGACGGTTTGGACCCTACCGTTCAAATAAAACGCAAAAGAGGCCGGCCTCGGCGCGGCGAGGGCAGGCCGAAAAACCTCCCCGAACCCGGCGGCAGTAAAACAACGAGATCACCGAGATACAAAGACAATTACTTGTTGCTACAAAAGGATGACGTGGCCAAGAGAGCAGATGAGGCCTGCAATAATACACTGAGGACGGAGGAGGAAGGATGCGACAATGGAAGGAAAGGTGACGAGGAAGACGAGGACTTTCATCCGTCCAAACTAAAAGGCCCCTACTGTACTCTCTGTGTCGACAAGCGCTTCAGGGACGCAAACAAGCTGGCCCGACACATGAGGACGCACACGAAGGAGAAACCATTCCGCTGCCCCGCGTGCGTCATGACCTTCAGCCAGTCCTACCACATGACCCGGCACATGAGGAAGCAGCACGGCGCGGGCCGGTACGTCTGCCCCACGTGCGGGAAGAGCTCGGAGACCTCCGCGGGGCTGCAGAGTCACAAGAGGACGCACGCGGCAGCGCAAGTTCTGTCCCGGCCCGCCTGTCGTGAGAAATCCCCCAACGCCGGCGAGTTTTGTAGTCGCGTCGCCACACGTGGCGAAGACCACTTGAGCCAGACGCAGGAGCGGAGCTCTCAGCGCGGGAACTGCGTGAAGAACAAGGATGGCAATGATAGTATTGCTAAGAATGATGCAGACTCTGATGGTGATACCCAAGATAAGGAATCCACAGTTATTGTTGAGACGGAAGAAAAGGACACCGATGGAGGACAATCTAAAGATGGCGACGATACGAAAGAAAAAGCTGCATCTGGGACCAAATCAAAAGGCCATTTCTGTCCCATCTGCGTTGGCCGGCGCTTCAGAGGGCCGAACAAACTCGCCAGGCACATGAGGACGCACACAAAGGAGAAGCCGTTCAGCTGCCCGGTGTGCGCCTTGACCTTCAGCCAGTCCTACCACATGACCCGACACACGAGGAAGCAGCACGGCTTGGTCCAGTACATCTGCGATAAATGCGGCGAAAGTTCCGGAAGCTGGCTGGAGCTGAAGGCGCACAAGAAGACCCACACGGTCGATTGTCTGAGGTGCCCCGCGTGTGACAAACCGTTCAAGGAGAAGGCCGCCCTCGTCAGTCATCTCAGAATACACAAGAAGGTCCCGTCCAGCCCCCGAAGCCTCGTCTGCAGCGATTGCGGCAAAGTCTTCGGTCGAATGTATCACCTGAAGCGCCACATAGTGACCCATCGCAAAGCGACCAACGGGGAGGTTTACGCGTGCCCCGATTGTCAGAAGAATTTTGCCTTCCCAGAAGACCTCAGCAAACACGCCGAGATCCACGTGAAGGAAAACAACGGGACGTGTCCGAAGTGTAACGAAACCTTCCGCAGTCCAGAAGAGCTGGAGACGCACATGGGGGCTCACGAGAGGTCCTACGCCTGCCACACCTGTGGGAAGAAGTTCAAGGTGGAGTACGCTCTCAAGAAGCACGAGCAAGGCCACCAAGACGAGCAGTACTACTGCTCCTTGTGCCGCAGGCGCTTCATCAAGCTGTCTCACTACAAGAGGCACGTCATGGTCCACGACCGGCGGGAATCCAGGTGCCCCCACTGCGACGGAGTCTTCCTGCAGGTGACGGCTTTGAAGTATCACCTGCGCACTCACACGGAGGAAAGGCCGCACCAGTGCACCTGTTGCATCGAGACCTTCGAGGAGAAGGAGGAGCTGGAGCAGCACCGCCTCAAACACAGGAAGTTCAAGCTGGAGAGGCCGTACTCGTGCACCCGGTGTGACTCGGCCTTCTCCAACCTGATCGAGCTGACGGACCACATGAGCTCACACGACGGAGAGCAGCCTCTGAACTGCCCCGTCTGCGGCAAGACTTTCCTCAACAAGAGCAAGCTGGAGAAGCACCTGGGCATCCACTCGGGGGAGAGACCCCACCTCTGCTCCGTCTGCGGCAACGGCTTCCCCTCGGCCGCCAGCCTCAAGCTGCACGTCCACATCCACACGGGGGAGAAGCCCTTCCGGTGTCCGCAGTGCGGCAAGAGCTTCCGCTCGTCCAGCGGGCTGCGGCTGCACGGCCGGCAGCACATGGAGGTGCGGCCCAGCTACGAGTGTCCCGAGTGCGGCAGGACCTACGGCCGCATGACGGAGCTGAAGATGCACCAGCGCTATCACACGGGCGACAAGCCGCACGCGTGCAGCTGCTGCAGCAAGCGCTTCATCAGCAAGGACAAGTTGAACGTTCACATGAGGATACACACGGGGGAGAGGCCGTACTCCTGCCCCCACTGCGGGCAGACGTTCACGCAGACCGGGGACAGAAACCGACACATCAGTAAATACCACTAGAGACACACTGGGGCAACAGAACGTTTTTTCATTCGAATGATGGAGGCAGTGGTTTTGCATGTTTGTAAAGGTTGGTAGTCGTAAGAATTGAGGTGATTCACATTCTTTGATCAAGAATAACAAACTGAAATGAGCTATATTAGGGAGAATTAGTTTGCCAGACACACACTAAATTGTCAAATGATCAGGTTGTGTGATTGTTTATTGGTAAACTATAGAAGAATACAGATGTTATATTCTGTAAAATATGATGCCATCCAAAACGGAAACAAAGAATAAACTTTTTTTTTTTAAATAGATAAAAACAGAAAACCTTCCTTTTAAGGAAATAAAAAAGAATCCTCACCTCACTGTCCAGTATTAACAAAGATGAAGCATTACGAGTGTTTAAAGGACTTTTTAAACAATTTCTTTCCCCTTATTCTAAGAAATATCATGTTATTCTACAAAAGTGTTTCAACAAATTAAAAAAATGTTCTATATCTTTTGAATGAATAAAATAAGGTAACATTTTAGGAAAGTGTGTTCTGCCGTCTGCCAGCTTCATACCTGGACTTTAAACTGTGTCACTACATAAGCACTTAAGATCAGTGCCTGAGTGCCCTGTGTCTGACTCTTCACGCGGCAATTTCTCATTCTAGCACCTCGCTGCAGTGACCGGCATGTTTGCCTTTCCCCAAATCTGGGGCTGAAAACTCAATCGAAATACAAATAAAATCCTGTTCACTCAAATGACACTAAAAAACATTAGAGGTCGCATATCAGTACTTTTGTTTTCCTCCGCGCCACAGTAAGTTGTCATTACACCATGATTATTTTTATATTTTTGTTTAGCCATCTCTGTAACCCAGAGTTTTGCATTGTACACAGTACACAGTGTACCATAAGAATAAAGCACTTATTCAGCCTGCCAATATCCATGTGAGGATATAGTATTTATTAATATATATCTCAATTATATGTATACATTTAAATATATATATATATATATTTATTTTTATACAAATTATACGAATGTTTAGTGTTGTAGGAAAATAAAACTGTCAAAAATATGTAATAATGAAATCATGTTATTTTATGTTTGTCCATAACAACGAACAGTGTGTAAAATGTACAGTAAACAAACAATATACAAGTGACATTGAGTGACAAGTGTGAATCTAAATCAAATGATGTGTCTTTGTCACCCACTGTGTCAGATGTTGAATTCTTTATAACTAAAGCACATTTAACAGATAGTACTTATATGCACTCTCTATATCCAAATGTCTGGATTTATGATCATTTTAATGCATTTTTTTCAGTCCAACGGAAAAAAGGCCTCATCCAGACCGGTAGGTGGCAGCACTCCGCCTCCTCCGTCACGTGACTACCGCTACATACGATGTTTACCAAGAGAGGAAGAAAGAGGGCTAACAGGCTAGGTCGACGTAAGCTTAAAAGGAATAGCAAACACCAAAGAAAATGGTCAGATATGTTACTGGTTAACGACGTCAACCGGGTGAAGTTCTTAAAGCAACGTAAATGTTGGGTAATTAAACCGAATGAAGCGCATTAAATCATCTTAAATCGGCATGTTAATTGGTTGTGTGCCTGAAAGCAAACGCTGATGCTAACCCTGTTAGCTCGCGCTGACGCTAGCTAACTTAAACGTCTTTGCACGAACAAAGTCAAGGCGATAACCGTCTGAAAGATGCATTGACTCACTTTAAAGTGTAACTATTTGTTCAAATTTGTGACACGGATGTTTTTTATCAAAATACTCCCCCTAGCTAGTTAGCACGCTAGCAAACTCGGCTAACGTTACATACGTTAGATGAAGAAAACATTGACATACCGTTGACTGACAGTCCGACACCTTAATCCGTCTTGTAGCTTTTCCTTGTATAAAATATGACACTAGTACTCTGACTAACCATCGTTTATTTGTTTAACGGTTAAGCTTCCTATCACTCGCCATGGCTGCTTTAGGCTTCACTCCGGCCAGCGACCACGACCTCTTCAGCATCGAAACGTCCGAGCTCTCGAGCTCCAAAACCACCAGCGCGCTTAACGGGGAAGAGGTCAGGCAGTTCTACGAAGATTTAATGAAAGATGGTAAAGGGCGAGACGTATCAAGGAGAAAGGCCACTAGCGAGAATGATCCCGGCAGAAGGGCGAGGAGGAGAGTCGGCGCTGCAGAGAGGCAGCGGGATCAAACGGATCGTGTCGGTCAAAGTGGGGTCAGGGGTCAAAGTGTCCCAAGAAGACAGGCAAGCATCTCAGAAAGTACCATGGAGCTCCTGGGCCTCAGGTTGCTGCGTTGTGCCCACGAAGGGGACACCTCCGGCCTCAAAGACCTTCTCTCAAAGGGGGTTGACATCAACGTCCAGGTATAAAACGCCTCCTCGTGCTTTCCATTTTCATATCAGATCGTATTTCTTTTAAGTCCCGATTGTTTCCCTTCCCAGGACACTTATTTCTGGACGGCGATGATGTGTGCCAGCTGGTCGGGACAAAGATCAGCGGTGAGGGTGCTGCTGCACCACGGAGCAGCGTGGGTCGGGGTGGTCGATACGCAGGGCAGGGATGCCAAAGACCTGGCTCTGGAAGGTGAGCACATTTTTGTGATGACCTTCTAAATATCTCCTTATTTTCTACAGTGAATATGAACTCATTCATTTCTGTTTTTTTCCCTCCCAGCGGGTCACAATGAGGTTTTGGAGGAGTTGGAGAGCTTTGGGAGAAGTACGCAGAGAGACACACGATCTGACTACAGGTTGGCACACTATAGTATACAGTTTTAACTACCTCCGCTAAATATAAATTAATATAAAAGTTTGCTGTACTATAGATGATAACACAAATCGTATTTTTTACTGGAACATGGGCTCAACAATGTAGAAACGAAAAACTTCAGTTAAGTTGAAATTTAAAGTTGGCTGTAGGCCACGTAGCATGAGCTCTGGAGAGAGATGGTAAACATTATGTCCATATTTATTGAATGAAATCTGACATCCCAGATGTTAATCGTGTAACGTATACAGAGTCTACATGCAACCTGGCTGCGTGGCGCTATCAGATTCCACGTTGTGCGTTAAATCTCAAACCCTGTCTCATCTATCTATTGGGAACCAGCAACTTTCTCCTTTCTCCACCACAGCAACACACACAGAAATAAATCAACATATTAGATCCAGACATACTTGATTTTTGAGTTAGAAAAAAATGTGGCAAAGATTGTATTTGAACAATATTTAACTAGGTTTACCTCTGTTCCTGTTGACTCACGCTGGTGGAGCCATAAAGAGATAAACGTGGTCGATGGACTAACAGCATTAATAGTCACCGCAATGTCGGACATGACCTGTGTCCCAAAAGCATGATGTGTACACATTCTACAAAGTACACACTTTATAATAATCTAGTGTACTGTTTGATTAGTTACTACACACAATGATACCAATTAACCTTTAACTCTGGAAAATCTACTGTCATTTAGTCACAGAGACCTCAAAATGAGTGTTTTGTCCAAGAACAAATTGCTTAGGTTCTCTATTTCCTTTGTGGATTGCAGTTTGGGGCATACCATAACCCTTTGGGACTTCTGTGCGTCAACAGCTCACTTGAAACCCAGACGTATTTTTTCTGCCTTTCCATTTGCTTCGAGTTTATTAAAGTTAATTGAAGATCTAGTATTTTTCTTCAGTTATAACGTTTATTGTACAAACATCCCTTTTTGCGACTATCCCCCCTGTTAAAACACTGTCCGCCAAAACACCAACTTTTGGAAGACCCACACTAACTCAAACTGTGTACTTCAGTTGGATTGTTACCTCATCATATAAATATATATATATCTATATATATGTATATCTATATCAGATGGTCATTAAGAAGGGAACGGAGTGGGGCTACAGTGTTAGTTTCTGCACATGAGGCCCCCACTTTAAGTGTTCCTCCTCTGACCTGCTGCGCCTCCTCTTGTGCTCGTCCCCAGGGCCCCCCCGCCTCAGTGGTGCGCTGTGTGTTGCAGCGAGTACGGCGGCGACCTGTCGTCACATGCGTCCTCCACTCTGCACCAGTTCAGTCTGCGCCGTGATCCGCCCACCCCCTACTACTGCCTGCCACCGTCGAGCAACAGCTACAAGATGATGGTTCGCTGCGGCTGGAAACCGGGGGAGGGACTGGGGCCAGAGGGGGAGGGGCCTCAGCAGCCAGTGCCGACTGTGCTGAAGAGAGACCAGAACGGGCTGGGCTTTGGACAGGTGAAGAGAGCCAAAGTGACTCACTTCCAACCCGGGGATTGTGACGCAGTGAAGCGTCATTCGAAGGTGAAAGAGGAGAGGGGAGGAAAAGGACAGAGGAAAGAAGAAAGTAGGCGAAAGGAGCTGAGAGATAAGAACTGGGAAAGAGATTTCCGTGCCTCTTTTTATCTTTGACACCTGCCCAGAGGGACCTCTTCTCTCTCTCCCCAAAACATCTAAAAAGTTTTTTCTAAAACATTAACCGTATTTATACAGAGACAATTTGTGTCTACTTTTTGTTTACTTTGAACTGTGTGTTTGTAAAGTGTTCGATCAATACGACTGCCATGACTATCTCAATGCTGATACTGTGACATTAAACGTAATCAGCAACGTCCAAATTGCTTTGATTGAATCCATCTTGTGATTGTGTTTACTCTGTGTGGCCAAATATAGTTGACTTTTAATCCACTAAAGGACGATCATTTGTCATCATTTATTATAAAATACATGTACTGTGAAACCTGGTCAAAGACCTATTTTGATTTGTTCTATAACACAATATCCAACATTACTGAAACATAATGGCCCTTTGAGACCTTGATTGACAGCAGTAATGCTGTTAAAGGTGAGTGTCGTGCTTCTGCATATCGCTATATGACTGATGTCTGCTGTTATTGCTTCCTCACATTCGGCCTAGTGAACCTGCGTTGCGTAAGACTGGAATGTTTTATCTCAAAAGCTCTGACTTTTCTCCCAATGGTGACCGGTGGTCATCTGACTCCGCAGTGAGCTTCGTCTGGCGACGTCAGTATCATCCGTTAAATCACAATTTCAATCCTTTTACACTTGTTTTTCAGTGACCATGAAAACACATGATCCTGTATGTCAGACTCCAATGCCACAGTTTGGTAACAACTACCCTAAAACAGAGTTTTACTGTTGATTTTCCCACAGCTACTCAGAAAAACACTAAGTGATACTCTATTTTATGTATATATCTGGCCTCAAGGGGCTCTGTTGTGTGTGCAAGATATCAAACCCATTGTACTTTTTAACCTTTGCTGCTGATAACAACTCCCACAGATTAAATGCTGAGTCATCACGAATAAAGTCGTGTTAAACTGATCATTTATCCAAGTCTCATAGATTGCGTAGCGTTGCATGATAAGACCTTTTTCCTCTGCGTGGAGTGAGACACTTGAAGGACACCCGTGAGCGCATGGAGGACAAAAAACTAGAGACCGGCAAAGGATCCCCAGTGCGAATGTGAATCGTATCCGTGAACTGGTTAAGCGGCTTCACAAAGTATTATCTCTCATGTGATGTATTTCTCCAGAGATGGCACTGAAAACCAAGTAGAAATTACATTACATGTAACTTAGCTGACGCTTTTATCCAAAGCGACTTACAATAAGTGCATCCAACCATAGGGATACAGAATGCATGTGATCAGAAATATTGATCACATGCAGAATTTTTTTACCAGTTTATGGTATTTGAAAGAAATTCTCAGTTTATGTTATTCGCTAGACATAAGTACGATAGTTTCGATATAACCAAAAGCATTTGTCACTTATGTCGACTCAACATCTGACATTTTCCATGTTTAAAGGATCTTATTTTTCATCTAATCTTTTCCCCAAATTTAAAAGGTTGCCTATTTGGATCATTAACCAAACGCTTTAATAATACGTGTTTTGATTTTCAGAACAGTTTGATACAAACACATATATTCCAGTCCTGTTTATAAAAGAACACGCTTGCCGGTCATGTGTTTTTATTCAGGTCAGTTTCCAAACTTCTTACAAACTACAAGATTAAAAACGTGTAGCAGTAAACTTTAACATGTATTGACAGTTACTGAAATGAAGAAGACAGTTGAACGTTGAGAGAGGTCTCTCTGCGGGGACGTCCTAGTTGGACTCCTGAGGTGATTTAACGTGTCGTCACCTTTAGTTTGATTGGATTTAGGGGTCCAACAAGGCCTCCAGGATCCATCGTCAAGGGGATCTACGGAATGGGCAAATTCTCAAAATTAAAACTTGTGATATCCCTCATTACCAACACATTTAGGCTGGTGTGTTGTGTAAAATCAGTCAAGGATGTATTTAAATACAATCACCTCTGTCTCTCCGCAGACCGAGAAGCTGTAGTTCTGCAGAACTTCCACCAAGGCGAGTTTAACCAACACCAGAGCGAATCGCATCCCCAAACAGTTCCTTGGGCCCGTGCCGAACGGCAAGTAAGTGTACGGGTTGATGCTCCGCTTGTTCTGCTTACTGAACCTGAGAAACCACACACGGGTACGATGAACAAAACGAGCAAGTGTTACGACTAAAGTATTACAGCTCACGTATGCGCGGTGGCGGTGACCTGTCCGGTTTGAACTCCTCCGGCTCCGGCCAAAGGTCGGGGTCGCGGTGAAGAGCGTAGACCGGAATCATTACAATCATGTCCTTTGGGATTGTGATTCCACGGATCTCCACCGTTTTTTTGGCAACTCTGTCCAGACGTCCAGCTGGAGGGTAGAGCCTATTAACAAGACAATTTAAAATATTGTATGTATTTATCATAGTAAATACTCGATACCTAAACTTACACGGAATTGTGTATTCTTGAAACACTGTTTTCCTTTTTCTAGAATTTGTGAATGTTGCTGCAGCTAAAAAAGATTTTCTTTTCTCTTTTTTAATGTTTGCAAGTCAAAGTGACATGATTCCAGGGATAACAATATTCTAATCCTGAATAAAATACCTTTTAAAAGAATGCATGGATTGTAATGGAATTTGGTGAAGACATGTCATAACTTTCACTATCATCAGGACTCATTTTCTGATTTGTTCAATACTTTAACAGCTGCTAAACACGCCACATTCCCATCAACCGAAGCTATTCTTTACATCTTATCACTGTAGAATTATTTTCATTGTTAGCACTGACCAGCCCAAGGAAATGCTCATTACCTCATGCTCTCATTCACAACACTGTCTAGGTACTCCATCTGCAGCAGCTCTTCATATCGGACTGCTCCCTGCGGCGTTACAATTCACGCTTTGATCAAGTTCAAATTTGAAATACTGTGGTTTCCTCAATGAAATGAAACACAGAAAACAGCTTTTTACCTTATTAGGGAAAGTGGAGTCTATCTCTTCTTGCAGGCGTTTCATTACTTCGGGATTTCTTGCCAAATTATAGGCTAAGAAGGCGAGAGTGGTGGCACTCGTCTCGTAACCAGCGACCATGAACATTGTGGCTTGGGTTAAGATCTCGTGGTCAGTAAGACCTGCAGGTCAATCCAGATGTGTGAACGGGGGGGAAAGGAAAAGAGGCGTCAAGACCTTTGGTGTGAACACATTTGTGAGTACTACCCTTATTCTTCTCGCCTTTGCTGGGGTCATTAGCCGTCCGAGAGTTGATCATGCTTTGAAGAAAATCTCCCGAATTCTGAAAAGGGGTCAGACGATTACCAGGCATGTTGTCATCGCGTGTGTCTCTGAGTAGGTTGTGCAACATGATGATTTCTGTGTTTATTTCCCTGGAATAGTAAACAGAAATCATGCCGATCTTGTTATTCTAGCAATAAATGGTAAGGTTTGTCCCACAAGGTTGATTGTGTGCCTAAGCTTCTATAAAAACCAGGAACCAGACCAGAAAACTGAATCTGTGGTCAAGATGAGTGAAGCATGAGTTCAGGGTGAGTGCTTTGCGTTGATAGGGGTCAATGTCAATAGCGTGTCAATAAGGGCTGGGTGGTTATCCGCCATGTTGGCTTAAAAGCGCTGTTTCAAAGTATGTGATCCTCTTTTGTGTGTTTCCAGGAAAACTGGGCGGATGAAGATTGCGTCTTTAAAACCTTGACAATTGTTGTGGGACCGTTTGATCATCTGTTACTGAACATCTGGAAAACATTCTGTGATACACAGTATACATCTATCGTGACATAAGATAGAAGATTTGATGCATTTCTCCCAATTTTAGTCACCTAGGTTTGTTGTACAGACCTTGTGGGTGCTCCCTTCGCGTTCGGCTTTGATCTTCGCCAGAATCGTTTTGAAGAAAGCGGTAGAGGTCGGGGAGAAAAACGAGATACCCAGCAGCTCAAAGAGCGGAATAAGTACAGGAAAAATCCCTGAGAAGGAAAAGGACGTTAACAATTGTGATTTTGGTCACTAAACACAGCTGTTTTAATCAATAAAAGGAAAAGAAAAGCGTTGTGTACCTTGGAGAATTAAAACAAATTGGGGGAATTTGAAAAACCTCGAGGCGTGGAAGATGATGGGACTTGAGTGGTTGTTGATTGAGTCCATATCCACACTGAATGCACAGCTCGCCATCACATCCACACTGTAAGCTCCAAAGTAGCTGCAATACACATGTTACACAAACCCTAAATCAGTTTTAAACCAAATGTTATCATGTTTCCTCGAAAAGGGAACACGCTGTGCTCTGTCCACTGGTTCAAATGGTGTTGTTTATACTATATCGAAAAAGTAGGATTAAGACCACATTTGCCTTTATGGTGGTAACCAGATGATTAGGATCTGTCTTCAATGTTTTTATTCTGTAACAGTATTTTTGCACGTTTCATACAATAGGGTAATGAAGGTTTTTCACTCATCGTACTTAGTCTTCCACACTGAAATTGTAGTAGTCAAAACCACACACTGCAATTTACAAAAATATATTGAAAGGCATTAAAATAACGGGCCTCTTGTCTTTTCAACTCTAATGTAACTTTGATTTGGACAGGGTTGTTTTTAAAATGTTAGAAAAACATTTCTTGTCTCGACTGAAAGTTTTCCAAAATGTTTTTCAAAGATTTTTCAACCTCTTTTCAATGATTTTTTATACCGTATATATCTGGACTCTTTTTCAAAACATTTTTGACCTAATATTTTTTTTTTACTTTTTTCCCCTAATGTTATTTCAACCTAACATATTTAGATTTGATTTACCAAACATTTCTAACAATTTTACCCATGCCATTTGTAACTTTATTTTTTCGACCAAATCTTTTTTGACCTTTTTTTATGACATTTTTCGACAGTTTTTTTCAAATATTTTTCCACTCTCCTTTTTTCAATGATATTTTTATACCACATATATATGGACTTTTTTCTAAACATCTTTCGACCTAATCGTTTTTTAAAACTTTTTTTGCCCGTGACATTTTATGACTTATGACTCTTTCTATGCAGTTTTTGGACCAAACATATTTGGACTATTTTTTCAAATTATTTTTGATCTTTAAATAGTTATTTTTTTCAACTTAATAATTTATGACTTTATTTTTGCATTTCATTTTTATGAGGTTGCAGAAATGGTTATTAACCATTCTGATGACATTACTCACTCTTTTATAGTAACAACTTCATTATTTTGCGCCTTGGACTGCAGGCTGGCTGTGAGTTTGCTGGAAAGATGTTTCATGATCTTGAACATCTTCAGACAAAGGAAATATTAAATTACACAGGTGTACAAAGGTGAGTTGGAGGTGTTAAGAAATGTTTCAACCTTTACCTCCTTTATATGGCCAGAGGTGAAGGAGGGTGTGAGGACGTTACGAATCCGTCTCCAGTGATCATCCTCAACAGTAGACACTGAGTCATACAGATCTCCATTCAGACGTATATTCTAGAGGGGCAAAGTGGTCCACAGTACAAAGCTTTTTGTGTGTTCACTATTGTACACATTTGTGGAAAAGCACTTGACAAAACTCAGTTTTGTCTGTGTAGAAAGCCTAATATATTGTTGAAGTTTCTAGGCTCTAGTGGGACACTGATGTCCCAAAAAATGTGCAAATAAGCAGTGGTACTAAAATTTTTACAGTTAATTATTCCCAGCATTACCCCCAGTTTATTATTTTTTTTAATGGGCGGGGGGGAGGTGACATTCATTATTTATTGCCAGTCTCCATTTCCTACTCAAGGACCTGCGAGTACTTGACTTCCCATTTTGAAAAACACATTATCACAACTTCAATCCAGTGAGTTCTTCTCACCCTCCGGTTGGTAAAGTAAGTGAAGCACTGCTTCACCAGGATGGTTTTCAGCATATCAGGGTCCATCACAGCCAGCATGGGACTCCTGAACTCATACATTCTGGATATATACGCAAACAGACGTTTACATTTTGGGAATTGAGTGCAAAATTCTCGTCATTGGCGCATCAGAAAATATAAGCTGTTATTAATTACAGTGCTTATGCAACCACACGAGAGGTTCCACGGTCAAAGAAACATGATAATTGTCAGCTCACGGCTTAGTTTTTATATCAAACCTGTGAAAAGATTTATAGACTCACCCCCATACTTTCCCATACTTCTCAGCACATTGTTGGTCATCCTTGTAGTAGACCTTGTAATATAGATATATTTATAATAATTATACATATTCCTTGTCGCTAATCATTCACCCATTTAACTGTTATAAAAATGATTTCAAAATATGTACATACTTTGTTGTGCCTGCCAATTGTGCCCCAGTAGGTGTACGGCTTGGGACCGGGGATCCCCAAATTCTCAAATATTCCATGAGTCCAGTTTCCATATCTGTGCAGAACAGCAAAGCATTAAACAGTTCGGACCTCTACTCTACATTACATTTAGGAAATGCAAAACTTTCGGGACTTAGTTGCAACAGTGTCACCTGAAGGACAAATAATCTACTTTTGATAAAAAGAAAATCAACTTTACATGACAAAAATGCAGATAAATGTGATCAGTAGAATCCATGTTTCTACTGAGAAGAAAGGAAGGCAGCCCATTGCAGCTCTCTTGCTCGGCCAAGTTGGAGCAACCTCTGTTCTGCAGAGAGCTCTGACCTGAGGAGGTGTGGCTTCCTTTCGGCTGCACAGAACTTTAACCTCTTTCACTCTTGTACAGCAACATCAGCACATGGTGCTCAAGTTTCTAACCTCTACACACACTTACCTGGGCGGGCCTAGACATGTCTTTGTTTTGGCACAGATTGTGAAAAAATACGTTTAAATAAAGTATATCACTATACAGATTATAATGACTTGTAAATGCGACTCTCGTTTTCCTGAGTAGGAGATAATTATATAATCATAATTAAAATAATTCCAGAATAATATCTAGATGTAAATCAATAATATACTACATATTTCTTTAGGCTGTTGTATCATAAAGTTACATAATAATGAATGCTGTTTGGTCTCAATGTTTCACACGACACCGCCTACCTGCCGTTGGTTAAACTCTCACACACTTCCCGGGTCACGCAGAAGGGAAGTGCTGCAGATAAAAGCTGTTGCTCTGTGATCTGCGGTGTTACTGGAGCTTGAGCCCCCGTTGAAAGAAGACAGAGAAGCTGCAGAGATGGGCTTCTCCCTCTTTCTCTCCGCTGAGACATGGACCCTTCTGGTGGCTCTCGTCACGCTGCTCTTCATGTAAATGTTGAACAATATCCGTCTCAGGGATCTCCTCTGTGTTTATCTGTGTTTGTCTGTGTGATTCATATCGGTTCTCTTCTTTCTGTGTGTTGGTGTTTTACAGGTATGTCTGCTGGAATTTTGGAATATTTAAGAAATTGGGCGTCCCTGGTCCCCAACCAATCCCTTTCTTTGGCACAATGCTGGCCTATAGAAAGGTTGGTAGACACATTTTCAAGAAGGAATAGCGAGGAACAAAGTAAATTATGTATTATTCATATAATTAGAGACTGTTCAAGCTACAAACAGTTCATAATCTGTATTTTATTATGCTTGTACACAGGGATTCACCACCTTTGACGAAGATTGCTCAAAGAAATATGGGAACGTATGGGGGTAAGTCTGCATGTTGCAATGTGTGTTTCTCTGTGTATGTAAAGTGTCTCTGTTTTACAAGTTCCATAAGATATTTCTGCATGAAAAGCTCACCTGGCGTTTCATTATTGTTCTTTCTATTCTACTCTTTTTTAGCATTTTTGAAGGCCGTCAGCCGGTGCTTTGCATCACTGATCCTGCCATGATCAAAACTATTCTGATAAAGGAGTGTTACTCTCTCTTCACCAATCGCAGAGTAAGTAAACTAACAAACACGTCCAGTCACTTGTTTCTTGGACTCTCCTCATCATCTGTACGTGTTCCTCTGTACCAGAACACCCGTCTGAACGGGCAACTGCACGACGCTCTGACCGTCGCTGAGAATCACCAGTGGAGGAGGATCCGCAGTGTCCTCTCGCCCTCCTTCACCTCAGGAAAACTGAAAGAGGTTCAGCGTCCTCCTGCACTGCACCTCCTCTGCTCTTTAGTGAATGATGAACTGTACAATCAAAGGCAACACTTGTATTTAAATTTGACCACAATAACAAATACCACAACCAAATTCAACCACACTGAGGACTGAAAGGGGAAGAAAGTTAGTGAGATCTCTCTGAGCAACAGATGTTAAGAATACAAACAATCATCATTACCAGGCTTGTTGCTGAATTAAAGCCATTCTTAAAACATGAACAATATAATTAAAAGTCAGTTGAGGCTTAAAAGGGTTAAGACTGATGCACCAGTTTAAACCTCCTAATTCTAACCACTAGATAGACTGCAAAAGCCGGATTGCAAGCATATTTTGAGCTATTCTATTTCTTTCGCCTGTATCTAATTAAGCCTTCTTTCTCATGGTTCTAAGATGTTTGACATCATGAAGCACCACTCCGCTAACCTGACCAGCAGCATGAAAAAAAAGGCAGACAAGGACGAGCCCTTAGAGCTTAAAGAGTGAGGACACATTACACCACTAGTTTAAAGTTATTCTAGAGAATGCATGAAGCTAACCATCGTGACTGTTTGCCCTTCAGGTTCTTTGGCCCCTACAGCATGGATGTAGTAACCAGCACAGCCTTCAGTGTCGACATTGACTCGCTCAACAACCCCTCAGACCCTTTCGTTGCAAACATCAAGAAGCTCCTCAATATTGACTTTTTTAGTCCAGTCTTCCTCATTGTTGGTAAAGATTTCCTTTCATAAAATACAGCTATTTATATTTTTTTCATTTATGTGGATGGTAGAAATATCAGTGTTGTGAAAGTTTGCAGTCACTGTCTGCCCTGCTTATGTAATAAATGTTCGGCTTTCTGCTTAATTCCAGCTTTCTTCCCATTTTTGGGTCCAATTATGGAGAAGATGGAGTTTTCCTTATTCCCTAAATCTGTCACAGACTTCTTTTACGCCGCACTGCAGAAGATCAAGTCCAACCGTGTGCACAGCGAGCAAAAGGTGAGACTGCCCGTGCGTGTGCATCCACATCTCTTTGCATCAGCACATTCAGAAGTACAATCAGTCCTCCTCATATGTGTCCACTCTTAGAGTCGAGTGGACTTCCTCCAGTTGATGATTGACTCCCAGAAAAACATTGACCTCAGTAAAGAGGAATCAAATAAAGGTGACAAACGCACACAGCCATGTACACACACATACAGAAAGACTAAAAGCTATTCTAAATCTATCTCCTTGCTACCTCCACAGGTTTAAGTGATCACGAGATCCTTTCTCAGGCAATGATTTTCCTCTTTGCTGGCTACGAAACAAGCAGCAGCACTCTTTCTTTCTTGGCTTACAATCTGGCCACAAACCCTCACATCATGAAACGGCTGCAAGAGGAGGTCGACTCCACGTTCCCGAACAAGGTGCGTTTGGCGTGGGAAGAGGACACTGTTAGAGTTTGGGAATGACATGCAGCAAACGATCCAGCCAGGCGGAAGTTGACCCAGGAGTATAAAGCTCTGGGAGTTGGCTCCAGTACTCTTTTAACATCAGTAACTCAATTAACTGTTTTCCCTCCTGGATTCTTGTAGCTCCTAACCTGGCCCAACATAACAGAGTGACGTCCTGTCCTGTCTCTGTGTCTTGAGTAGGGTCCTGTTGAGTACCAGGCTCTGATGCAGATGGAGTATCTGGACAGCGTCATCAACGAGTCTCTCCGGTTGTACCCCATTGTCCCACGTCTGGAGCGTGTGGCCAAGGCAACTGTGGAGATAAATGGCATTGTGATTCCAAAAGACATGGTTGTCATGGTTCCCACGTGGCCGCTGCACCGGGATCCGAGTCTGTGGCCCGAGCCCGAGGCGTTTTAAACCTGAGAGGTATAGAAGGGATTTGTATGTTTTTTCACAAAGGCCCTGAACTTTAAAGACAGTTGCCACATTTCTGTCATGTAAACCTTGTTGTGTATCTTCAGGTTTAGCAAGGAAAACAAGGACTCTATTGACCACTACACGTACATGCCTTTCGGGGCAGGACCGAGGAACTGCATTGGGATGCGATTTGCTCTGATGATGATGAAACTAGCAATGGTGGAGATCCTGCAGAGGTTCAGCTTGTCTGTGTGTAAGGAGACTGAGGTGATTATCCTTTATGAGACTGCCAGCTGTTTGTATCTTCCATCCAGTGTTTAGTCTATTTACAAATATTTCTCTTCACATGTACTTTCCTGCCAGATCCCCTTGGAGATGGACACCCAGGCCGTTGTGATGCCAAAGCGACCAATCAAACTTAAGCTGGTGTCACGATGAATCCTCAAAATAAAGACAAAGAACGAGATACGTGATTTTAAGAAAATTTCCATTTGGATCACAACATTTACAAGTGTATGTAAATCTGCATTAATTAGTAGTCCTTTGTTCCCATTAAAGCTTTTACCAATGTGCAACTAAGTAACAAATGGATCATTTCTCAAGCCTGTGTTAACAATAAAGGATAGTTTGGGTTTTTCTCATGAGCATTCTCATATGTGATGTGTTCACTGGAACAGCAACATGCACCTAACCGGGGTTACAACTGTAATCCTGTATGTTTTCTCTTGTCTTTTTATAGCTTGTGAGATTTACTAATTTAGTTTTTTATATAATATGGTGTTATTTACGGAATTATTAGCACTGACTTAGATTTTCTCAGATCCGTCAACCAGAAAATGCACAAATGGAGAAGAGTGAGTGAGGGGACATGTTTATATTTTTATCCACACTGAATGCACAGCTCGCCAACACATCCACACTGTAAGCTCCAGAGTAGCTGGAATACACACATTACACAAACCATAAATCAGACCAAACCAAATTTTAGTTTTGTTCTTATTTTGAAACAGAATTTTTAATCCATAACATTCATTTCCTGACTCTTTTCATATAATAGCATAATAAAGGTTGTTCACTCATCGTATTGTTAGTCTTCCACACAGAAATTGGGTAGTCAAAACCACACACTGCAATTTACAAAAATATAACGACCTCTTGGCTTGGGTCTTTTCAACTGTAATGTAACGTAATGAAGTTTTAAACAACAAGTTGGCCTGAAGGATTCTTAGTATTTCTGTTCTTCATATCAGATGACAATTATTTGGTAGTGTGGTAGTGTTTTTATTTGTTAACGGAATAGTTTAACATTTTTTGCAACCCCTATAGTCGCCTTCTTGCAACGCATTTTAATACCAGTCATGTCTATGGTGACTATGAAGCTACAACAGTCAGTTAGCTTAGCTTAGCACAAAGACAGAAAACAAAAGGATTAAGTTTGCCTTGCGTGGGTAGACATCTGAAGCCAATTTCAAAATATTCTTTTCAAAACATTTTTCAACGTAGCATATTTTACTTTTCATATGGTATTTTTCAACATATCTTTTCTTTCCATATTTTTAGACTTAATATATTTTGACTGCTTTTCAAAATATTTTTCAACCTAATACATTTTTAAAATATATATTTTTTGACTTGATTTTTTCAACTTTTTTCCGCATGACATTTCTCAGGCTCACATATTTGGATTTCTTTTCAAAAATGTTTTTAGCTTAAGCATTTCTGACCTCTTATGTTACATTTTAAAAGCAAAGTCAAAACGTTGGGGAATTTGTTGCAACAGTGTCACCTGAAGGACAGATAATCTACTTTTAATAAAAATTAAATCAACGTTACATGACAAAAATGCTAATAAATGTGATCAGTAGAATGCATGTTTTAACTGAGAAGAAAGGAAGACAGCCCATTGCAGCTCTCTTGCTCGGCCAAGTTGGAGTCTTTTCAGAGACCTGAGGAGGTGTGGCAAATGTTGTTTTTAATGAATGTTTGTTTTTCTTCTAAAGAGTAAATCTTACAAGTGATAAGTAATTACTTTAGAAAGTCTGTATTTTAGACACTGTTGTTTAATTGTTATTGTTTGTTTAAACACAAAACTAGGCATATTTGATCATCTTAGAGGCAGAATTCCACCGGGTGGATCTAGCAATTCTTCCAGCTAGCTCAGCCTAGGGGTGCTTCAAATGGTCCGTTTGCCACTCAACCCCCTTCTGTTTGACACGTGGAGGAATTCCTCTGCACAGGTCTCCGCTCTGCCTCAGTTGGTTTTACCTCTAATGCAAAAAGCTCTTTCCATCGTTAGCTAACGTCTTGCATTCTCCGATGAAACTGACTTGCAGCTAGCGGCCATTTCATTCCCGCGGTAAACTTACGATTTACCAGTTTAAACCTCTTTATTCTAACCACTGAGTAGACTGGAGAAGGCGGCTTGCAAGCTTATTTAGAGCTATTATATAAGCCTTTCTTTCTCATGTTTCTAAGATGTTTGACATCATGAAGCACCACTCCGCTAACCTGACCAGCAGCATGAAAAAAAAGGCAGACAAGGACGAGCCCTTAGAGCTTAAAGAGTGAGGACACATTACACCACTAATTTAAAGTTATTCTAGAGAATGCATGAAGCTAACCATCGTAACTGTTTGCCCTTCAGGTTCTTTGGCCCCTACAGCATGGATGTAGTAACCAGCACAGCTTGCTTGCTTTCTCCTTAATTCCAGCGTTCTTCCCCTTTTTGGGTCCAATTATGGAGAAAATGAAGTTTTCCTTTTTCGCTAAATCTGTCACTGTTCAATAAATATATCCCCTATATAACGCAAAGTGTGTGTGGCTACTTGGGAGACGGGGAAGATTTCATGGTTAAGGTAGAGATAATCATTGAGGCTTTTATTTTGTAATGATGGAATTGGGTGAGGGGGGTTGGGAGACAGAATGTTTGTTATTCAAACTAAGAAGTTTTTAAATAATAGGCCTCATCACAAACATTACAGTAAGAATTCCCTCCATGGGGCTTTTATTTTGAAATCATTGGATTGGGGGGTTGTGCGGGGGTGTAGATAGAGGGAGGGAGGGTGAGGAAGGGAGGGGTGGTGAGGAAGAGATAGCGAGGGAGAGGGGAGGAGAATTAGACAGACTGAGTAATTAACAGTGAGAAGAGGTCAGGGTGGAGGGGGGGGCGCGCGAGCGTCTTTATCATCTTGGTCTGTTGACAGAAAGCATAGCTGCGTCATGTGACTCCACTAATCAGGTCATAGGAGCAGCTGTGAGTCACAGACAGAGATACTGCAGCGTGTGTGCGAGTAACCTGTGCTCATTAACGAGCTGCTGCAAAGGGCAGACACAGGACAGCGAGTTACACAGAATCCACACCTCAAACAAATGACCACCAGCGCAAAACTATAACAGCTATCTAAATAGTCCAGCGTTTTTACGAGACCCAAGACTCTACCGAACGCATGGATGCGTTTTTTATGTCTGTCCGGTAATAAATACGGCTCCTGTCGCAGTTTACAAAACGTGCACCTTCTGGATTTTTTGAGAAATATGTCGGCAGGTTTGTATTGGAGCCTATGGGGCTTTTGGCAGAGGTTGTGTGACTGTTGGTCTCCGTAGGCCAAAATTAAAGAACTCTGGGATTCCATAGCCACATGACTACAAGCAGCACAATGTCCCTCCTAGGACAGGTCAGGGGTCGGCAACTTTTTGACGGGCCACAATGGGTTGTAAAATTTGACGGAGGAGCCGGGCCAAGAACAAATGGTGTAAGTGTTTGTGTGAGCTAATATAAACGACATGTGAAAAATCATTACATGAAAGGATTTGGATTTTAACAAATAGCAAAGCATTTATTTGCAAGGCAATTCAACAAATTGGCAAAGGTATAACAACTTCATGAGGACCGGGGATCTAAACGCAACACTTTGTTTTTGTTGTCTGTTTACTTGCAATGCTTTTGACATGGCCACCGGACACTTCATGCTTATTTGTTTCCACTGTGAAATTGCTCGTCCCAACAAAAAAGACCCCTTAACGTCCTACAATCGTTGCAATACAATATTTCCTTGGCTGCATCATAAACCAGCCGTTTTAAACTGGACCCCCACTTTTCATTCAACAGTCTTCTTTCTCTTTGTCTTTGTTTATTTTTTGGTTTCATGACCAGTTCTTCTCTTGTGACCTGCGGGTTTTCCTCCACCGACTCTTTGCCGCCACATCCTTCACCTGCACTGCACAGTTCTATCAAAAGGATCCACCTGTCACGTGTGCGCGCGCCTATGTTGCTTAGTAACGAACGTACGGTGGCCGAGACGGTTTAACACAGTCTTCTCACAATGTGGCGTGTGAACTATAGTTGAAATGCGTGTGTCTCACGGTCAATGCGTGAGGCTTCAGAACCTGCAATGAGTTTATTATGTTAGACGTGTTTGGAGAAGCCTGTAACGGACCGTCTCATCCAGCCGAGGAAACGCTGCCTGCCGTCGCCAGAGAACAGAGCAGAAAGGTCCGCGTGGATCTCTGCTGGCCGACAGTCTGTTAAACGGGTCTTCATGTTTCTCTGAAGCAGCGCGGCTTCAGCCCGCTAACAGTCAGCTAAACCGAGACAGCTGAGCTAAACTAACGAAGCGCACATTCAAACTCACCGAAGCGTAAAATAGTCGTTGCGGTCCGTAGTCGGTGCACAAGCACCACCGCTGCACAGATGTGAGCCAGCGTTCTGGGTTCGTGGATGACGTCTGAAGGAACATAGGTGTGATGTGGTTTGGGGGGAGTGAATGTTGGGTGAGCAGACAGTCTCGGTCAGAAGACCCAAATGGCAAGGAGTGAGAAAACGATGCAAGGCAGGTTGGATGTAACACCAGTAGTTTATTTCCTTTTTGTAAGCTTGATATTTCTTCTGTGTGCTGCATCAAAAACATAAACAAAGAAACAATACAATTACATTAAATAATGGAGTGGTCAATCAAACAACAAACAATCCTACATGGCTCCTGGCACATGTCTGAGAACAAAAGAATTGGTCAACGTAGCACATGTCACAAAAAGGCATCACAAAGGCATACAAATTAAACAATCAAAAGGATAAATTGAATTGACCACTCATGTTAACTTGAATACGCACACTTCAGGATACGCTGGAGTACTGGCAGGGAGTGGAAAAAGGTGAACTGCCAGGGGAGCAGACTATTTATAGTCTCCGCCTCCTTAGCCAGCAGGTGAAGCTTGATTGATTGATTGATTGATTGGTGAATCTGCTGGACTCAGTCATTCATAAAGAAATTAACACAAAAAAAGAACCCCGGTTCCAGGGAGTCTTTTCATAGCCGCCCCGGAATTGGGATCAATTCCTCCTGGGAGGAAGACTCACTCTTCTGCCAACTCCGGAAGCACCATCCGACGAGACACGGGTCTGACGTAAGTTTGACGGCCGACTTGGACGTCAACTGACC